AAATATTTTTTAAAACCTGATATTAACGATGAACAATGTAATGTGTCAGGATACAACATTTTTAGAAAAGATCGCCCGAGTAAGGATGGTGGTGGTCTATTTGTTTATGTCAAATAGAGGCGAAAGATACCAGAGGGACATTCAAACTATTAAGTCGAAAATAAACTGACAACACCATGGCTAAACAAAAAAAGACCAACAGACAAACAATAGTACAAAAAAACACAACAAAGAAAACTAAAGACTGAGCAACACGAACCCCACCAAACACTGGGGGTGATCTCAGGTGCTCCGGAAGGGTAGCAGATCCTGCTCCACATGTGGCACCCGTCGTGTTGCTCATGTTAGTACAAACCCGGTAATAAGTCTAATTCGGTAGATCACATTCGGGAAAAGGGGAACGGGTTTGTTAAAAAGATTCTATTTCAGTTGAAAATAGACCCACTTTATCGGTAAATACTTTAGACGCTTTATGGTTAGAGGTAGAATTATAAAAAATCAAAATCTTCCTTAATTTGTACTGTTTATTGACCATCAAATTCCCCTCAGTCCTGGATAGATCTTTCTGAGGAGGAATTTGATACAGCTCTTTCAGAAAATGAAGAGATTATTTTTATGGGAGACTTTAATATCGATTTGATAAAACTTGAAAATAATAAATAGATGAATTTCAAAATCCATTTTAATCTTCAACAACTAATTAACACCGCAACACGTGAAAGATCACAGACTCTTATCAATCATATTTACACCACTAATCCTGAGAATATCACGCATTGTAATGTTCCCTCATATGCTTTAAGTGACCACTACCCTGTGTGCTTGAATAGAAAAAATAATACAAAGCTAAAAAAGGGAAATCATGTCGAAATAAAATCGAGGTGTTTCAAACATTGTAATGAGATGCCTTTTGTGCAGACTTACTTTAAACCCCATTTCATATAGTTGAAATGGAAGATGATATTGATCTTGCTGTCGACAAATGGTATGAACTTTTTGAACAAGTTATTGACAAGCATGCACCAACGAAAATTAAAAGAGTAAAATCATTCAAACAAGCAGAATGGTTCCAAGAAGAAATTCAAAATTCCATTAAATACAGAAGTATGTATCATTAAAAAAAAAAGACTGGTAAACTTTAAAAAGTAGCGAAATAAAACAACGTCGTTAATATTTAATGCAAAAAAGGAATATTTTCAAAACATATTATCTAACTAAAAAAAATAGTAAAGAAATTGGGTAATAGTTTTCCATCGAAAATGCAGCATGAAAAACGAACGTTTTATAACCCCCAAAGTGTTGTTAATTCATTAAATGTTCAGTTTTCTTCGGTTGCAGAAAAACGTATTAGAAATAATACTTCAGATATGGATTTTTCTTCTTTACAAAATTTTATTTGTAAAAAAATTGAAGGAAACAGAAAATTTTGAATTAAACCTCTGTTGGAGAGGTGTGTACACAACTGAAACACCTTAATATTAATAAATTAGCAAATTTAGAAGGAATTGTCCCAAGTTTTTAAAGCTTAGTGCATAAGTATAACATCTAATCGTTTTCCGGAAAATTAAAACATGCTAGAGAACTGCTTGACATAAAGGAGGACAACAGATGTTCCCTCCAATTATAGTCCAATTTCTGTTATACCATATTTAAGATTTTTGAAAGACATGTTTGTACACAGTTATATGAATTCTTAAATTCATTCATTTCAAACCGCTCTGATTAAACTAATTGACAAATGGTTAAAATATTTAGATATTGGAGAAATAGTTGGTACTGTGTTTTTGGATTTCAGTAAAGCTTTTGATCTTATTAACATGCCACACTTTTAGAAAAGCTAAAATTTCATCATATCGGCGAACATATGATATATTGAAAAAAATTATATTTGTCTGGAAGACAACAAGAAGTCCAATACGCAAATATTAAATCTGATTAAACCTTTGTAAAATATGGAGTGCCTCAATGTTCTATTATAGGTTCTCTACTATTTTTAATTTATATCAATGATTTACCACTTCATGTTAAATAATCCACCATGGATTCATATGCTGATGATTCAACATTGCATTTTCATGCTTAGAAAATTGAAAAAATTAACAGCATTTTGCAAAATGATTTAAATGCTGTACAATCATGGTGTAACAATAACAGTATGAAAATTAATGCACAAAAAGCAAAGTGTATGAAATTAATTTCAAATCAAAAACTTACACAACTATCAGAATTATGTATTACTATAATCGAAACCTGTATTGATTACTTGAAATTGACATTGATAAAAATTTAAGATGAGAAGAAAATGTTGATTGTATATGTAAGATTATCTCATCTTAAATATCACTTTTGTAGAAACTTAAAGAATATTTGCCTATACAAATAAAACAACTATTTTATAATGCAAATATTCTACCATATATAGATAGACTATTGTAGCTCAACTTGGGGAAATTTATTACAAAAAGATTCAGATATAATCATAAAACTTCAGAAAAGATAGTAAGAATTATACTTGAATGTGATATTTCTGTACCATCAAATTTTATGATGTATCAAATTGTTAATGGACTTACACCTGATTAATTCCCAATGCTAATTAATAATGATGTTCAACACTACAGCATACGATCTGTCTCTAATAACGATCTATTTGTTCAAAGACCAAATACTGCTTATCATAAAAATCTTTTCATTATTCTGCAACCAAGTATGGAATGATTTACCATTCACATAAAGAATTGTCGTAATGCGTAATTTTACAATCATTTTCTTGAAAATTCTATGCAAGATAAATATTTTTTCTCTTTGGTTAAAATATGAAAACTTCATAAATTGTTGCCATATAAATGTTTGAATGATTTATATATTTTATATATATATATATATATATATATATATATATATATATATATATATATGTTGTATTTTGATGCATGAATGTAAACTGTATACGTGTATTTTGTTTCAGGGCAAAATGAAGATTAGACTAGTTCTTATTGAGTAACCGTCTTCAAATAATCAAATAAAGAGTTTACACTTATTATTATTAATATTATTATTATTATTATTATTATTACATCTGTTAGCATGGTTAAAGGAGTTTTTTTTAACATTTACCGCGTCTTTGGAGTTTTACATTTACCGTGTCTTTGAAGAAGATATCAACGGTATAGGTATTTTTAGTGGCTGACACTAGAGAAGCTTTTATTTCATGAACGCAAGCATAAACTAGGGAAAGGTCAGCATAATCAGGTAAAAAAATGTCAGATATATACTTAGCTCGTAAATAAATCCAAACAATAACGATAAACAAAAGTTTTTGTAAAATACAGTCAAACCTGATTTAAAGGTCACAAGTGAAAGTTCAGCTCTACTAAGCAAAACCTGTCTAGTCAGATCACTCTCTTCTTTTTATTTGTCTTTGTAAATTTTTAACATTTACTGTTTAGTCCATTTTTTTTGTAATATCCTTTTCGCGTGGCTCAGTATTTATACATCCTGCCATTGTGTTATATGGTCATTTTTTTGTATTCTTGTCTTTCATTTTTGCTTATTTGCTTTGTCTATAGAGTGTCTATATGCCATTTTGTATTTCTTTGTTGACATAGTTGTTTGTTTTTATAGTGATTAAGATTATAACACAACGTTGACTGCTGTATCTCATTTTTTTTATACATTTTACCCATTATGTCTGTTTTTTATGCTCACCCATTGTTGTCAATGTAGTGGAATTCTATGCGACTGTCATACAAGTGAGAGGTTTAACTGCTATAAAAACAGGGCTAATCCACCATTTTTTACATAAGGAAACGCCTGTACCAAGTCAGGGATATGACAGTTGTTTTCCATTCGTTTGATGTGTTTGCACTTTTGATTTGATAAGGGACTTTCCGTTTTGAATTTTCCTTGTAGTCCGGTATTTTTGTTATTTTACTTTGTTCTTATCCTACTGTGATAATCCCTTTTTGAACCTCAATTCAAAGGTCACCTCTCCCAAAAGGTCATTTTCTCTGGTCTTGAGGGTGAACAACTATGAGAAAACTATCCGCATACGACGCTGAATTCTGGGAATGGTGGTAATATAAAAACTTAAAAAAGAGGCGAAAGATACCAAAGGGATATTCAAACTAATAAATCGAAAAGAAAACTGAAAATGTCATGGCAAAAAAAAAAACGAAAAACGCTCCTCTGTTTCATAATAATTAGCTTTTCAAGAGGTTGTTAAAAATTTATAGTATATAAATAACTGAACCTAAAAAGCAGAAAAAAAACAGATCCGTGTCCTTATTTTTGAGATATAATCAATTAAAAATTTGGGGGGAAATGATTCTCTCTAGATTTTTCATGCACTTAACATTGACACCCTTCTATTTCAAAAACTACGAAAAAATAACAAAGATTTTATAAGATTTTCAAAACTAGTTTTAATCTATATGTAATAAAATAATGAATAGAAAGGTAGAGGTTAGTGTGAAACTGATTAAAAAAAAAAAAGTTGATAAGTAAAATTGGTACTGAACATGTTTAATGTCTGTCAACGTATATTTGTTCCGCCTAACAAAAGTTCCCGTGGAAACTTTGTTATAAACAATGCCACAACATCTGTTCCAGACCTGTTGGAACAAATATTCTGATTATTTCTATATCCGTTATTCCGTTAGGAACAAAATTTGTTCAAGTGGAAATAATATTATAGAATATTTATTCCATTTGGAACTAATATTATGAAATAACATTCTATTTCGTGACAATAATGTTATAATATGAATATTAATAAGTAAACATCAAAATGAATAAAAACTAAAGAATATGTATATGTAAGAAAATGATAATAAGTGTGAGCGTTCTCTTACAAACTCAGAATAATATTGTAAACTGCTGAATGCACATTTTCTTGACTATTATTAATCAAGAAGGGTTTCATGGTCTGTACAATGTTTAAAGTTTATGCATGACTTCCTTTTCAGCATATCAATTATTGTCTCGAGATTATTGTAGTTATAAGTCTAATTAAGTTCTTATAGTTTCACGCAAGACATTTAAATTAATAGTAATCGTCTTTTAGAATCATTTGACACAAATTAAAGTACGATGAAAATTAATGCTAGGAATTGTATAAGTTTCCTAATTGTAAGTATTAAAAATTTGAGTTACACATGCCAGCGTCCATCTTTATCATGTTTATGACAAATACTTCCTCATTCGAAGCATTTGGAAAAAAAATCTGCCTTCATATGAAATTAAAAAGTTAATTTAACTTCCTGTTTTATCTTTACCAATCGCGGGTCTAAGACTTGGTAAAATTATTAACTCAAAATATAGGTTTTATTTTGAGTTAATGAGATGTTTTCATTTTTATATTGCTTTCGTGATTTGTATAGTATTGTGTATTACTATACAAATCCTTGGCTATACAAAGAATTTAATTGTTGTTCAAACGTGTTCATCTATGTTAGGGTTTTGACCTAGTTATGTAAGTATATTTTATGACAATTTTATAAATAGACACTTAAGGTCAGGTCAGGTCAGGTCAGGTCAGTCCGAGGGTCAGGTGGTGTGTAATCATCACAGCGCAGTATTTCGACGCAATCAACTTGTTTTATTTACATTACGCTACAGTGAACAGTTGAGGTTTGTATATTTTTGTCACAACGTACCTTTTGCATGGCTAAAATGACCGTGTTTACACCTCATAATTAACTTAGTACAGACAAACCTGTGCATCCACAAGTTCAAGACGAGATTTTAATATTTACACCTATATGTCGTGAAATGAAATTGGTTACCCTGCATTTATCATACTTTTCAATATAAACACATGGACAAATCGACGAGAGACCCACTCCTAACTTATTGAAAAATATCATTCTGCATTCATTTGACAATAATATCTTGGTGTAAATTACATGTATTAGATACACCCTTTCGGGCTAACGCCCTCAACGTGTATCTGATATATAAAATTGAGAATGGAAATGGGGAATATGTCAAAGAGTCAACAACCCGATCAAAGAACTGAAAACAGCCGACGGCCACCAATGGGTCTTCAACACAGCGAGAAAATCCTGCACCCGGAGGCGCGCTTCAGCTGACCCCCTACACAAAAATGTGTACTAGTTCAGTGAAAATGGACGTCACACTAAACTCCAAAACATATAAATGAACTAAAATTAAAAAACATACAAGACTAACAAAGGCCATGCAGAGGCGAAAAAATGCGGCGGGGTTAAACATGTTTTGTGAGATCTCAACCCTCCCCCTTAGAATAAACAAACACACAGCAATACGCACAGTAAATCTCAGTTTAAAAGAAGTCCGAGTCGGATGTCAGAATAGGTAACAAAAGAAACTAAGTAAAATGACAATGATACATAGATTAACAAAGGACTACTAGCAGTTACTGACATGCCAGCTCCAGACCTCAATTAAACTGATTGAAAGATTATGTCTTCATCATATGAAAATCAAGCACAATCCCTCCCGTTAGGGGTTTAGTATCATACCATCATAAAATATACGAGAAGAACATAACCCGTATTATGTATATATGTATATTTGTAGAGATCTTCGAATTAATAAACACTATTCTAAAAAAGAGCAAACTGGAAATTGTCATTACCTCAAATTTTCTAGATGCAGTAACACTTTCGTAGTTATGGATTTGGAATGAAATCTTAATTGCTGTCATCAAATTGATACCTTATCACTGCTTTTGTATGGCAATATGAATCGCTGTACTATCTTTTCTCTTTCTGGTTAATTGTCAAAATCTGAACTTTTTGCTGATAAATGAAAACACTTCTATGTAAATACTGAATACATCTCGTCTTGTACCTGTGTGTGCATCTTGAAAAAGTTTAAAGGTATAGCATGACCTAGATAAATAAAATTCAAATGCATTTAATGTTTTAGAAAATTAAAAACTTAACTGAATTTTACAGTGCACTCTTTTTGTTCCTTCAGAAGGTGCCAAAATAAAAGTTGGGAAAGAGGTATTATATAACATGAACATGTACTAATTGAACACCACTTACCTGCTACGTTGTGTTAACCTTAAGTTAGTAACAGTAATTATCTAAAATGTATCAGATCTTACAGATCGGCTCCTGTTGTTATGTACTGTTGTCTGTTTTTTCGTCGTTTTTAGATTTTTGCCACGGCATTGTCAGTTTATTTTCGACTCATGAGTTTAATTACATCCCAGTTCCTTTGTTCTACCAGGGGTGATCTGAACCGGATCACCCCTACCAGATCACCCTAGCTTGCGTTTCTTTGTTCTACATTCTTTCACTTTGTTCCTTAGCTTTTTGGCGGGAATGTCAAATCCACAATAAAACTTAGAAATATTCACACGGAAAAGACTAACTATCAAAATTTATGTAGAAAAAAATCCAGTGTCTATGCTGGGAATCGAACTGAAGACCTTTAGCATATAAACCCAAGATTCATACCCCTACACCAGGACGACTAGATGAAAACTCTCGGTTAATTTAGCATATTTAAACATTGTGTCCGGGGCTCATAAAGGGTATATAATATATAGTAATATATAAAGTATATTATAATGATTGTGTTGTGCTCTAAAACTAGACGTTATGAAGCGTAAATGGTTTTTTATATGATCTAGAACAGCTGGGATATAAAATAGTTATCCCATTCGGACTTGGTGTGTCAGTGTAAGATCACCCTCCGGCCTCCGGCCGTCGGGGTGATCTTATACTGACACACCGCGTCCTCATGGGATAACTATTACATATCCCTTTGGTAACTTTCGCCTATATATTACCTCTTTAAAATTTGATTTTTATATTTTTTAAAGGTTAAGCTATAGTTTGGTTTATTTTAACAAAAAATGTATTTTGTATTGAGAATTTTTTCTTTTTCTTTTGTATCACGTGTTTATTATTTTGGCACTGGAACAGAGCAATTTGTGCAATAAATAAGGTGAAAGGTTGATACACTTATTTTTTCAGCGTTCGGTTAACTTTCATCAGGAACACTTTGCGTTAGAAGTGCTGGCAACCAAAGTTGAGAGGATACACAGGAGATTTTATACAAAGAATCGATACCTAAAGGTAAATAAAAAAACACGAGAGAAAGAGTTGATGGTATATTAAGTAACCTTGTTGGAAGCTAGCCAATTCCTGTATTTAAATGAAACCCCAAGGATTGACTACGGTCAAAGTGCGGAATCGGTTTGGCTGTGATGGATGTATAAATACGCAGTCACGTATGGTCGGAATTGGGTCGTAAAATCCATTGCCTCGTGCAGAGAGAGAGTGCCACGCTCTCTTCACATTAAAAAAAACAAAACATTCGCAACAACTCTTTGAGGGGGCTTTAGATAGCCTGTTGCAAGGCAAAATTTCCGTCCCTATCCTACATACCCACATTTCGTGTCTGTAATTCGGTCGACCCCTACCTTGCAGAACACACATAATGTATTCATTCTTAATTTGTTCGAAAGTTTTGTACTGTGCAATCTAAAAAAAAAAAATGTTTATGAATAAGAAAAGTATATTATATGCTTATTTTATTTAACACATTAAACTTATTTTCAAGTAAAAATGTAGGTGTTATTGTCTAATATTATCATAATATATGTCTGACCCATGTCAAGGATGGTCGTTTACTGGGATTTCGGATATTTTATATCATATTTTTGTTTTGGAGTCTCGAAATTGGTCTTCAAGGAAGAATTATATGGTAACTCCCCAGTCTGTTGAAATTATAAAAGAATAGTTGTATACTGAAATGCTGTTTCTGCCTTTCCGATGTCCTTAAACTGAGGATTAAGAAAAGACTTTCTGTAAAAACTATTGATAGTTACCCGTTTCCAAATGTTTAAAATGTCGTTGACAATCGAGACAATCTTAGTTTTCCTATTATTTTATATCTCATTCCGGAGTAGCAATATGCCGACTGCCCAAGCGTGTTGCGTTCACATACTGATTTAGCAGAACTATTTGGAATTTTTCGGTATTCATCATGTTCATTGCTCATTTACTTTTCATGCAGTGTATTTAGATCACTCCAGTTTTTTGTCTGTTTTTTTAATTGATTTTAGACATCGCTGAATGTTTAACCTATAAACACTAGGAAATATGTTTTCCCAAATTGTCTTGACAGTATTATTTTTCAACAATGTCAAAAAGACAACTATAACCTTGGACAAAATGGCGTTAAATAAAATAACGTACACAGGTATTTAAATATAATAATTTTGTTGTTAGGAGTACGGAGCAGGCATGGGGTAATGCAAATTTGTAATTGTAATGCATGGTAATGCATTACATTTTTCCAAGTAATTGCATGTAATGTGTAATGCAGCAATTTGTGCATTACATGTAATTGTAATATAATGCATTACTTTAGCAAAAAATTGTGTAATTTCATGCATTACATGGCATTACATGTCATTACTTTTTTTCACATACTACATCTTTAACATATTGTTGGAGTTTTAACTAAACCAAATTTAAGATTTCTTGATTAACTAAGAATATGTTAATCATTAAAATATATTCTTTATTTCATCTTATTTCATACATTTTCCTGCATAAAAAGATTGATATTTGAAAAGCATAGCTGTATTGTTGTCATAAGATCAAAGAATATCTTTGTTTTGCTTAAAAAAAAGGTAATTAAACTTTGTTATAAAACACTAATTAGTTTGTTTAACAATCAATATTTTCACCATTTAGACAATTGTTCATTAGTTAAGGTCTATGTTTATTTTATAATTAGGGAAGTAATTCACAGTAATTAAATATTTCGTTTAAAATTAAAAAAAAAAAACAACAAAAAAAATATTTTATAAAAGTAAAGTCAACATTAAGTTAAAATAATTAAAAATTGTAAAAGTCAAATTAAATAGACTTTTTACATGTATACTTATATTCAATTCATGGAACAGTTACTGCATATGCTAGAATCTTTTGTGACCTCTAGTTGTTTTTCAAAATGTTTAAATTTTTCTATTCACTAATAAAATTTTCAAATGTAATGTGTAGTTCAAGGCATTACTTTGCAAAAGTAATTGTAATATAATGCATTACTTTGATAAATGCATGTAATTGTAATTGTAATATAATGCATGGTTTGGTCAAAGTAATTGTAATATAATGCATTACATTGCAATGTAATTCGCCCCATGCCTGGTACGGAGATATTTGTTTTTCGTAAATTGTTTTTTTTTCTAATTAGGCTTAGTTTTCTCGTTTGAATCGTTTCACATTTTTCATTTCGGGACCTTTTATAGCCGACTATACGATATAGGTTTTTCTCATTGTTGAAGGCCGTACGGTTGCCTGTAATTGCTCACTTACACTCATGTAACTGTGGTGGATAGTTGTCTCATTGGCATTCATACCACATCTCCTCATTTATATATTTATATATATCATTAATTGACCAACCGAATTACCATTGACTACTAAATATTTCTTTAAAATAAAATTTGTTTTCTTAAATTTACAGTTTGAACACACTGTCCCTGACTGTAAAGTAAACATGAAGAAAAAAATAATCATTGACACAGATGCTGGCCTCGATGATGCTCAAGCTATTCTAATGGCCTTGGCGTCGAGTCATGCAGAAGTCGTTGCTATAACTACAGTGATGGGGAATGCCGGAGCATCTCAAGTTGGTTTAAATGTTTTGCGGATTCTGAAGCTGGCTGGTCGGTTAGATGTAAGTGCAGTCGAATGAAATAATACATCACTAGCTACTTATCATGCCATGCTATATTGAAGTCAATTCTTAACCTTTGAGTTTGATGAAAGTATAAGTACTATGAATTTAACATTTTGATTATAATTGTTCATAAAAAAGCATACTTTCTCGACAAAAGTAGCAAAACAATATTGAGTAGTTTTCTTTTATTAGTGGCCCGCCCCAAGGGTGACTGGGGAATATACATTTTGTAAATTTGGTCTTCTCTCTACCGGCAGTAAAACTTTCGCTAAAGTGGGGCGTCCGTTTGGCTGTTTGGGATGTACAAGTACGCAGCCACGTCTTGTCAGAATGGGCGCCTTGTGTAAATTAAGAGAATGCCACGCTCTCTGCACATTAAGAACCATTGCAAAAACTCTTTGAGAGGTCCGTAAGTGGCATGTTGTAAGGCAAAATGTCTGTCCCTATCCAATATACCCTCGTTTTCTAGTGGCAATCTAAAATTTCCCTACCTTCATCACGGAGGCCTCTATAACAGGACCTACCTATTGTATTTAGTGTTAATATGTTCTCGTCCTGAACATGCTTGAAATTTACATGCCACTGGACGTAAAGGAAACAACGGCCAATCAATAAATCTATTAAACATTTTATGCTTTTAAAAGCAATGAACACCCAAGCAATTATCTTAAAGGAATGTTTTACTTTTTATTTTTAAGGTTTTACTATATGTATATAATTTTGAATGAAACAGCGTAGTCAGTGGTTGTTGTTTGTTGGTGTGGTTCCAAAGTGTTTCTCGTTTTTAATATAGATTAGACCGTTGGTTTTCCTGTTTGAATTGTTTTACACTAGTCATTTTGGGGCCCTTTATAGCTTGCTGTTCGGTATGAGCCAGTGCTCCGTGTTGAAGGCCGTACTTTGACCTATAATTGTTTACTTTTTACACATTGTGACTTGGATGGAGAGTTGTCTCATTGTCACTCATACCACATCTTCTTATTTATAGTCACCTAAAAAATTGTTAAAAAATTGACATTCACCGTTCAAAATCTAACCTGCAATCTGAGGAAATATCTAAAATTGACGCCTACTGGAGTTAAGGTCACGTGCAACCATGTAGAATACCAAATTGATATTCACCGACTAAACCATAGTAAGGTAGAATGCACCAAAGAGATGTTTCAGGTACATTTGACTCAGTTTGTTATTTGGTAGGAAAATTTGATAAATACAGAGTTGTGTGACTTTTTCAAGTACAACTATCAATATCATATTTATGTCGTAATTGATTGGGGAAAACACGTTAACAAAAACAAAAATCATGACGTATATACAAAACCATGCATTAGAACATTATACAAAATTCGATGTCCTTATGAAAACAAATAACACTATTAAATCCAGACCCTTTGTATGTCGGAAAAGGCATATTCCCAATAGTCCAAAAAATTAGTAAAGTTCAGAATTGTAATTGACTTGACGAATTTACGGACGGAACAATCATGATCGTGATTGACTCGACGAATCTTTCGACGGGACAAACATACTTGTGATTGAATTGACGAATCAACCGACGGGACAATCAAAAACAGTAGTAGGAAAGCCAGAGAAAATAGAAAAAGGCAAACTCTCCTTAAAAACTTTGTCTTTATGAGAAAATAATGACTATATATCTTCAGATACCAATATATGTCGGATGCAACCAAGCTCTAAATGGATACAAGGTTGAAGGATGTTCCGGATATCATGGTTCCGATGGATTTGGAGAGTCTCCAGACCCGGATGCTCCAGACTCTTCTTTCATTCAAAAGGAGGATGGAGTCAGTGCATTGATTCGGTTGTCTAAACAGTTTTCTGGTACGCTAATACATGTAATAATTTTACAAACACAATTTTTATTTTCTTATTCTTATTCTTACATTACATGTATGTTTCATTAGAATCCGTAATTTTGATTGGCTTACAACAATCGCGAAGCACTATTATATTCTATTTCCGTATAAAATACAACAGCTATGACTGCACGTTACTCAGGTACGTTCTTCCTGTGACAATGTTAAAACAATGCATAGAAAAACAAGCGAAAATCTTGCCATGCTTGATATAACTCTTAATTTCAGCACACACATGTAATTATAAGAATTGAATGCTTCTTGTTATAATTTTAAAGGGTTGTGAAAGCGTTGATCGTGGGCACATTTTCCCCATCATACAAAATGTGCTTCTGTCAACGCCTTTACACCCCAATAAAATTATAAAAAGTAGCATTCAATTCTTAAGTATTCTACATCTGCTCGCAGGTTTACATTTACATCTTCAAATATCTTTGAATACTGTTTTGAACTCGTATTCGAATAATTCAAACAAAAAATCAATTTCATATAAGACAAGTATTTTTTTCTTTCTGTTTTAGGTAATATATCAGTTGTATGCATTGGACCGTTGACGAACATGGCGATGGCACTTAGAAAAGATAAAACGTTTGGTCAGCAACTGGAAAAATGTTATATCATGGGAGGAAATTATTGTGGTGAGAACGATATTAAACATGAATAAATGCTTTTTATTACATACTTCATATTCTCTTAAAATCAAAGACATTAGTGTTAAAAGTATTTAAAAACAAAACCTGCACAATGAAAAGGAGTATGTAAGAAATTTGTAACATAATAACATTTTCCTTTTAAAGTATTTGATTAAAAAAATTACTTTTTACACACTATACTAGCTATAACCAAAGAGAATTACGTGTACGAATGAACGAAAATATGGTGTGAAACATGAATGCACTTAATAATTTTTCAAATGAAACAAACTGTACGAATTGTCATACCAGTCCTTATTCTAATGTGTTCAATCTAGTTTGAAAAGTTCTAAAGATTTTTTAGGCAGACAAGTATTTCCCATATTTCTAAATAATTACATTACATGTATGTTTCATTATAATACGTTATTTTGATTGGCTAACAGCAATCTCGCGTCATTCTGAAATTAACCTTCGTTTCAAAATGAAATGTAACATTCATGATAACACGAGCTTCTACAATAAAGTGCACAGGTAAATAAAAGAAAAACTTTATAGAAATCATGTTATCATGATCCTAGCAAAAAAATGTAATTATAATAAAATTGAGAATGGAAATGGTAAGTATTGAATGTTTCTTTTAGTAATTTTATAGGGTTGTAAAAGCGTTGACCGTGAGCACATTTTTAGAATGAAGCGCGCTTCATACAAAATGTACTTCGGTCAACTCTTTTACACCCCAATAAATTTACAAAAAGAAGCATTCAATTCTTAAATATGGGGCGTACTTACCTGTTCATTACCCGAGAGTCTCGTGTGGATTTATTAGCCTAAAAATAAGGATATGTTGCATAATTGCCAATGAGACAGCTATCCATCAGAGACCAAAGGACGACGGTGTAAATAACTATAATGCACAAAACACCTAACAAGTATAGATTTATTTCGTCTTCAAGCCATTGTTCCACTACTAAACTGTCTATTCTGCTTACAAGTACACTTGTTACAATCAAAAACCGGGTAATTAATTGTTCAAATAAGGCCTTTGAAAATAGTGGAATTAATTACTTTTGGAGTGTCAAAAATTCGTTCGAAGTACTTGATAAATTGCATGCTTATATTGGTGATTTCGAAACTGTCCAAAGTTTTGATTTTTCTACCATATATACCACTTTGCCTCAATAATCTCATTAAGAAAAAAATCACACATCTAATTAAATGGGCATTTAAAAAGTCAGAATGCAAATATATATGTTCAAACTCTTTTCGGTCATTTTTTTAGTAACAACAGACAAAAGAACTATGTCAATTGGACCTGCTTTGATACGATAACTGCACTTGAATTTTTACTAGAAAACATTTTTGTTCGCTATGGAGATTCCGTATATCGTCAAGTTATCGGAATTCCAATGGGGATTAACTGTGCATCACTTATTGCGGACCTGTTTCTGTATTGTTATGAGTTACAATTTATGACTAAAATCAACAAAGACCCATCGAAACAACATCTGATACAAAAATTTAGTAACCCTTTTAGATATTTGGATGATATATTGGCTCTTGATATCTATATCTTTAAAGGGAAGCTTAATACCAAAATTTACGATAAAAGAGATGATTTTTCATTTCCTATTGTTAATTATCCATTTTTAGATGGTGACGTTCCCTTGTCACCATCTTATGATGTTTATATATCTCAACTTGTTCGATTCACTCGTGTACGTAACAATGTATTTGATTTTAACGAAATAAATCTCTGTATTACTGAAAAATTATTACACCAGGGTTTTCGCTATCACAAACTAGTCAAAACATTTACTAAATTTTATCATCGGTACAAGGACATCATCCGTAAATATAAATCAACATGCAGACTTCTTATATTCAGGTATTTCACATCCAATCTTTTATGGTAATATTCTATACAAAGCACAAAAGTTTAAATTTAAACAGACTTATTCAGAAGGGATATAGTTACGATACTGTTGTCAGGTCATTAAAGATGGCATATTTTGGATAAATATTGATTCACTCATAGGGTCTTTACATCGGAAATTAACATATTTATTCTAAAACCAGTTGTTGGCATGATACGGGTTATTTTCTTCTCATATATTTTATGATGGTGTGATACTAAACCCCTAACGGGAGGGATTGCGCTTGATTTTCATATGACGAAGACATAATCTTTCAATAAGTTTAATTCATTGCCATGTTGCTTAGTTTCTTTTGTAACCTATTCTGACATCGGACTCGGACTTCTTTTAAACTGAGCTTTACTGTGCGTATTGCTATGTGTTTGTTTATTCTACATTGGCTAGAGGTATAGGAGGAGGGTCGAGATCTCACAAAACATGTTTAACCCCGCCGCATTTTTAGGCCTGTCCCAAGTCAGGAGCCTCTAGCCTTTGTTAGTCTTGTATGTTTTTTTAATTTTAGTTCATTTATATGTTTCGGAGTTTAGTGTGACGTCCAGTTTCACTGAACTAGTACACATTTTTGTTTAGGGCCAGCTGAAGTCCGCCTCCGGATGCGGGATTTTCTCGCTATGTTGAAGACCCATTGGCGGCCTTGGGCTGTTTTCTGCACTTTGGTCGGGTTGTTGTCCCTTTGACACATTCCCCATTTCCATTCTCAATTTTATAGTAGACTTATCAATAATCAATTAAATCCTGAATTACAATTTATTACACCTTCAACGAAAAGAAAAGGTAATATTCGAATATAATATGCGTCAAACTGAATATAATCCTAAATTGCTATAATACGAAAATTTAATGGTTAAAACTATTCACTTAAATTAAACATTAAAATAAACTTTTTAAAGCTGCTAATCGACAACGGTAACAAACAAAAAAATGCGATATCATACAAAATCTTGAACTTTTGACTCACACCCGCAGTTGAATAATAATGCACAACAAAATCTATGGTATAAAATATCCACACAAAAATCATATTTTGTGCTTATCTACTTGCTGTCTAAAATATTTTATGTTATGCTTATGCTTTGTGTTTATTAAGCCAATTTTAACCTTAAGCTTTTGCCCAAATCATGAAAACCTCCAAGATGACGTCTTTTTAATCGCCAAAACACAGGAATTATTTGCGTTGTGAGAACATATTGATACAGATTTAATATAAGTGGGATCATATCGGTTTCTGAAAATTTCTTGTTCTGTCACTAAATATTTTTCAAAGAATTTATTTTTGCCGGTGTGGACACATGTGGCCCTCCGGCAGCAAGAAGGTCAAAGTGTTAAAGTTGATGGATGAAAACAATATACGTACATTTTCGGAAAATATACAAAATCATGTGTATGTGTAAAACAGGAAGAAAAGCGAGCCTCTTATCTTTTCCTACAATGTACATATATTGTATATTTTTTTATACGCGAGTGGTTCTGTATTTGGGTTTCATATATGTATCATATCTGATAAAGTTTGAAAAGCCCTTTCCATGCAATAAATCATGTATATAGACCGATATAATGTAAAGATATGATTATATATATATTCTGCATATGTAACTTTTAAAGGGGCATTAGCTGTCAAATTCATTTTCACCGATTTGACTCAAATTCTCATATTTGATTTATAGAATACTAAAACGTATATTCAAGTTACAAAAAGTCTAAAATAAACAATAAACAATGCATTGACTCGATAATATGTATCAACATTTCGTGTGTATTTTGTCTAGACGTCATCTAATTAACCATCGAGATAACCTCCGAAGACTGCCTACGGTCATTTAACCCGGTTTAAACATAAATATAGATACAAGCAGATAGCGACCACGTGCAATTCGATTTTTTCTAGGTCTGTTTGATTTCATATTGTAGGTTAAAAAGTATGTTTATCATCGTTTTTACCTGTATAAGAATGATTTTTTGTGAATCGAATCAGTCAACCAAATGGTTCATCCTTGTTTCACTTTCAATGTTTACATTTTTTTCCTTTTAATAGCTGAATACATGCGTAACCCATCTCATGGCTAATGGGTAAGATCGAAGTTCACATGAATACGGAATCAATGAGGTCGAATTATTCACTTGCAAGTGAATAATTTATCAGCGACGTTTCTTAGCTTATTTTTTACAAAATTGAACCAAATTGGCTGCTAAAAGCAAATTATTATTTCACTATAATCACTTTCATTAATGATTGAACAAAACAAAAATATATTTTGATTTTTTTATATCTCGTAGCTAATGTCCCTTTAAGACATGGTCTTATATTTTTCAGTTGAATAAGATAGAAAAAATTAATGCAAATTTTAATGATGCAAGTTTGTATATGTGAAATTATGCACATGCGTTAAACGAATAGTAATAGTTGCTCTTTTATTTTACAGGAAAAGGAAATGTTACAGTGTCAGCAGAGTTCAATTTTCACGTAGATCCAGAAGCGGCTAGAGAAGTTCTACATGATCTATGTTGTCCTAAAACATTGCTAGGATGGGAGATATGTGATGAAAACGCGTTTTCTTGGGTATTTGAATTTTCAGTTTGATACAAAATAATCTGTAATACAAATACCCACATCAGGTCAAATTGATAAACTGATCAATTTACAAATTCGAAGCCACTTTGCAAAATGGTTGTTGTTCAATTCTTCTTAGAATAAAAAGAGACAGATGATGCCTTTGGGACATTAAAAGCTCATAAGTCGAAGAGAAACTGACAATGCCATGGCAAAAAGAGTAAAAGCAAGACGAAAAAGAGAGAAAAAGTCCACAAGACATTACATAGAAAACTTAAAGACTGTTCAACACAAACTCCACCCAAAACTGGGAATGATCTCAGATGCTCCGGATTGGTAAGCAGGTCCTGCTCCACCAGTGGCGCCCGTCATGTTGCTCATGGTAAGGAAAAGAGGACGGGATTGTGGTCACGCCAATTGGAACATATTCACGGAAATCTGCGACACAAATATTTTAAAAAGTCACCTTACTCATGATGACTTCTGTAAAACTTGCGAAGGGGCGGCTTCAATTTTTCCACTTGAAACCCTTGTTTCAATAGCCTTATTGTAAACAGCAACCCCTCTGATCAAGGAAGTTATGATAGGAAACACAAGCTCTGTAATATCGCATCACCTTGGAGATATAAATTCTGTATACAGGCGCTGCTAGAATGTTGCTACATAGAAACGGAAATTTCATAATTGGGAATCATCCTTTTTGTCGTAAAGTTTTGTTTTCAATAACACCCGATTGACAATTTCCATACGTAAGTCAAAATATAAGGCAGCCATACCTGTATCTGTAGTATTTTTTTTCGCGCTTTCTATCGGATAGATGCGTTAAAGATATTCACCAAACTTTGTATTATTTAGTTAGAAGACATCATCTATATAGCGGAACGTTAAGTTGAAGGAAAATGCTAGCTTTTTTCCATTCTTCCTTGGAAGCTCCTTGATGTAGTCTGTTTAATATGAATAAAAGAAAAAGTCGACAAGAAGAGGAGCAGGGTTGGTTCCCATGGGAAAACCAGTTGTTTGTTTAATCACGTCTTCCATATGAACTCATTAAAAGCCACTTAAAAACCTGCCAATCAGACAAAACTTTGTATTTATGGTACACATGCAATTTTATTTAAAAGAAAGGTAACCCATACTATAGGAAATAATAAGTCGAAGCAGAACGGACAAGCTATTGTGAATGAGAAAGGCCACAAACATTACACAGAAAACGAAAAATTACGAAAAATTACCACAACAAACATAAATGAATACAGGATTGAATTATAGATTTCCGGAATAGTAAACAATTTCTTCTGTACAAAGTGGCACCGTCATATTATTGCTGAATTATCTTTAGTTAGTATACTGATTTATTCAATGTTATACTGGTAACATGATGTAAAAGTAGCTTCATATATGTCGGAAATAATATTTTCTCTCTCAAATTTTAGGACTGGTACAAGAATTTTCTCAAGATGAAATCTAATAAAATAAAATACCTGGCAGAACTTGAAAAATATACAATGAACAAATATTATATTCCAAATATAAATAAAGGATTGATTCAGAACTATGAAATGGCAGATCAGTTTTTAATGGCCATTGCTCTTGACGAAAATATAATAATGGAATCTAAAACAGTGTATGCAGATGTTGAATTGAAAGGGGAGCTGACACGTGCACAGATGGTAGTTGACTGGAATAAAGTTTTAGGAAAAGAACCATACGTTAAAATTGTAACAAAATTTGACAGGGATCGGGCTGAACAAATGCTACTGGAGTCCCTTAATGAAAACGATTAAACAACTTATCCGGCAGGGTTTAAGTCTTTTATTCATATTTATACCATGACAGATGTGTCCATGGACTGATGCGTTCAATGAACTTAAAGAATTAAGACTTGTGTTCAAAAAAGTCTTTAAAGTACGGATAGTAAAGGATTTTTATCAAGTATGGATAGTAAATAAGGTATTTTAATCAAAGTGTATAAATTCATTCAAAACAAGGTAAGACAAGCTTAGTTGTGTTCAGTATGTGGTTTAAAAATAGAAAATGAATATTCAGTGAAAACATGGAAAACAAATTATCCAAACTAAGCACCAAAGCGCTTGTGGCCAAAAGCTCACATGAGCCAGGTGAGCTAAAAAGGAAAAGTAAGAATATCCGATCTTGTTTTCTTGATACTTTATTAAAAGGTGTAAAAACAGGTTTATATAAAGTAAAAAGATGTTTGATTATTTCCTATTCGAAAAAAATATTTCCCAATAGACTATTTTCATATTACCGACTTTTGACTCCGCAGTATACAATTGACTCAGTATTACATGACGGAGTACCAGAATGTCCTACCACAGAGAAGGAAACCTGTTGTCAAAAGATTATATACCCTTGAGTCAAAAGTCGGTAATATGAAAATACAATGTAGTCTATTCATATACCTCTTCAGTTTTATTTTGTTTGGTGAATCTGGTGTTGGTAGATTTTGAAACTTCTATATTTTTTCATTGCAAACTTTTTTTAAATTCGAGTCGGCAAATTAGAGCTAAATATATTGTGTAGATAGCTGTCTGTTATGGTTTGGTTATTTGTTCAGTTGAGTTGCTGTCTCCCAAACATGACCTCTCAAGACCAAATCACATATTCTTTGGTTTGTGATAAATCTATGATACTAGAGTATTTCAACACATATATCAAAGACAGCGATGTTAAAACAATTGAATGCTCAAGATAAATATTAATAAATTATTTGCTTTGTCTCAATGTTTTGAAAAATGTAAAATCGAAAAGTAAACGTAACAAAATGTACACGGTGGCCTATTGTTGCTCAGTTAAATGCTGTAAGTCGGCCAGTGTCAAGTTAGCAGTGCCCTATCTTCCTGAATAATGGCTTCAACTGGTTTCATTCTATAAACCGAGTAGAGGCTGTCGAGTGTCAAAACGTAATTGCTCTTTAACATAATGTGCAATACCTTGAATATATGGCTGTATATACAATATCGAATCCTTTTCAACTTTAGTGTCGGTACACGAATTTTATAAAAATAAATCTCCAAATATCCAATATTTGGCCAAACTTTAGGAAAACGCAAGGAATAAATGTAAAACCCCAAATATAAAGCAAGAATTGAACCAACATAACGAAATAGCAAACCAGCAGATCTTAATGGTTATTGCTCTGTATGAAAATGGCTTAACAAAATCTGAACTCGTGAATGCAGACGTTGAGTTGAAAGTAGAGTTGACATGTGTACAATTGGTTATTGATAAAGATAAACGTTAAGGAAAACAAACCTACTTGAAAAATTTGACAAATCTGAATAACTGTTTGGTAGAAAAAATGGTTTTGAATGCACTTAATAGAAAATTAAAAAAACATCGTCTTCAATCTTAGTTAAAATAATTACAATAAAAAAAAAGAAGATGTGGTATAATTGCCAATGAGACAACTCCACACCAGAGACCAAATGACATAGAAGTTTACAACTATAGGTCAGCGTACCGCCTTGAGCAAAACCCATACCACATAGTCAGCTATAAAAGGCCCCGAAATGACAAATGTGAAACTATTCAAACGAGAAATTTTTTTGTGTAAAAAAACAATGAACGAAATACAAATACGATATACAGCAACAAACGACAACCACTGAATTACAGGCTCCTGACTTGGAACAGGCACATACAGAATGTGCCGGGGTTAAACATGTTAAGTATATAATATTTCAGGATTTATAATTATGTTACCAATTTTGGGCATCATGTTTTCAGATTGTACAGGTGAAACAATGTTACAATACATTTGAATGTGCACTATGGTCACAAACGCACATGATATCACACATAAATCTTTTTTAAGTCCTAAACAGGGTTTGCAGACGCTGAGTTTACATTTTCAAAAATTGGTTATTAATTGAAATTGCACATTGTAGCAAGTGCAAAGTAGAAATTGATATAAAATACATTCGATGAACACAAATCCGCTGAGTACATCTTGTAGTACCTTATTTAAACACATTTTATGTACACGTCTGGTCTGTGTTTTTGTTTGATGTTTTCTGCTTTGTATCGTTCTGATGAGTTAAGCCTTTACAACTGATTTTTATACGACCGCAAAAAAATTTTTGTGGTCGTATATTGGTATGACGTTGGCGTCGTCGTCGTCGTCGTCGTCGTCGTCGTATGTCGTCGTCGTCGTCGTCTGGCGTCGTCCGGCGTCGTCCGAAGACACATTGGTTTTCGCACTCTAACTTTAGTTTAAGTGAATGGATCTCTATGAAATTTTACCACAAGGTTCAATACCACAAAAGGAAGGTTGGGATTGATTTTGGGGGTTATGGTACCAACAGTAAAGGAATTAGGGGCCAAAAAGGGGCCAAAAATAAGCATTTTTGTAACTTCCAGACATAACTTCTGTGTTAGTGTATGAATCTCTCTGATATTGTACCACAAGGTTCCATATCACAAAAGGAATGCTGGGATTGATTTTGGGGGTAATTGCCTCAAAATTTTAGGAATTAGGGGCCAAAAAAGGGGCAAAAAACAAGTATTTTTCTAGTTTCATGACAATAACTTGTGTGTAAGTGTATGGATCTTTCTGAAATTGTACTACAAGGTTCCATATCACAAAGAGAAAGCTGGAATTGAGTTTGGGGGTAATTGCTGAAACGTTTAGGAATTGGGGGCCAAAAAGGGGCCAAAAATAAGCATTTTTCTAGTTTCCAGACAATAACTTGTGTTCAAGTGTATGGATCTCTCTGAAATTGTACTGCAAGGTACCATACCACAAAGGGAAGGCTGGGATTGATGATGGGGGTAATTGCCTCAAAATTTTAGGAATTAGGGGCCAAAAAGGGGCAAAAAACAAGCATTTTTCTAGTTTCAGGACAATAACTTGTGTGTAAGTGTATGGATCTTTCTGAAATTGTACTACAAGGTTCCATATCACAAAGGGAAAGCTGGGTTTGAGTTTGGGGGTAATTGCCCTAAATGTTTAGGAATTTGGGGCCAAAAAGGGGCCAAAAAACACATTTTTCTAGTTTCCAGACAATAACTTGTGTTCAAGTGTATGGATCTCTCTGAAATTGTACTGCAAGGTACCATACCACAAAGGGAAGGCTGGGATTGAGTTTGGGGGTGATGAATCATAAGGGGGTTCAAAAAATTTGGGGGGGCGGGATTTTTTTTTTCCTTTTTTTTCTTTTTTTCATTTTTTTTTCTTTTAAAATTTTCCATTTTAAGTTGGTTATTTCTGATTTATATTTAAAAGCAAATAATAATGATATGATAGGAGATACACACCAAACAGGATGTGTAAATTATTATATAATAAGTATTGTGCAATAGCAAGAAATTTTCAATTGCACAGTATTGCACAATAGCAAGAAATCTTCAATTGCACAGTATTGCGCAATAGCAAGAAATCTTCAATTGCACAGTATTGTGCAATAGCAAGAAATATCCAATAGCACAATATTGCACAATAGCAAGAAATTGTCAATTGTACAGTATTGCGCAATAGCAAGAAATATTTAATTGCACAGTATTGTGCAAAAGAAGATACTTCGTATAAATTGCTTATTTCTTGACCAATTTCAATGGGGTTTTATTCTTGAATTCTTGGGGTTCTTTAATATGCTGAATCTAACCGTGTATTTAGTTTTTGGATTTTGGGCCACGTTTTTAAATTGGTCCACATTGAGGTCCAAAGGGTCCAAAATTAAACTTTGTTTGATTTCATCAAAAATTGAATTATTGGGGTTCTTTGATATGCCGAATCTAACCGTGTATTTAGATTCTTAATTTTTGGTTCCGTTTTCAAATTGGTCTACATTAAGGTCCAAAGGGTCCAAAATTAAACTTAGTTTGATTTTAACAAAAATTGAATTCTTAGGGTTCTTTGATATGCTGAATCTAAACATGTATTTAGATTTTTGATTATGGGCCCAGTTTTCAAGTTGGTCCAAATCAGGGTCCAAAATTTAACTTTGTTTGATTTCAACAAAAATTGAATATATGGGGTTCTTTGATATGCTGAATCTAACCATGTATTTAGATTTTTGTTTTTGTGGCCCTGTTATCAACTTTGTCCACATTGAGGTCAAAAGGGTCCAAAATTAAACTTTGTTTGATTTCATCAAAAATTGAATTCTTGGGGTTCTTTGATATGCTGAATCTAACCATGTATTTAGATTTTGGATATTGGACCATAATAGGTGAATGTCCAATTTAAAATTTTTAAGTTCTTAGACCACATTCGTTCTGTGTCAGAAACCTATGCTGTGTCAAATATTTAATCACAATCCAAATGCAAAGCTGTATCAAGCTTGAATGTTGTGTCCATACTTGCCCCAACTGTTCAGGGTTCGACCTCTGCGGTCGTATCAAGCTGCGCCCTGCGGAGCATTTTATTATAGTTTGTTCTTATGTTGTGCTGTTACATCACTGTTCCAGTTTAGAGGGAGGATTGAGCGCCCACAAACATGTTTAACCCCGCCACATTCTTTATGTGCCTATCCCAAGTCAGGAGCCTATATTTCAGTGGTTGTCGTTTGTTCATGTCTGTCATATTTGTTTTTCGTAAATTGTTTTGTTATAAATTAGGCCGTTAGTTTTCTCAATTGAATGGTTTCGTATTTTTCATGTCAGGGCCTTTTATAGCCGACTCTACAGTATGGGTTTTTCTCATTGTAGAAGGCCGTACGGTTGCATATAATTGCTTACAACTTTGGTGGATAGTTGTTTCATTGGCAATCATATCTCCTTATTTTTATAAAAATAGGGTTTTAGTATTGTTATGCTTTTGTAATTGTTTGGGTTTTTTCCGGATAGTTTAAGTGTAATTTTAATGAATGATCGACCAAAGTCCGTTTTCAGAGACAAAGAAGCTGTGAAATGTCTATCATCTCTTCACGATAAATATGTTGTTGTTCCTGCGGACAAAGCTTCAAATTATATTTTCTGTGTATGGAAATCGTACTACTGTCTTGTAAAAGAATTAGGAATAAATGAGCACTCAGGTAATCCCACATACAAAAACATATCATTTGACAAGGATGAGATTTTGGCGAATCATAAGTCCTTCATGGCTTCAATGAACATTACATTGAACAGCAAATCTGAGAACTCACCTTGTTTGTATTGGATACCTAAGCTTCACAAAATTCCGTACAATCAACGGTACATTGTCGGCTCATCTGTATGTTCTACAAAGGAACTGTCCATCAGATTGACAAAATGTCTGTCCGCAGTGACAGAGAGTCTTCAGAAATACTGTGAAACTGTTTACTCGCGTAGTGGTATTAACCATATGTGGATTCTAAAAAACTCTAAAGGACATCTGAATAATTTTAAATCTCGACCTTTCTCTGAAATGAATTCTATCAAAACTTGATTTTTCAACCCTGTATACCACCATTCACCATGTGAAACTGAAAAATCGTCTAAATAATCCACAATTCTTTTTAATATAAAAATGGTAGCATACGCTATAAAATTATTACTTTGGGATGCCATACGGCATATTTTGTTAAAAGTGAACAAAAAGGTAAAACATGCTACACAGAGGAACAAGTGATCAGTATGCTGGAGTTTCTTTTTGACAACATATTTGTTGAATTTGGAGGTAGAACTTTTCAACAAATTGTCGGCATTCCTATGGGAACGAACTGTGTGCCTCTCCTTGCCGACCTCTTCTTATTTTCATAAGTCGGAGTTCCTTCAGACACTTGTCAAAAACAAGATGATCAAAGAAGCCAGATCATTTAATTTCACATTCACAAATATTGATGATGTTCTTTCCATTAACAATCCATATTTTCTGTTTGGGTTCCATTAATATATCCTCCAGAACTAGAAATTTAAGAAACAATAGACATGGCTTCATCCGCCTCATTTTTAGACTTATACCTCGAATTTGACATAAGCGGCCGTCTCAGTATCAGAATCCATGACAAACGAGACGATTTTAATTTTGAAATTAGCAATTTCCCCCACCTTAGTAGCATTATACCAACTTCATGTGCATGTTGGATATACATTTCCCAACTCGTTCGGTATTTCAGAGCTTGCAGCTGCTATGCAGACGTTATAAAACGTCACCAGTGTCTGAGCAAAAGTTGATGAACCAGGGTTATGTCAAAGAAAGTCTTGTCCTTTTTCTAAAAAAGTTCATCGGAAGATACCAAGACATTGTTGATAAATATTCCGTGTCAACTTCACAAATTATACACGATGGTCTTGGAGTATAGATTCTAGGTACTGACGTTGTTTATCATCTTAATTACGTGTTACAGTGTTCTTTTATTTGTCTTTGTAAATTATTTACTTTACTGTTTAGTCCATTTTTGATAATGTCCTCTTGGCGTGGCTCGGTACTTATACATCCCGCCACTGTGTTATTGTGCCATCGTCATTTTTGGTATTCTTGTCTTTCATCTTTGCTTATGTGCTTTGTCTATATGCCATTTTGTTTTTCTTTGGTGACATATTTATTGTTTTTATAGTGATTAAGATTATAACACAATGTTGACTGCAGTACCCCTATTTTTGACATTTTTACCTATTATGTCTGTTTGTTTTGTTCACACATTTTTGTTAATATGATGGAATTTTATGCGACTGTCATGCAAGTGAGAGGTTTAGCTAGCTATAAAACCAGGTTTAATCCACCATTTTCTACATAAGGAAATGCCTGTACCACGTCAGGAATATGACAGTTGTTTTCCATTCGTTTAAAATAATTGAGCTTTTAATTTTGCCATTTAATAAGGGACTTTCCGTTTTGAATTTTCCTTGGAGTTCGGTATTTTTGTTATTTTCCTTTTTATAAATGTACTTTATTTGGATTTACCAGTGCGATCAGACACGCGCATGTTTTTCAAGCAGAATTTTTTTGACAAACTATCACAGTATACAAAGCAAAGTTTGAAATAAACCCACCTAAATCGGATCTCAGCTAAACACCGCGCCATTGTGAAATGGCCTAATGTTGTCAAGTTTAAATAACAACTGTCATTAGATACAATTATCCACCAAAATATTAAATACATGGATCGAGTTATTGTGAGAAGCGCACACACTTGACACTCTATTCCCAACATACTTATAAACAAGTTATAAAGCTAACCAATTGGTATCTATATACAGTTAAAAGTCAAACATGGAAAAAAAATGGTGCTGCTTTCTCATGATTTGCTGCGATATTTGTATAAAACGGAACAAGGAAGTTTATAAACTGCTTCTTTTTTTAATTTACCTTGGAGTTCGGTATTTTTGTAATACTTTTTTCATAATTTATTCCTACACAAACCTAATTTTACAGGTAAACACATAGTCCATAACATATATACGAGCACTGAACAAATTATAAAGAAATAATTTAACACAAGATTATGTTTACCGCATCACAAAAGTGTCAAAGTAGTCCCTTAGAGATCGTTTAATACCGCACACCCAGAATTATCTAAACTGCTAATATTTTAATTCATTCAATTTATTGTATGAATTTTTCCCTGTTATCCTTTAATCTACTATCCTCCTGCCTGGCGTATACATCACACAAATTTGACCAATGGAAAACGAATAGCAATTTGTAGACACTGGCACTAAAATGATAATGAAAGTTTTTATATATTTTTTTTTGGTAATTTCATGCAAAACATTAACATATAGATTTAATTTAAGTTGTTTATCTTTGGGCAACAAAGAAAAATAAAAATAACGACATTGTAACTTATATAAATATTGTTCTTGATACTGTTACTCGAGGGTCTGGATGGGGTTACTTCATTTCTGTACTCGTAAATTTTTTAGGTCATTTTTCTCTATTCTTTATATTTTATGTCCATTATTCTCTAATCTTTACATTTTCTGTCCATTATTCTGTATTATTTATATTTTAACACCCCATCATTCTGCATTCTTTACTTTTCTAACCATTTTTCTCTATTTTTTATTTTTTTTGTGATATTTCTGTACATTTTGCCCATTATTCTCTATTCTGTAAACCCTTTTCAAAGCGTCTTGCATGTCTCGAAAATCTATGATGTATACACTGCCTTTTGTTCGTTTTTATGTGGTACATGTATGCTCTATATCAAATCAAAGATCATTACGATTTTGTGTGTTTGATATATATATATATCCGTTGATGGAAGCCGTATTAAACTTGCAGGGCAATGAGAGTTTTAGCTCCATTTTGTAGTCATATAATATCAAATTGATTAAAGAATCAATAAAAGAGAAAATGTGCTACGTGTTCCTCCTTCATTAAAATGACAACTTACTGTCAGGACAGCACACGTCATAATGTGTGTTACAGCTATAACCTTGTGGACATGCTGCATTAATACAGCGAACAACACTGTAGTAATCTTGGCGATATGGTGGACCAAATGGACACGCCTGACCTGGTATCAGTTTATTCCCTACATGTATATCTGAAAAGAAATATTGCTTGACCTTTTGGATATTTTACCAATTTAGATTTCATTTTAAGTACATAAAAATAAAAACAAATATTTCAAGATAATTGGTTGGGTATAACTTGCTTTTAAAGTGGTTAAAAGCAGAAAGTGTGGTTAGAATGTATTGATTGACCGTTGTTTCCTTAATGTTCAGTGGCAAGTATTTCATGCATATTCACGACATTAGAAAATAAATATGTTTTGTCTTGCAACAAGTCCCCCACAGACCACCCAATCAACAATCAATCCAATTCTATATCCTCGTCGTTCGGTCTCTGGTGGAGGCAATCGTCTCCTTGTTTACACTGAAGGCTCAATCATTGATTATAGGTATTTACAACTGCGAGTATATGATGATATCACTGCAGTCAGTGCTTTTGTATTGGTAAAATAACAGTTTAATATTGATAGCTGTGAAATTAAATTTGGTATAATGTTATTTTATAACTAACCGACTGAAAATCATGTTACCTTCAGTCTATATGTGCTCTAAAAACACAGGTTAAAATAAATTTTGAGAAAAATTCAATAAAACATTAATTGTGAAATTACTTTACAAGCTACATTTTACTCTAGGTTGTTAAGAACCTAACGTAAAATGTAAAACTACTCGGACAACTTAATGCTCAAATGAAATATGTAATCAATTTTTGTACTGGAAGCTAATTCACATGTAGAGGATGAGCATGCAGAGCAGGAGACGCTGATCCTGTCGGAGCACACAGTCTCGCTCAAGAGGTCATGTGATTCCCACAGTTTTTCTTTTACATTGATTTGTATATTTTTAATGGATTTTTGAGACTTCAACGGTAAACTATTAAAGCCTCTTATTTCATTATGCATAAAGTGTTTAATACTTATAATGAATTTATTTCAAAAGTACGTGCCTCTCATTACACTTTTCATCAAACTCACCTATCGACAGGTGAGAAAGTTATGTTTAGTGATAATTAAGGAGGTGACTGGAAATTAGTGACTGCAACCACATATGCATCATGTTTGACTATTAAAAGTACGTTACGTTGTAACAGTACCATTAGATCTTCTGCCGTCGGACTTTAAGTCATCAGGGGTATCACAAGCCCGGAAGTCAGTGTGTTTATATTTTCGTAATTAGAATTTTGATATCCTCCCAAGTACGATGGTTTACTATCCTTTAAAGTGTCGGGCTTTTATTATTCCTCAATATTTCTTATTTTTGGAACTAGAGTTCCACAAGGGAGAAAAACATTTTCGAATGACGTATTCTGCATCATATCTTGGACACTATGTAACTTTGAATTAAATTTTAATAAACTAAGCACAACAAGTATGAGCATAACTTACCAGGATTTTTTAATCTTGAAATTCTAAATATAAAAGGATCACGTCCACATGAACCAGCCACGTAATGACCCGCTTCTCGTAACACATCACTAAATAAAATCTGTTCCTCCTCTTTGTAGAAAAATACCTTAGAAACTCCTTCTATATGAGGATACTGTAAATACAAATTAAAGTTTTTATATGGTTAATCGTTTGTTCTTCAGGAAACTTATCACTTTTTAAACGAAAAGTGAAATTCTTATAAATGAGCTAGGAAATTAGATTTTAAAAGAAGAAATTCCAGTTACGATTGACATGAGTCTGATATACTGCGATTGTTTCTTTATGTATGAAATAGCTTGTATGACCAACAATTAGACATCGAAAGTTTAACCTGTCTTTTGTCTTAAACGCACAACAGTGTTCATAATATTTATGTGTTTAACAGCAGTGTGCTCATTACACAAAAAAAAAAATAAAAAAATGCAGACTGAAATCGACGCTACATAAGTTTGCGGTCACCATCAGGAATTGGTTGATCGATACGACATGTATATCAACTCTTTAGCGACATGTTTTCGCAGTCTTAGATATTTAGTTATCAGAGAGTCTGGTCTGTATTTTACCGATTGTTTCCTATTCACGAGTGTAACGTTATGACTGAGTGTGGATTCGCATGACTGTTGATGCATGCATAGCATGAGACGCTTATCCTGTCGACAGAGTCGGTCTCGCTCCTTCTGGAGTTTATGCAATTCCACCAGTTTTCTTTTGCTACCTTGACTGATGTCTTCGTAATAGGTTGATGAGGTTTAAACATCGGTACGCTATTGTTGCTTTAATTCAAACTACCGATAGTGCATTGTTTGCCTTGTTAAATACCTGCTCGTTATCAAAACTAATAACGCCTATTGGTGTAATGTTTATTTTTTTTTTAAATTCCTTGAAAGTTTTTTTTGTTACAGAAACTCTTCAATGTGAATATTTTTTTGTGATTTGAATTAAAAGATTTAACATATTCCTCATTCAAAAAATAGTCTGATCATACAGATATGAACAAGAATAAACAGTTTTAGTCATACACTCGAATGCCAGGTTCGATCCGCCTCCAGGTCAAATCAAAGAATAGAATATGGGTATTCACTGCTTCTTAGCTAAAGCATATGACATTTTGAAGAAAGAACAAAGAATGGTTGGCTCGGAGTGAAAATAATGTGCCCAGGTAGGTGAACATACCGTATATCTTGCTTACTGTTACCTTTTGAACTAGCACGTTAGACACCAATCTCATTGTTTCGGTCTATTACAACTCAGGGTTCATATCCATTTCACAAAAACAAGTTCTCATGCAATATTTTCCACTGGGCGTTAAACACATCATCATTATCATCTTTATCATTATTATTTGGACATACCATAAGCATCGCTTTATGGGTAAATAGTATCAATATTACTCTTACATTTGATATATTTTACATGCATTTTTCTCAAGGGCTTAGAAACCAAGAATTAAAAAATAATTCTATACCAATCATTTCATGTATTTTTCTGAAACTTACGACAACTTGCTTTGTTTTATTGACTACAACTTTATAAGAATCCACCAAATCTTTATCAAGCATACCCGCATAACAGATATCCCGAATACGTTTTGACCGCATCCCAAATGTCCTCTGAAATATAAAATGCTTTTAGATGTCAGATGTTCATATGATACAAATAAACTCATAATAGATACAAGGATTGAAACAGACAGAGAGAGATTAATAAAGATATTAATACAAACCAATTAATTTAAAATCTTCTTTGAACTCAACCAACTCAACACAATTTGGCTATCGCTCCATAATATGACACGGTTAGCATTAATGTGAGTCAAAATGTGAGATAAACGACTTCTAATTACTGCAGCCATTGGTTCTAGTCTTGGTATTGTTAGCTGTTTTAAAGTGTTACTCGATTTCTTGTCATTAGAAGTGAATTATGTCCTTCCGAAATGAGACATGCAGAAGCTCCCTAAGTTTTCATGCTAACATTCATAAATGCATTATCGCAGTGTCTCTGTTCGAAGCCGATCATTTGTTTAGGTAATGACGATGGATAATAACGGCTTTGTCGCTTCGTTTATATCTCTTCTGATAACAATCCATTTAGTGCTTATATAAACAGGCAATGGCTCGTCCCAATTCATATTTTCGTCCAAAAGTTTTTACATAACTATTTTACATCCTACGGTAACTGGACAGATGATCCCAAGTGGACCATCAATCGTGGACGATTCACTTAATTAGTACTTTGCGTTTCATGATGAGATATGTTTCATGTCTAGGTAATTTTCAGCATACTTTAATGTATCATAATCTGTTTTCCAATGCAAGCCTAAAATCTTAAATACCTGTGCTATGTCGAGAACTTTTTTCAGAGTCTGCAAATTCTTTTAATAGCTAGTTATTTACTGCCCACGAGAGTAAATTGAATCCACTGTCTGCAAATAATTAACGAGCGAATAACGTTATGATATTGTGACAATTCATCTTCGAAATTAAAAATAGCTAATATTGTCTACGTACAAATCTTTCGTAAAACTGTCAGTAAATTCTGTCTGATGGTTGTTGATGCGTTTTGATACTAGTATAACAGCATCCTATATAAAGGTTGAGCAAGTGGCTTCAAATAATACAGACTTGAACCTATCAGTTGTAACACAACTGCTTAGGTCTGTTGAATTACTTTACCATACGGCGAATTTATTAATGCGGAATCTTAAAGTATTGCGGTCACATCATTCAACATAGAAGGTACATTAATCGGGCGGTGTCCGATGTTTGCCTACAACTACAATCACACACGATCTTGATAGGTGTAGTTGCTTTCGTTAATGAATGATGAGGGAGATAATGTAACTTGGTATTTGGTTTGACTAAATCTTTGTGCCGACTTTCTCGATAAACCCTCGCTTTTCCTGTTCTTCAATGATTTCTCCATACTTCTATAACAATTGAGGTTCTTTACTAAGCCGTCTACTTACATTCCTTCGCAAGGCAACTGCTTTGTTTGTCGGTAATGGCAGATGGTTGGTTTTTCAAGGTAGCTTGGTGACATACTTGTTGTCAAGCAATAACACTAATGAGTTTTCATACATCATTTGAAATTCGTCCAATCTGGACGAAAAACGCGTCTGGCGTACAAGATTATAAGCCTGGTATCATTTATGATTTTATCCTGTATTTGTTTTCTTTCCTTCTATACCAAGGACTCGATTTCCAAAAACACTTTGTAAGATTACGTTCCTGTTTGATGAGACACAACAACTATCAATATTGAATTTTCGTTTGATCCTCTTATACTTGTCGTTAGTCCAGAAAGCAAATATCCAAATTTGGATTCTACTGCAGTCGGTCCATGATTGTATCTCCAACTATACTCCAGTAAAAATCTGCCCCAATAAGTAAATTATTATCAAACATGTCATCTTCGGTAATTCGGTGTGTTAATCTCAACCCACGCAAATGTCTCATACTCCCTACTGATTTCATGTGCGTTTGCAGAGGCAGTGCCATTTCAGGTATGCTAAGTACCTCGAGCGCAATGTTTTCTCCATCATCAGCTTGTATATACATCGTTGTGGATTGCATATCCCTTACCTCTCTGTTTTTCTTCCGAATCAAGAAAGGTGCCGTTGATACCCATTATATATTTTTTAGATGAATGCTTCTGTGACGAATGACCCTGGACGCCTTCGTCTTACAAAATATTAGCATCCGTTGACTGAATTCCGAAGGCTCACGCTAGCGACAGTGGTTTTCAATATAACATTTGAAGTTTTCCGTGGTTCGAAGTAAGAGTATAATACAATATTACAGTGATCTTTATCAACATGTTTATACGATTCGTCCACCTTGTTTTTCTTAATACATATACATATATGATGGCGTTTGTTGAATATCTTACATGACTTGACTCGTAGATTTGCAGTCAGCTAATTTTTGACGATAGAGACATTTACAAACATATCCTCTGTCTTTTTATTACAGCTATACGTGCATCTATGGTTGTGATTTTTGTGCAATTCGTGACAAAATATCATGTCTTAAAGTAAAATTTATTCTCAAAAACTGACTTTATTGGTTTTCCGAACGTTGATTTTGAAAACGATTTCATATTATTTAAAAAGGTATCAGTAGCGAATCGCACAGCGTTTAGTAGCTTGTGATACTCGCTGTTTGTTGTAGACGACGAGCGTGAATTTGTGGTATGTGTAGATTGGTGGTTTGCTGCTGTTGAGGGTTGGATGATACATGTAGATAATACTGATTGTGTTTAAACGGTATTAAACTTTCGGCATGAGGGTTCAAATTTGATGAAATTGATTCATTTGCGGGTGAACACTGAGTTTTGCAAGACTTTGCTGATTTTGTAAATTGCCGAAGTTTGAATTCTGAATTGAACATATACACATCTGAGTCCTGTATTTTCTTTCTATTCTTCTGTGTAACAGTTTCAAGTGACGTTAAAATTTCCTCATAATCACCAACGGAACTTTACCGAATTTCCTCAAATTTCCTCCGGAGTTTCTTAACTGCATCTCTATATCCTGCTCGTTTGGCTTTTAACTTCACTTCCATTATTTCATCTGGTTTTGATACCAATATCTCTTAGTATGGCATGAACTTAAGAAAAAAAACGCCTTGTTAGTTTTGTGCATGAATAGAGAATGCCAAAGGAATTACGTCAATGATAGTGACGTTACAATTGCGCGGCGTGCTATACTGTACGTCTAGTTAGCAAACTTTACCAAACATATTTGTTATATAAAAAAAATATAGCATCCACAATATCGGGCTTCTTGATAGGGTTAAAACCCAATGAGCTCCTTGTACATCGTAGATTTTGAATGCGCTTTGGAATGTGTGACCGAACAGCTTTGATCCATTCAGATAAAGTGTCAATATAGTTTCATTTAATCTGACTGTCTGGCATATTCCTCATCTGTATCCATCAGTAAATATCAAAAGTTCTTTTCTAGTTGATGGGCTTGGGTACTTGGTATTTCGGGCATTTGGCTAACAACCGTCTAAGTTGTTCATTATTTACGATGGAAAGGTAGCCAAGTATAAGATGACCAGCGGGCAGGGTGGCAAAGATCCGGGTTTTATGAGTATTGCCCAGCCCACTCGGAAATACTGGTAAAACCCGGGTTTTACCGGGTAATACTGGGCAATACTGGGTAATTTGAAAACACTGGCCTGAATCTTACTGAGGATTCATTGATTTATCACAGATGCAATACATTAAAGATATACATATAATTTATAAGTTCGCTTGTTTGAGACTCTTACAAATGTATCATAAAATGTATAAATCTGAGAAAATATTGGTCCAGCAGCTCTAAGACATACACAAAGAAAAATAAACACATGGGAAAATATTTCTCTATTATGTCTATAATCCTCTTAAAAATCTATTGAATTGCCATTCAGTCTAAGCTGGTCAAACATGAGGTCAAAGAATTCAATTAAAAAAAAAATATATATAACTAATATTAAGAATAAACAATTAATTAAATGTATTAGCTTGGAAATGACTTTTCATTAGAACATACTCACCCCTTCTCGTCCAATGAAAAGTCAGTTTTTTCCTTCTAATTTTCATAGTACGTGGCTTTCCATGCACTATAAAATGCTATACATGAATGACTTTTGATTGTAGATAATTATGAAAGTGAACTCTTAAAAACTGCTCTAATGAGGTGTACTACTCCCCCAAGGCAATTTCCAAAGGAAAAGAGCAAAAAAATCATGAGTACTGTTATTTGCCTAATTATTATAAATGAAATCAGGAGAACATTGTAAATGTTATTTAATGGTGAATATAAAGACCCCCCCCCCCCCCCCCCAAAAAAAAAGAAATGAAAAGGGGGGAAAGGTTTAGGTAAAAAACATTTAGTATTTAATCTAATTTTTAAACAAGACCTGAAAACCAATGTTTAAGAATCAATGGCTGTTAATAAAAAAGAAAGTTTTGGAAAAAAAACTCAATATATTCATCAATAAAAAATAAGCATCCGATGTTGAAACGATTGTAAATCAAAATTGATTGATGAAGTTTTTTCATTATCAAAAATTATACAATTTAAGAAAAGAATATTTATATAACATTGTGTTCTTTTTAAAATGAAGGAATTTTAAATATATCAGATTAAATTGTACCTGAAGCAGAAGACGTCTCCATTTTTGAATAATTTATCCTTTTTGTTATCACAAACCTATCTCATTGCTCTTTCATTCCATTAATTGAAATGGCCATTTAAATGATTTACATCCCTTTTACTAACCAAGGCAATATTTAAAGTGAGCTAATATCAAAATTTAATTTTTACAATGAGAGGCATATTTTGTTATGTCACTCGAAGGTGTGAATATGTTCTAAATTGGTCAGACAATACTTGGTCATGTTTTATGAAGATTTTAAACCCTCGGCTACGCCTTGGGCTTTAAATCTTCATAAAACATGACCAAGTATTGTCTAACCTATAAATAATTGTTGTTCATTGCATACTTACATGTACATCACTAATTAATAAGTAATTATTTAGATTATCACACATGTTTGTTTATATAATAGTAATCAGCCTTTTTTGTTTTGACAAGTGTTCTTGACATGTCCCCTTAGGGTGTTTATTTAGCAATATGAATGTATATCAATCAAAATTTACAATTCACTTCAACACTGCACTAAAATGCATTCTATTCACAGTTCGGATTATTGAAACAAAGCTTGGTTATAAACAAGGTATTAAAAAATGTGCAAAACTTTATTGTACTGCGCCTACATAGATTTATTGGAGAAGAGAAAGACATAGTTTTAAAATTTACTCTCAATGGTTATCTGTAAAAAACTGTATATATATTTAGCTATAAAACTATGAAACTACAACATGTCTTTACTATTCTGTGTAAAAATAGACTTAAAAAATCATATTGTCCAATATTGCCCAGTATAACTCATTTCTTGGAGTATTGCCCATCACGGGAAAAACCTGGTTTTCCTACCCTGGTTGTCCCGCCCGGGTAATACTTTATAAACCCTGCCAGCAGGACTATATTTGTATGAGGACGATGAATAAAATATCGGGTTGTTTGGATTTTACATCAATGAGGGTAAAAGTCTCTATACCCTCTCGTGGTTGAAAATCTTTGATGCAATAGGTTTGGTATAGGTATATGAAATCACAAGTGTAGTTTTATCTTTAAAGTAATAAGGTAATGTGTTCTTCACTGAATTTTGGTGGACAATCAGCTGAAGGTCAGACGAATCCTAACACACGGACATGTACCGCCAACGCAACCACCAGATCCGCATCTCTACCTCTCACATTTTGTGACATCAGTCGCAGGCGAAACAAAACCGTATATTTGGCAACTAATGGAGCGTACTAAAAATAATTTATACTCATTGCAACCCGGCGGAGAACATTTTAGCGCATTGACAGGAAATTTTAGCGCAAGATTTTTAACCCATATAAGCGAAAAGTTAAATTATCAATATAAAAAAGAAGATGTGGTATGATTGCCAATGAGACAACTCTTCACAAGAAACCAATTAACACAGAAATTAGCAACTATAGGTCACCGTACGGCCTTCAACAACGAGCAAAGCCCATACCGCATAGTCAGCTATAATAGGCCCCGAAATGACAAATGTAAAACAATTCAAACGAGAAAACTAACGGCCTAATTAATGTACAAAAAAATGAACGAAAACAAATATTTTACATAGCAACAAACGACAACTACTGAATTACAGGCTCCTGACTTGGGACAGGCACATACATACAGAATGTGTCGGGGTTAAACATGTTAGCGGGATCCCAACCCTCCCCTAACCTGGGACAGTGGTGTAACAGTACAACGTAAGAACGAACTATAAAAATCAGTTGAAAAAGGCTAAACTCATCAGATGGGTACAAATAGAGATACATCTAACAAAAACACAGAGTGGACGTGGCCGGGTACTTGTACATCCATACAACAAAAAGACACTAAGTACAGATCTGAGAGTACTAGCAGTTACTGACAGCTAGTTCAAAGCAAATGACAACTAATAAAAACAATCATGCATCAATAAGACTAGATTATCAATCAGTACACATCCAACATCCAATGGATTTAGTGTAAAGACGTCATAAACAGTAAAAGAAAAACTTGACCTTGTGCAATGCCAAGATAAGGTATCGACATATTGTAGATCCACGAAAGTGCATATGTATATAACAATAATATCTAGATTGCTTTTAATTTACTGATAACAAAATCAATATTAATACAAATAAAAACAATATCCAAGGATCTAATTACAGTGTTGGATTGGTAACATTTTAGAATAAGTTTATTTAAAGGATTGCTAAGTTTACCAGGATCGTTTCTAAATTCCCGGGCACGGTAAACAACATCTCCGTAAAAATGAGGATGTGCTTTCCCGTTTGAAATAAGTTTTCTAAAGGTACAACCAAACTTCAAAACCAAATCTTTATATCTATGGAACAAGGTTTTAAGTAATGCCCATTTTAGCATCAATAAAGCACAATATAGAAAATATCATGTCAATTTCAATACAGCAATGAAAGTCTAATAAGTCAACACAAATGTTACAAGTCCGTTTTAGCCTGGAATTTATATCATAGAGAACGTACGTCATGGGCTCTTGATATACCCCCCCCCCCCCCCCTGTCCATTACTGCTCATAATATTGCAGTAGGAACTGTTCCTTGTCTTTATCTTGTCTAGATTGAGGTGCACATTCATCTATACTTCTAATTTTGAAATATGTTGTTGGTTGCAATTTGATGATAGTATCCAGAAAACGTAAATGCTGGTTGACAACTATAAAATTGCTCATTATAATGGCCATGGAACGACTCTGGACTATTACTCGTTCGCTTTGAATTACATGGAAATTCTGCCCATAGCTTAGGGAATCATAGAATCTTCAGTTACATAGTATTCGGTCAGATATTCTGTTTATCCTATTAAGGTAGCCATCACATATTATACTTTCCTTTCCTCTGTTTGTTCCAACAACATTTATTTCCATGATGAACCAAAGTGTAAATGCAAACAACTTAAATATTAGGCCAGCATAAATTACTGTTCATGATTTTAGTATGGTGAGTATTATTCAACCAAGTAAGTTTGCGCTAAAATAGGCTATCGCAAATACAGGTGAACAGATTAATCCTGCGCTAAAATGGGATATAATGTTTGCGCTAAAATGTCCCCTAGTTGTTCAACCTTTGCAACCATTCTGTTCAAAATTCGGAAACGCTAAAATTAATGCAAAGTATGTATAATACATTTAAATAAATACCTTTAACCTTTACTTGGAAAAGATAGACATATTGTTAAACAAGCTTAGCATTCTAAAAAAGATTTATTTCAGATTTTACATTTTTATAGTTATTTTTAAAGAGAACGAGTTAAATTAGAATTCCATTATATTGACAACAATGGGTGAGCAAAACAAACAGACATAATAGGTAAAACTGTCAAAAATTGGGTACAGCAGTCAACTTTGTGTTATAATCTTAATCAATATAAACACAAACAACTATGCCAACAATTAAAAACAAAAAGGCATGAAGATACTCTAAAGACAAAGCACGTAAGCAAAAATGAAAGACAAGAAAACAAGAAATGACCATAGCAAAATAACACAATGGCGGGATGTATAAATACCGAGTCGCGCCAAAAGGATATTACAAAAAATGAACTACAAAGTATAAAGGTTTAAAATATACAAAGACAAATAAAAAGAATTACTATCACACGTAATTAAGATGATTAAAAAGTCAATACTTAGAATCTATACTTCAAGTATTATTTGTGAAGTTGATACGGAATATTTATCAACAAGGTCTTGGTATTTGCCGATGTACTTTTGTTTAGAAAAAGGACAAGACGTCCTTTGACATAACCCTGGTTCATCAACTTTTTGCTCAGACACTGGTGACGTTTATAAAATCTGAGTAGCAGCTGCAAGCTCTTGAATACCGAATGAGTTGGAAAATGTATATCCTATATGCAGGTGATGTTGGTATATTGCTCCTTAGGAGGGGGAAATTTATAATTCCAAAATCCAAATCGTCTCGTTTATTATAGATTCTGGTACTGAGATGACCGCTAATATTAAATTCGAGGTAAAGTCTAAAAATGATGCGGAAGAAGCCGTGTCTGTTGTTTCTTTAATTTCTACTTCTGAAGAAAATATTAATGGAACCCAATCAGAAAAGTTGGGATTGTTATTGTTAATAGAAAGAACATCATAAATATATCTATAATAAGTCAATATTACCCTGTTTCTATCAAACAAGATGTAAGATGTCATTAAGCGGAGGAAATCGGTTGTATATGACACTATACGCTGAACACGAGAAGCCACAAGGGTATAAGCTTCTTCTGTGACAGAGCCATCAGGATGTGTTACTCCATACTTCAACTGAAATATAAAAGTATAATACAAATAACAAAACTAAGGAGGCGCGTTTCTGTAATGACTTTTATCAAATATGTTTTGGTGTTTTTGACCAAAGGGGGAGAAGCAATAAAACGTTACAGTACCCAAATTGCACCGAGTACCCATATTGCACCCATTTAGCAAAAATAGCAGCATAAATATTAAGTTTTCTTAGAGACTAAAACAATTTGTATTTTATGAATTGACATTATGCACGTCTTTCAACATGGCTAAATATATTTAAACATACACAAAACGTTCACAGTACATATATCAAGAGGTGAAGTATTCACTGGAAAAAGTCAAATCTACGGAAACGTCGCCATGCGACGTTCACATAAAGTCAACTTTTAAAGATGAGCAATTAAAATATGTTACTGGTATCCATTTCTTAAAAAAATAATGTTAAGCATGGACTATTATCAAATTGTTCTAAATATTTGGAGAAATAATACAAAACATCAGTTATTCGATTTTTACGGATGTGAATTTAAGCATGGATGCAATTTGGGTACTCCTCATTACAGAATCATGGATCGTTTGGACCTTTCCATATAAGCGGGAGGTTTGGCTAGCCATAAAACCAGGTTCAACCGGTCATTTTTTTCTTAAAATGTCCTGTACCAAGTCAGGAATATGGCAGTTATTATCAAATAGTTCGTTTCTATGTATGTTGGTGTTTGTTTTTGTTGCACTACAGTGTTTCTGTCGTTCTGTTGTTTTCCTCTCATAGTTGATGTGTTTTTGGAAACTTTTGTCTGGATCATAGATAAACGTTTGTGAAAAAACCTGTCAAATTAGGTGCAATTTGGGCACTTTCACGTTACATACACGAAATTTTAATACAGCAATGACATTTTATGATTATTTGAATCCAGAGAATACATTTGATGTTTGCCACTGAACTTTAATCAAGTAACTCAATCGAGCCATCGGATTATGTATTGCAGTGACAATATGAAGAATACTTGTCAAAGAACAGGGACAACAGAAAATTGTTTATTCTTGTTCTAACGAGTCACATTTGTATGAGAACATGAAGAAGTACAGTGGTGTTTACTTTGTTAATATTTAATAAATCAACTTTCAATGGCATGTTTAAATTCATTGAAAAGGGTTTTTGTGTAAGCAAAATAAACATAAAAAGAAGATCAGTCTAAATGGTTTAAGGTCAGTTACTAAGTTTGAAGGAGTTACAACCCAATTTTGTTCTATAAAAAACAAGTTCATTTGTTTTTCTTATCACATGGATGATCCAGAAACCCGATAAATTGAACCCAACTTCGGGTGCTGTAGATGGGTAAGTGGTTATTCGTAGGGTTACTCATTACAAAGACATGAAAAATATCATGAATTAGGAAAGAAAGGGTGAATATACCAAAAAGAAACGCAAGATGGTCACGTGTGACACAGATTGATTGATTGTTGGTTGCTTAACGTCCAGTGGCAAATATTGCATGCATATTCAGGACAATATGTGACACAGATATTCATCAACGTTTAACAAGTAAGAAAAGGTATAATAAAGTTGAATTCAACCTTACGGTTGACCGACTGATGCTTGATAAGCTTAATTGGCAGATAACAATACGACGATGATGCTGATTTATCGATGAAGATTGTATGGTGGAATCTAGATAGATATAAGAAGATGTGGTATGAGTGCCAATGAGACAACTCTCCATCCAAGTCAAAATTTATAAAAAGATGTTTATTTCAATAAACTGAAGGGCACGCTGTCTCATTGACGGGCATATATAATATTACGGAACTATAAGCAATTCTCATATAATTGGAAGGTTAAGCGAGCTTTAAAACCAGGTTTAACCAACAATTTTCTTCGGAAAATGTCCGTATCAAGTCAAAAATATGACAGTTTTTTTCCATTCGTTCCTTTGGTTGGGTTGATATAATCGAACATTTGGTTTTGTTAAGTTTTATGGACTTCCTCTTTTTTGAATTTACCTTGGAGTTGGGTATTTCTGTTATACTTTTTTACACCCAAATCGTCTCATAATTCTATTCCATTTTAAAAGCAACCCCACTATGAAAGGATAGAAAAGAATTTTTAAAAAAATACCACACACTTTCAAATTGAGTTTAAAACACGCAAAAATAGAAAAAAAATCATCACTTCTGATATAAACATAGCCTCTGATGGTGATGGTATGAAAATACAGAAACTCTTGATACAATTCTCACGAAAAAGGTCTCTTCAAACACTGTTTTTCCGTATTTCTAAAGTAATTTCTTGATTATTATGTAAGATATCTAATAATAACTGGAGTAAATTTACATACTTTAACTCACAATCGTTGAACCCTGATATATACGTTAAAATCATTTATAAGTATTACAAATACTTGTAGATCAAATAACGAGCTACTCACCCGTGAAGGGGTTACGATCACATCTGTTTTAACCTGTTTAGATTGAATTGGAGCAATTGTCTGGTGTTGAATAGATGCGCCAGGTTGTATCTGTGGTTGTGGGGGGAGTCCAAATAATGATCGTGTGTCATGTGGTGTTTGCGTAGGTAACGGCGCACCTAGTTCATGTGATAGCTGCGGAGGTAATGGTTGTCCTATGTCATGTGATGGATGAGCCTGTAATGGTGGTCCTGTCTCATATTGATGATGAGGAGAAAATTGCGATGCTGTGCTTTGAGGGGGGTGAATAGGTAATGGTGGTCCAATGTTATGTTGCTGATGCGTCGGTTGTGATCCTACAATATGTGGAGGATGATTTGGAAATGATGGTCTTATGGCATGTTGATGATGGGTCGGTTTTGATCCTGCGTCATGTGGTGGATGAGTAGGCAATGGTGGTCTCATGGTATTTTGTTGATAGGTCGGTTGTGGTCTTACATCATGTGGTGGATGAATAGGCAATGGTGGTCTCATGGTATGTTGTTGATAGGTCGGATGTGGTCTTACATCATGTGGTGGATGAGCAGGCATTGGTGGTCCCATGTCATGTTGCTGGTGCGTCGGTTGTGATCCTACGTCATGTGGTGGATCAGCAGGCATTGGTGGTCCCATGTCATCTTGCTGATGCGTCGGATGTGATCCTACGTCATGTGGTGAATGAGCAGGCATTGGTGGTCTCGTGTCATGTTGCTGATGCGTCGGATGTGAACTTACGTCATGTGGTGGATGAGCAGGCATTGGTGGTTCCATATAATGTTGCTGATGCGTCGGTTGTGATCCTACGTCATGTGGTGGATGAACAAGCATTGGTGGTCCCATGTCATCTTGCTGATGCGTCGGTTGTGATCCTACGTCATGTGGTGGATGAGCAGGCATTGGTGGTCTCGTGTCATGTTGCTGATGCGTCGGTTGTGATCCTACGCCATGTGGCGGATAAGTTGGAAATGGTGGTCTCGTGGCATGTTGTTGATGGGTCGGTTGTGATGCTACGTCATGTGGCGAATTAGCAGGCAATGGTGGTCTCCTGTCATGTTGATGATGGGTCGGTTGTAATTCTACGTCATGTGGCGGATACGCAGACAAAGGTGGTCTAATATCATCTTGTTGGCCATGAGAATGCGGTGATTTTTTTTCGTTTGTACGGTAACGAAATAATGGTGTTCTTTTGTGTTGTCTGTCAGGAGGCAACTGTGATCCTGTATCTTGCAGTGACTGTGCAGGCAACGGTTGTCCTATATCCTGCGGTGGGTGGACAGGGGCAGAAGTAGCAGTTATAGCATGTGTTTTAGAAGGTTCTTGGTTATATGGTTGATGAGGCTGGTGGTTGTGCTGTTCTTTATAATGTTCCGTCTGCGATTTTTTTTTGGAAGAAGGGTCATATCTCGGATCTTGACCTGGATGTTGGGCAGCATTATGGTGATAGGTTGCAGTAGTTGTTTTATGTTCATACGGATCCACTGGCCATACTGGTGGATGATTTAAAGCATCATTAGTAAGAGATTTATGAACCCTTACACTTGGATCGCTTGTCACCGTCTCGGGTGGTCCTAGCTGTGATTGAATGTAATAATCTCTTTCCGGTGGAATATCGGGATGAGTTGTTGTTGTTGACCTCGGTGACTGTAAAGCATTTTGTTCTATGTAAGGAGTTTGTGTCGTAGTACCTCTGTATTCATGGGGATTATAATGTTGAGGATTTCCATGAGGTTGATCATTCTGATGTACAACGTTAGTTTCATGATATGTTTGTGTATCTGGTAATCTCTGATGATGATTCTGGTCAACATTCATGTGTGATCTTTGTGGTTGCACATGGTGACTTTGAGGAGGTGGTTGTCTTTGTTGCGATGGTGGTTGTCTATGTTGCTGTGGTTGGCCTCTTTGAACCACTGTCGGTCGTTGGTGATTAGGAGGTTGCCAGTTAAAATGGGGATTTTGATTATTTCCATTTCGTATTTGGATACCCTGTGACTTCCTGTGTTGCCTGTTAGGTTGTTGTCCTTGTTGCGGCCATGACGGACGACGATGCACAGGTGTTTGTTGTGTAGTTTGATACCATGTCTGATGATTTGATGTATCCCATAAGGATTTGTGGCGTGGTCTAGGCTGTTGCCACTGTGATTGCTGTTGGTGTCGGTGTCCCCATTGGGTAACTTGTTGAGGATTTGGTAGTGTCTGTCTCGTGTGTTGTCGTTGTATCTGTATTGGTCTATTAAGTCCCGTTGTCGGCTGGTGCATCTGACCTGCTGGCTGTCCCCATCCATTCTGAAATTGGTTTGCAGGAGGAAACCATCCTGGGTTTTGCCATTGGGTAGAAGGTAGTGAAGCTTGGACAACCATAACTGGTGGATTATCTGGTGGTTCTGTTGTTGGAACTATAACTGTTGTAGTAACAGGAGCAACTGGATGAAATGCCCTTGTATTTGGGTTCCATTGTTGGTGTGGATTATTCCAATATGGGTTATTCCACTGTTGATGTTGTCCGGTTTGAGGAGGATGTGTAGGCCACGATTGTTGAAATGATCTAGGCCACTGTGATGTTGCTTTTGAAATAACAATAATCTGAAATAAAAATTATTTCATTTTTGGATGTTATCTTCAGGTGGGAAAAATACAATTGCGCCTAAATATGGTCGTACTAAGCAAATCTATGGAAAAGAATGGAAGTTGTCTATTAAACCGTCACCCCAAAAATAACAAAACGCTCTTTACAAATCTCAAGCAAAGGACCTATACTGTCACACCACTGTTACACCACTGTCCCAGGTTAGGGTGGGATGGACGCCCGCAAACATGTTTAACCCCGCCCATTCTGTATGTGCCTGTCCCAAGTCAGTAGCCTGTAATTCAGTGGTTATCGTTTGTTGCTGTATATCAAATCTGTCTTTCGTTCATTGTTTTGTACATAAATCAGGCTGTTAGTTTTCTCGTTTGAATTGTTTTACATTTGTCATTTCGGTGCCTTATATAGCTGACTATGCGGTATGGGTTTTGCTCATTGTCGAAGGCCGTACGGTGACCTATAATTGTTAACTTCTTTGTCATTTGGTCTCTGGTGGAGAGTTGTCTCATTGGCAATCATACCACATCTTCTTATTTTTATAGTTTTAATATGAAATAGAAAATAGATACTTCTAATTTTGGTTATTTTGTTTTTCTTCTTCTCCTGGTGGCAATATTACATAAAAGTCCATCATTCGTCTTATCATTATAGTTTATATACTATTGTTAACCACTAATAAAATAATCAACAAGAATAAACTTTTTCCAAAATAACTGTTTGGGAATGTGCACATAGTAAAATTCAGCCCCTTTTCCCTCGGGAAACTGCGTGTAGGCAAAATAACTGTTTGAGAATGTGCTCGTATTAAAAAGAAGCCCTTTAAATTTCAATGAATAACTAGCAGTCATCTGGTGAAATTGGCGGCGCCCACAAGATTCGGTTACAGTTCTGATTTAGACATAGACCATATCAAAAAGACAAAAAACACAAAACATGCAACATGCAACAAATGTAGCATTATCTCATATCTAATTCAGTATAATAATACAATTACGGCCTCATTCGAAAGTTAATAAAGTTAGAATTATTAAATTTTTAAAAGGGCATTCCACCTCGGTCCTACATACATAACATTTTCTAGTTTGGGATATTACTTTTAATGAAGGCCATAATTATATATTATTATCATTACATGTTATGTTTACGAACACTTTATAATAAGATAATTTTGTACAGAAGAAATTATCATATTCAGAAACAGATCAGATCGCTACTTGATGAATACATGATATGAATAATTTTGAAAGGAGGGAAACAGTGTAAATATATGAAGTAGTAATTGCTCATGTATGAGGGTCTGGATGGGTTTTATGGAATAGAGAATAATAGGCATAAAATACAGAATAAAGAGCAAACCAAATAGAGAATAATGGGGTGCTGAAAAATAAGGAATAGTGAATAATGGGAAAAAAAATAAATAAAAAATAATAGAAAATGGTCAAGCAATTTAAGTATACAGAAATGAGACACTCATGTATCATGAACTGAAATGTTTTATCATCTTCACAGTTACTGGGAGGTCAATCAAATCTTTATGCAAGATCTTGCGGCAATTTTTTGGTCAGTAACTATGAAAAACTTTTCTATTTCCATCGATTGCTCAGCACATAGATTTCATTTTCACCTTTAAATAATAAATGTTAACACGTACAGTAAGTATATAGTCATAATCTAAAAAAAAAGATTTAATATTTTCTAATGTTTATATTTCTTAGAATAAAGGAAAGTATTGAAAACTTTAAAAATTTCGCTAACTTAACAATCTTCACTTTTGAAATTCCATGGGTTTCTGCATAGTAAAAAAATGCGAAAAAGAAACATGTGGTTTTCAGAGGACAAATTGAAAACAAAGGTCCGTTAGCAAACGAAAAGAAATATTTAAGCTCTATACTTGTTAATAACTTAAACTTCTTTTGGAATTAAAGCACCAGCGGACTCGATATTTATTAGAATATAAGAAATACAAAAATGTAGTAGTATAATTGTAATTGAAAGTTCATTTGACCAAAGCTGGACATGAAAACTGTAACAATTCACAAGGTCTTGGTGACTGCAGGAAAGAAGGCATTTTCCTTAAATTTTGTACATGTATGTGGATATATATTCACAGTTTATATCTATACACTTTCAGTTAAAATACAAAGAGTTTTGAATAGAAAATCATTGCAAATGTAAGTGTTTAATGTTACGTAAAAATTAAAGATAGTCTGTAGATCAATTTCTTTCTGTAATTCTGATTGATTCGTAGATAAATTATAAGTGTGTTTGCCAAAAAATGGATCTTCAACGGGTAAAATGAATGGCATAAGATCCAAAAGAACTGAAAAGCAAAAAATATCAACAATGTTAGATGATACCAGACGTGAAACCAAAAACTATGAATCCAAGAGAAACACACAAATTGAAAAATATTTAAGAATTGGGTGCTTCTTTTTGTAGTTTAATTCGGACTTAAAAGCGTTGACCCAATCACATTATGAATTAGGTACGTGCTGTCATGAATTTTGCATTTGATTGGGAAATAAATATATAATTTTGAAATGTCTCACTGCTCACTAATGATACCCCCGCCCGCTAAAAGTATAAGGTTAACAGGAAGTTGTTGAGTGATGAATCTGAAAACGCATCAGACGGTATATCGGACTTATATAAACCCTGGAAACAAATTTCAGAAATCCTTGTAATGTAGTTCCTGAGAAAAATGTGACGAAAAATATTCATGGAAAGGATTGACGGACTGACGGATGGACTGACGGATGGATGGGCTGACGGATGGACAGACAGGGGTAAAACAGTATACCCCCACTTTAACAATACCCAACTAAAAACATTGTAAACCCGAGAAATCTGAAAGGGTAAGTAAATAGTGTCACGCGTGGTGTTCATGACAAACAAACATCCGTTTTTTGTATTCACATGTTAAGGTAAATATGTGTCAAATGTTTGAAACATATACATGTTTTATCATAGAAGTCATGCTTTGATGAAAATTTACATGTATTTCTCATTAGACAAAACTTCCTGTAAAAAAGGAAACGATAAATATAGATAAAACATAGACGCGACTTTAATAATGATGTCTGTGTCTTTTTACCTAGAGATCAGGGCTATAGTACATACTTAAAATTGAGAATGGAAATGGGGAATGTGTCAAAGAGACAACAACCAGACCATAGAACAGACAACAGCAGAAGGTCACCAACAGGTCTTCAATGCAGCGAGAAATTCCAGCACCCGGAGGCGTCCTTCAGCTGGCCCCTAAACAAATATATATACTAGTTCAGTGATAATGAACGCCATACTAAACTCCAAATTGTACACAAGAAACTAAAATTAAATATTATACAAGACTAACAAAGGCTACAGGCTCCTGACTTGGGACAGGCGCAAAAATGCGGCGGGTTAAACATGTTTATGAGATCTCAACCCTCCCCCTATACCTCTAGCCAATGTAGAAAAGTAAACGCATAACAATACGCACATTAAAATTCAGTTCAAGAGAAGTCCGAGTCTGATGTCAGAAGATGTAACCAAAGAAAATAAACAAAATGACAATAATACATAAATAACAACAGACTACTAGCAGTTAACTGACATGCCAGCTCCAGACTTCAATTAAACTGATTGAAAGATTATGTCTTCATCATATGAATATCAGGCACAATCCTTCCCGTTAGGGGTTTAGTATCATACCATCATAACATATATGAGAAGAACATAACCCGTGTCATGCCAACAACTGGTTTTTAAATAAATGTGTTTAGTGCCGATGCAAAGACCCTATAAGTGAATCAATATTAACGCCAAAATATGCAATCTTTAGTATGTAAGTGCAGGTTCTATACGAATAAGTTATCAACAGATTTACGAAAGACCGGTAGGGACATTCTGTTGTTAAAATTTGTCAATTCTAACTTGACATTTCTAAATTGTAACTTCTCAGTTTCAAATTGGCATTTCTCACTTAAAACTTATCATTTCTCTGTTCAAAGTTGTCATTTCTCTGTTAAAAGTTGACATTTGTCTGTTCAAAAATGATATATCTCAGTTTCCAAGGAGCTATGAGCATATATGAGGATCTTGGTGCGGTTTACAAATAAGGGAATATTAGCCAACATAATTACTTAGAGAAAAATGAACAAAAAGTGCAAATAATAGAGAATAATGGGATGTAAAGAATAAAAAATTGCTGTGGAATATAAAAAAATTAGGTAATCCAATACTGTGTACAGAAATGAACGATGTACAGAATAAAGAAATCATAAAAAATTAATATAGTAAATTCTTTTTCATGAAAATTTTACAGAATAAGCGTTATTTTTAAAGATAAAGATAAATGCCCTAAAAATTTAATGAATACAGAAATTAAAGCCCCCCCCCCCCCATTCAGACCCTCATATATCAATATTTTACTTATTTTTTCTGCTTTCGAAGTACCTATCTCTGTTACGCTTTTCAGCGACCTCTTAGAATGTAGTTTGGAAAGCAAATATTTATCGCGATTAAATCATTAAATCAATAGTTTTCCTTGCATTTGCATTAAATTTCCACACACAAACTGATGTGTTCAAATTTTAGCTGAAACCATGTTTTTAGTAAATTAACGAATATCGATTTTGATTATGGCAATATTCTTAAATTGTATTCTTTTAGAATGAAAGGGCAGATTTCTGAAATACATGTCCTTCCTCCCTACCATCCCCCCCCCCCCCCCCCAAAAAAAAAAAGAAATAATGTGTAATTACATGTTTTATCTTCTTTCAGAATGTTTTTTTATTCTATATAATTATCCGAAACGGAAAAAAAACATAAGAAAAAACGCCCTATAAATTGCAATCACAGTGATAAAATTTCACTTAACTTCGTCTTCGTTCAAAAAAGGTTTAAAAAAAGAAGAAAAAAAGGAGAAGAACGAAAGAGGTGATTTATCACAGACCGAAAATTTAAATTTACCTTCATTTTTCTGTAAGAATTTCAAATATTGCCAAAATTTCAAGATAAAGATACTAGAATTGCAAAACAAACACAATTTGACGAACTGTTTTTTTTTGTGGGGAAAGGGTGTGAAGTAATGATGAAAAAAAAGTAATTTAACAAAAATACCGAACTCAAAGGAAATTTCAAAACGGAAAGTACCTTAATAAATGGCAAAATCAAAAGCTCAAGCACATCAAACGAATGGAAAACAACTGTCATATTCCTGACTTGGTACAGGCATTTCCTTATGTAGAAAATGGTGGATTGAACTTGATTTTATAGCTAGCTAAACCTCTCACTTGTATGACATTATATTGACAACAATGTGTCAAGCAAAACCAAAAGACAAAATAGGTAAAAATGTCAAAAATAGGGGTAGAGCAGTCAACATTGTGTTATCATCTTAATCACTATATAACAAACAAATATGTCAATAAAGAAAAACAAAATGGCATATAGACAATGCACATAAGAAAAAAATGAAAGACAAGAATACAAAAATTTACCATACCACAATAACACAATGACGGGATGTATAAGTATCGAGCCACGCCAAAGGGATATTACCAAAAAAATGGACTAAACAGTAAAAAATGAAAACAACACGTTAAATAATTTCAAGCGCTTTTCTGTAAAGGTAATAATTTACAAAGACAAATAAAAGAACACCATAACACGTAATTAAGATGATAAACAACGTCAGTACCTATAGAATCTATACTTCAAGACCATCATGTATTATTTGTGAAGCTCTTCCGAAGAACTTTTTTTAGAAAAAGGACGAAACGTTCTTTGACATAACCATTATAACAAAACATTATGTATCATAATCAGGTTAAATATAAAAAGAACCTGTTTTTTTTTGTATTGAACATGGCAGAAGAAATGTGATTTATGAAGAACATACCTTTGAACATTTCAAAAAGAAGTGTTCTTTTATTATTTTACTTTGATGAGCTAAAAAGCCTAAAACCGAGAATGATTAATCAAACACGAAAAAAGTTAACTTGTCCTAGCTTGTTGGAATTCTAGTGAATTTTAGACGAACAGGCTGCATGTTTTGTTATCCTACATTGACCTTTCGGGTTAATGAAATACATATGAAAGTTTGATCTTAAATATCTTTGGACCTTGCAAATAAAAAGTAACAAATCCTACAGGATGTTTGTGTGAAAAACTCATTAGAGATACCAGGCTTATAATTGGGTACGCCAGATGTGCGTTGCGTCGCCATACGACACATCAGTGGTGTATGACCCAAAACAATACGAAGGCCAACTCAAACATTAAGTTGAAGAGTATTAAAAACAGGAAATTTTAAAAAAAGTTATCTGTATCATGGTATCTGTGTCATTGGAAACTTATTTAATGGCAATTTCGAATCTCAGTGAAACAGAATACTTATAAACACAAATTTGTCTCGGTTAAATAATAAAAAAGACCTATGTTAAAGGAAAAAAAAGAAAGTCATATAGAATATCTGGGAATGGATAAAAAATGTCATGTAGGATATAGATTTTTTTGCTATGGACTATTTCATGTACACTAGTCTACAGCCATTATGGATTTTGCTATGACCCTTCTCCATAGTTGGCACAATTGTACAGCCCATTCATATTACCATAAATTTGCAGTAAAAATAGGTCCCGTCTTAAATTCTAAGCTGCATATCTTATTAAACAATGAATTTATTCAAATAAGCATCTAAAACGATCAAATATAATTACAACCGTTCCAATCTATATATGCAATTGACCATAGTTGGCACATAGAAAATGGAGGTTTCACACTGACTGCAGTGTATGTAAAAACAATTATTCACATTTATACAAGTATCCTTTTTTATGCATCAGCAAACAAATGCACATCGATATTTCCTGTAAGGTATACCCAAAATTAAAATACATACAGAAGAGCCCATTCATCGTTGAGGAACCCAAAGGGTGACTTGGGAATAGTAATATGGTCACTCTTGGTCTCCTTCAGACCGGCAATAAAGTCCTTGCCATAATGGGCGTCCGTTTTGTTATGCAGGATATATAATTACGTAGCCACGTCCGGTCAGAACGGGGACGTTAAATCTGATGCCTCGTGCTTGTGGTGTATAGATATAAGAAGATGTGGCATGAGTGCCAATGAGACAACTCTCCATCCAAGTCACAATTTGTAAAAGTAAACCATTATAGGTCAAAGTACGGTCTTCAACACGGACACTTGGCTCACACCGAACAGCAAGCTATAAAGGGCTCCAAAAATGACTAGTGTAAAACCATTCAAACAGGAAAGCCAACGGTCTAATATATAAAAAACGAGAAACGAGAAACACTTATGAACCACATCAACAAACGACAACTACTGAACATCAGATTCCTGCCCTTATATTTTACAGCCATGGGTTGTGTGCTTGTGAGATATAGCCGACTATACGGTATGAGTTTTCCCGTTGTCGAAGGCCATACGAAAGCCTATAATTGCTATAAATCTACGTCATTTGAACTCTGGTGGATAGTATTCCACATTTCCTTATTCTTTTTTTTTTTAAGTTGAGCAATACGTGGTTGTAAAAATGGTGCCCTTGAACGTTCAGGGCCAAAAGTTTCGAAAACCAAGTATGGAGAGAAAAAACTTTCAAAGTCAACTTTACTTGGAATTTAACGTAAACTCATTACTTACACGCCTGAAAATTTATCAAAACACAAACATTTAATTTCAGGGTCGAAGGAAATTGTTCGGAAATTAATTTCTTTAGTCTAATGTATCATAGATTGTTGCAATTATTGAAGATATTAAAAACCCCATATTTTAACAATAACATCAGAAACTGAGAATTTTTGTTTTTATAAACGAAAATACAACGTTCTTTTAAACTCGTGTCGAACAATAACCTTACATGTTTCCTCAACGCCAATTAAATTACTTATGCCAACAGTAATTAAACCGCAATTGATGACGTGAAAGAGACAACACGCACGATTTGAATTAAAATGCATACTCACATTTATAGTTATATCATCAAAAATAGTTCCACATAAAGACTGGTTTACTATATGAGTAAAAAGAAAAAAAAATCATCTTAAAAAAAACAACGTCTTTACAGTTTGAAGTACTTACCAAAATATAAATAAACCTAGTTCTCATCTTGTATCATAATGTGAAAAGAAATATAATTAAGGTAATTAATTATGAAAACGTTATGTATATATTTAGACTTGAATGATAATGAAGTTTTGTCATTAAAATTTAGTTTTTGTTGATGGCTTCACTCATGCATATAATTAATTAAATTTAAATGAATAAACCATGTGTTGTTGTTCTACAGACATGACAATTATTATATGCAGTTACAAGTTAAAGGTCAATCGAAATGGCCAGTTTGGAGTTTTTAACTAATTGAAATTATTCTTTTTTTTAATAGATGACCCCTAGAAGAAAAGTGTACGTGGTGAATTTTCTTTTTTTTTCAAGATGAAACAGTGTAAACTTGTATTCAATGCTTAATCTCGCTGTACTTAGCGTGCTTGCTATGTGTACGAACAAATTGGTGACCCAAGTAAATACTAAGCTAAAAGTTCTTTTAAAATAAATTTAAAGTATGTTATGCGCAAAGTCATATGCATATTCAGTTTACTCCAGTCTTCATATTTTCTTTAAGCCCAGCCTGTATTGTTTTCCCCCTTTATAAGACAACATAGTTTCCAAGTTAGCCTTAATGTTCACATACGGATTGCAACAGGAAGTTAAAGCACACTCATGATTATTTTACTAGACATAAGTGAGGGTCTGGATAGGTGGTTTTTCATTTCTATATTCTTTATTTTTTTATGCCATTTTTCTCTATTCTTTAAATTTTGCCCATTGTTCTCTATTATTTGTATTTTAGCACCTAATTATTCTCTATTTTTTATTTTTTGGTCAATTTTCTCTATTCTTTTATTTTTATCCATTATTCTCTATTCTGTAACCCCCATCCACACCCTCGTGAACTTTAAGAAAATACAGAATACTAGTAGTGTTTCCATTTTTGTAAGATTTCACAGTCACATTCATTTGATTATGTATTGTTTAAAAGATGTCTATTCTGTAACCCCTATCCACACCCTCATGAACTTTAAGAAAATACAGAATACTAGTAGTGTTTCCATTTTTGTAAGATTTCACAGTCACATTCATTTGATTATGTATTGTTTAAAAGATGTCTTATAAAGTTCATAAGATCTATCTTATAGAGTATAAAGAACATCTTATGAACTTTAAATCAATTAGGATATATCATAAAGAATACAGTATTTCTTATACTTTATATGATATCTGATTTACTTTATAATATATTTCATTAACTTATATCAATAAGATATCTTAAAATTGAATAACTATAAGAACGGCTTGCTAAGAATAGGACGTATATGTATTTGGTATTAATATTCATTGCAAGGTATACATGTGTGTAAGACAGGGTTGACCTGATCTTGACCTCAATTCATGGTTCAGTGATCAATGTTAAATTTTTCGTGATGATGTTCGTTTCATATAAACTTTGAGTAATGGCTCTACTTTATTGGATATATAGAATGATTGTATGATATACATAAAAAATAACAAGATCTGGTATGATTTCCAATGAGAAAACTATATATATATATCCACAAGACCAAATGACGCCACATGCAAGCAAGTTCAGGTCACCGTACGGCCCTCAACAATGATCAAAACCAATACCGTCTAGTAAGTTATAAAAAAAGACCCCGACATGACAAAATGTTAAACAATTCAAACGAAAAACCCAACGGACTGATATATGTGCAAAACAATAAAAGAAAAACAACCCAAACATTATAGATTGCAACGAAAGACAATCACTGCTGAGTTACATGCTCTTGACTTGGGAGAGTCACATATAAACAGAATGATGCGGGGTAAAAAATGTTTGTGAGCGTTCAACTATCCCCTAACCTGGGACAGTGGTATAACTGCATTGCATAAGAAGAAGCTGTTAAATCAGTTGAAATAGGCTTTACTCATCAGATTGACACAAAGCACGAAAAAACAACTATACATTTATATATACATATACATATATATATATATATACTAAATACAAAAGACACAAGTACCGATCTAAGAGTACTCGCTGTTACTGAAAGCTAGTTAAAAGCCAATTGCAACTAATAAATTAAATAAATCATATTTCTAGGAGTAGAATATCAGTCAGTACACATCCAATAGGTATAGTCAAAGACGTCATAAATAGTCAGGGGCCTGATGAGTGGTCGAGTTGTCTAAGTAGTCCAACTACTAGTATCACTAGGATTGTGAGTTCGAACCCCGCACGTGGCAGGTGTGTTCGACTCCAATCTTACATGACTAGAATTGTCAGTGTTCCTGCCGAAGGTCGGTGGTTCTCTCCCCGGCTTCCTCCACCAATATAACTGAGCGCCACGAAACAGCCAATAGTGCTGAAAGTGGCGTTAAACACCAACCAATCAATTAATCAATCAATCATAAACAGTCTGAGAAAAAACCTGACATTGTTCAATGCCAAAATATAAATATCGAAAGGAGATAGGACAAGCATTGTTATATGAGTTCAGTTGCAAAATTCATACAAACTTTGAGTGCGGACTTATAATGTAAGGTTATTCCCTTGTTATATAGACATTTAGATCATAAGTACAATATAGGGATCATAGATATAGTGTATCTTTCTAACGTAGAAACACACACCAACTGGGTCGATGTGACTGATATTTTTTTATAATGCATGCTTATAAACTTAAATGGAAAATAATCTAAGGAAAGATGAAAAAGAAAATAACGAGCTAATAAGGTTCATAATGTATTTCCGCCACCAGCAATGATACTTTTTTGAGAAAAAAAATCCCCAGAATGAGAATAAAACAAATCGTATGTTTCATTTGATAGAAAAATGTTTGTTCATTCTGAGACGTACTGCTATAACACGTTATATAGATAGAAGGCTCAGGTTAGTACAAGATCTCTGGATGTACTTAACACGATATTTTGAAATTAAAGTTTATTTGATAGATTTAGGTATTTTCATTCTGTTATATAGATTTATTTTTTTAAGACATAAAGAAAAAAAGACAATTATCAACTAAAAACTACATTGGAACTCATGTGTTATGGAAGGCTCGGCACTTCCTGCTCAACTAGTGACATCGATACCGATTAACTTCGATATCTATTCATTTTTTAACTTTAAGAATTTAATTCATTCGTTTATTTTTTACAAATGAAATTCTCACGTCTTTTCTGAAGGTGTATACATGAGGTTCATACATCAGCTGGTATCATATATAATATTTTGTTGGTATAATTTATTGTCATTGACAAGAATAGTTTCAAGATGTCGGGCAAACAAATTCTACTTAGATATAAGAAGATGTGGTATGAGTGCCAATGAGACAACTCTCCATCCAAGTCAAAATTTATAAAAGTAATTAAACCATTATAGGTCAAAGTACGGTCTTCAACACGGAGCCTTGGCTCACACGGAACAGCAAGATATAAAGTGCCCCAAAAATTACTAGTGTAAAACCATTCAAACGGGAAAACCATCGGTCTAATCTATATAAAGAACGAGAAACCATAAACACTTATGAACCACATCAACAAACGACAACTTCGCTATCTTATACTGATTATCCTGTCAAGATTAAAGCCTATTTATCTGTACTAAAGGAAAAAGATGATAAAATAAAACTCTTTTACAATATACAAGAAAAAACGGAATAATTAATACAAAAAAATAATAATAGAAAAATAAACAAAGGTGTAACGTGAATTGGAGTCGGTTCCGAGATAACAAGACATAATTTAGCTGCAGTAAATTTTGCCGGCAAAGAGTTGCGTCCCTTCAAAAACAAAAGCCACGTCTACTTTCGAACATATGAAAACAGATTTTTGCGTGATTTGAAGATGCACAGGGTTAAAAGAAACCATCAAAATTTATTTTCAATTGCATTTGTGATTATTCTTTCTGTATTTTTACTGAGGTCAGGCATTAACGCACATGTCGACCACGGACATGCTCATTCGCATGAGCAAGAGGAGGCCAATCCATCCTTTAAATATTCAAAGCAAGCAAATGTAGAGCATGATCACGGACATTCACATGACCACAATGATCATGGACATGCACACGATCATGGACACACCCATGACCATGGACACGCACACGACCATAATCATGGACACACACACGATGCCCCTACGAAGTCATCACAGAAATCAACTGGTTTGGTACTTTGGTTACAGGCTTGTGGCGCCACAGCGCTTATCAGTGTTTCACCAATTGTTATTCTTTTGTTTATTCCATTAGAAAATGCATATGATGCTAAAAATCAATCTTTACTGAAAATTCTTCTCAGCTTTGCATCTGGTGGCCTTCTTGGTGATGCATTTTTACATCTTATTCCTCATGCAGTATCACCACACTCGCATGGAGAAGGTGATTCCCATGAGCATGCACACTCACATTCTCATGGACATTCTCATGGAGAAGGACATGAGCATGGTCATGATATGACCGTTGGATTATGGGTCCTTGCTGGAATTGTAGTTTTCCTGATGGTTGAAAAATTTGTGAGGTATGTAAAGGGAGGACATGCTCATTCTCACAGCCATGCACCACCAAAGCCAGTCAAAGGCGAAAAAGTTGACACCAAGGAATCCAAAAAGAAAGGGGAAGGTGATGAAGATGCAAAAGGCAAAGATACTAAAGATTCAAAGCAGAAAATTGAAAAGACAGAAGAGAAACAAGTAACAGGTACAGTAGATTGATTTTGAGTTCCTTTTATTGAAAGAGTTCACATTAGACCAGTTGACCCTACTGTAAGTCAATTAGCCTACATTATCATAATCATGTCATTTTGTGTCTTACTGTGTCAGTGTGATGTACATGTGTATTACATATACTGTGAAGGTACTTTCATTTTTGTTGGGTACCAGTTTTTAGTGGACGGCTTTATTTACGAATTTAAGTGTCCAGCGAAATATTAATATATCAACTGTCTTCAAAGTCAAGACATGGAAAGATCCCCATGTAGGTTTGATTACATGGATAAAGGCATTAATCTAGACAATACATCTTAATATCAGCAAACGCACTATGAATTACATGCATATATATACAATTTCAGATAGGATTTTACCTTTGGGTCACGTGATGATATTCAATGATGAAGTGTTCATATTATGTTCTCATAATTCTCATACGAAAAAAAAAAGAATAATAATTTCATATTTGGCTTGCTTTTTGTCGAGCCTGCGACTTTTGTCGCAGAAAGCTCGACATAGGGATAGTGATCCGGCGGCGGGGGCTTCTAACTTACTTCTTAAAAGCTTTATATTTTAGAAGGTGGAAGACCTGGATGCTTCATACTTTGTATATAGATGCCTTATGTTACGAAGTATCTGTCTGTCACATGTCCATTGTCCTTGACCTCATTTTCATGGTTCAGTGACTTACTTGAAAAAAAGTTAAGATTTTTTATAATGTTAATTTCTCTCTTATTATGAGTAATAGGATAACTATATTTTGTATGTGCATACCTTGCAAGGTCCTTATGCCCATCAGACAGTTTTCACTTGACCTCGACCTCATTTCATGGATCAGTGAATAAGGTTAAGTTTTGGTGGTCAAGTCCATATCTCAGATACTATAAGCAATAGGTCTGATATATTTGGTGTATGGAAGGATTGTAAGGTGTACATGTCCAACTGGCAGGTGTCATCTGACCTTGACCTCATTTTCATGGTTCAGTGGTTATAGTTAAGTTTTTGTGTTTTGGTCTGTTTTTCTTATACTGTATGCAATAGGTCTACTATATTTGGTGTATGGAATGATTGTAAGGTGTATATGTCCAACTGGCAGGTGTCATCTGACCTTGACCTCATTTTCATGGTTCAGTGGTCAAAGTTAGGTTTTGGAGTTTTGGTCTTCTTTTCTTATACTATATGCAATACATGTAGGTCAACTATATTTGGTGTATGGAAATATTTTATGATGTACATGTCAGTCTTGCAGGTTTTATTTGATCTTGACCACATTTTCACGGTTCATTGCTCAGTGTTAAGTTTTTATGTTTTTGTCTGTTTTTCTTAAACTATAAGCAAAACATATAGGTCAACTATATTTGTTGTATGGAAGGATTGTAAGCTGTACATGTTTGCCTGGCATGGTTCATCTGACCTTGACCTCATTTTCATGGTTCATTGGTCAATGTTTAGTTTTCTTGGTTAAGTCTGTTTCTTAGAAACTATAAGATATTTAGTGTATTGAATGATTGTAAGGTGTAGTGTTTCCCCCAAGCATGTTTAGCATGGATAGACGCCATGCCCTTTTTTTGTCTTAATAAATGACGCCATGCCCTTTTTTCACTTCTTTGGATGACGGCACGCCATTGTCTCAAAAATGCCCTTTCTTCCTGTTTCTGACAAGTTTATGACCCTCAGCTAATTAACATTTACAACAGGTGTTATAAAGTTGTGATTACAGTTAATCCGCTTATCGCCATCGGATAGGTCACTAATCTGTTAATTATTAATAAACCTCATAATCATGATAATTGACCACAATAATAATTTTCCCCAGTAAAATCAGTCAGTCGGCATTTTAATTTCAAGATTTCTCAAGGCCAACGACCACAATTTGCAGTTCGTTTGTCCAAGGATTTGTATAGTAATACAAATCCTTGGTTTGTCGTAGTTTCATCGTTTGAACAAAATTGTTTTCCCCCGGACAGTTCGCTTTTTAATTTCAATATTTCTAAAACGATCACAATTTGCAGTTCGTTTGTCATAGTTTTGTCAAATGATTGTATGTTCGTGATCTTTGGTATAAAACCTTCAATTTTGATTAAAAGATAGAACTTTATTCAAAACGTTCAGAAAAGTTTTCACGAGTAAATATCGATCTAAACGTTTTATAAGGGTAATGATTATGCAGTAATAGTCTTACAAAGTTCTACAAGTTCATTTATACTGTGAATCCTGGTTAACAAATTAGGGGCCCAACTTTTGTTGATCATAACTGTCCTCTGAAACTAATTGTAGTGAAATTTTGAACTAGATTTTCAGATCTTATATCCTAATCTTCATATTTAAGTGCCACATCAGTCAAATCATGTAATTACTTCCTAGTAAATTTATGCCTTAGTCCTTCAAAGTCTGCCAAAGATGTATAGCTAGTAATAAACATACATCCTTGGTCCCTTGCTGTTACCCAAAATAATGTTGATTTTCATCTTTATTTAAAGAATCATATACAATATTATTTTGGAACAATACACTTGCTATCTTGAGTTCTGATTCCATCAACACCTGCCAGTCCATACTTTACCAATGCAATACATGTATGACAATTTATTGCCTTTCTTGTTTCAGCATACTGTAGGTGCCCTTTTGATAATTTTCCATACAATGTAGGTGCCCTTTTTATAAATTTTTGCGCGCTCTAGATGCCCTTTTTCAATTAAGTTACCATGCCCTTTTATGTGTGATAGGGGAAACACTAAAGGTGTACATGTATTTCTCGTTTGGTTTATATGACCTTGATCTCATTTTCTTGGATCATGTTAAATTTATGTGATAGTTGTAGTAAAGCTTTATATTTAGGACTATCAACATAATATCAATGGTTAGTAAAGAAGGCGAGACATTTCAGCTTGTGCACTCTTGTTTATTAGTCCCCTACCGACGAAGTCCCTCTGTTTGTCTGTCTGTCTGTCCTTCTGTCTGTCTGTCTGTCCATCTGTCAGTCCAGCAAATCAGTTTTCCAGACTTTTTTTCTTCCTGCTTGAAGATATTGATTTGATGTTTGGTTTATTGATTTATCATGACAAGTTACAGGTCAAGTTCAATTTTCACGATTTTAGCTTTTCTTTTTGTTCAGTTTAAAGCCCTTTCCCTAGAATTAGATTTTTGATGAAATACTTATTAATTAGTAGATTTCTGTTCAAAGGGAAATAACTTATTTTTTAAAAGACAAAATGACATTTTGGTTTTTTTTCCTTTTCTTTGGTAAATTGTTTGAAGAATTTAGTGACAGGTTTAAATTTGTTTGTCATTCTTGAAGATATTGATTTGATAATTAGTATATAGTTTTATCATGACAAGTTACAGATCAAGTTGGAATTTTGATCCAGTCTGATAATTTTGTGCAGAGTTATGGTCTTTGGACATAGAAAATTCACTTAAATAATCAGTTTTCAACAGTTTTTTTCGTCATGCTTGAAGATTTTGACTTGATAATTTATGTACATGTAGTTTACACCATGACTAGTTATAGATCAAGTTAAAATTTCGTTCCATTACAACGAATTTGTAACCGGAAGGGGACTATGTATTACCATGCAATACTCACAGAATGCTTGTTTCATAATTAATTCTACAAATCAAAGTACATTTGAAGCATTTCATTATGTAACCTTTTTTTTTTAAGTGACATGTTTATGGCCCCATGAACACCGTTGATAATCCTTAATCTGTTGATCGTTGATTTCCATCTTAAAGCCTAGTCAATTTGGTGAACAAGCTCCAACTAATTGCAACACAAGATTTTTCTGTTAGGTTGATAAGACTTAGTGTCATCACTTCTGATTACATTGTACATGTGTGCAACAATTAAAATGTTTACTTTGCAATTTCCTTCCTACAATGTAAATTGAGACAAATTGTAAGCATTAATGAATTAGCTTATTTCCTAAAGCAATTATTTTATTAAAAATTTGATGAATGTACATTGTATGTTGTCAGTAACCTGGTAACGAAAGACAAACAAGTAAGTGAAGATGAACACCTTATTTTGCAATGTCCCACAAATCATTATAAAACAACAGTTATGATTATTTTCAAGAATCTTCGTTGCTAATGGGTTTAAATTCTTTACTCAATTTTTTTCAGAAACTAAAATCCGTGGATTTAAGAACCAACGAACATGTAACATTTGCTCAAGCAACAAAAATTGATACCAAAGAATTTAAGTACTTTCACAGTACAATGTATGCTAAATTTAGTTTGATTTAATACTAAATGTGTAAAAGAACATGTACATGTACACTATATAACTACATACATGTATCATACATGTGACAGATTGGTTTGACCGGTTCAGGAGATTCTGAATTTTTTATCAGGAGGATGGATATCAGATCAGGAGGTTTTTAACTTTTAATACACGTTATTTTTCAGATTTTTCAAAAATCGGTATTGTAAATTTGTTACAGTTTGCTTGCTACAATTACTTGGTATGCTTATGGTTGAATATTTTTGATTCAGATTTGTAATCCTGTACATGTGTGTAACTATAAAAGCGCCTGTTATAATCTAAGAATTTGTCCTAAATCATGTAAATAGCAGCTATTACCACCAAAAAGTCTTAATTGCTATAAAATTGCTTATCAATTTTAATCAGGAGGGTGGATATCAGATCAGGAGGTTTTTAACGTTTAATATACATTATTTTTTAATTGCTATAAAATTGCTTATCAATTGCTCAATCAAAAGGTGACATATTTTCAAACTATAATAATAATTACCAAATTGGTAGAAATCGCTAACAGGAAGTCACAGTGGTAAATGTAAATATTGCATTTCAGCATTCTTCATGTTTTTGGAGTTTATTTTTCATGTAATGAAAAACCTATTGAATTAAACCTAATTGATGATTATTTTTTAAACAAAGAATTTTAAAATCATAAACTAGACAACAGAGGGAGCCTCTGAGAACAGTTTGATTTAGTACAAAGCAGGGTCTATAACATTAACATAATTGTCTGGAAAATGCATGATAAATTTGCTACTGGCTAAATACCTGTAATGATACAATGTATAAGCCACTGTCAATCAAACCTGTTAAAAATTTTATGATACAAGTCAAACTTTATCTATCATGTCTATGTATTACATTCATTGATATAAATGTATTTGGTAAAATAGCTGACGAGGTAGTTATCAACATTTAAAAAATTATATGTACAAGTACATGCACTGTGCATGTACTTGTTTGAATACATCAATTTATGTTCACAAAGACAAACTTGGATTCCTTATTCATTTAATCTATCAAGCATGTTTTTAATTTTCCATATTTACACAATACACTGCACAATGATCATTTTCTGATAAGAGTAATGCTTATACATTGTACATTTTATAATATAAAATAATCTATCCAACTGTTGAGAAATATTTATAAATTTTATACATTTGTATACATGGATGTACATGTATGTACAACAAATGTATGTATATAAAAAAAATGAGAATGGAAAAGGGGAATGTATCAACGAGACAACAACCCGACCAAAGAGCAGAAAACAGCCCAAGGCCACCAATGTGTCTTCAACACAGCGAGAAAATCCTGCACCCGGAGGCGGGCTTTAGCTGGCCCCTTAACTAAAATGTATACCAGTTCATAGAAAATGGACGTCACACTAAACTCCGACACATATAAATGAACCAAAATTGAAAAAACATACAAGACTAAGAATGGCCAGATGTTCCTGACCTGGGACAGGGGCAAAAATGTAGGGGGGGTGGGGGTGGGAGGGGTTAAACATGTATATTGTAAAATTTATTATATTGTCACTTAAACTTATACTGATATATATATAGCTTGCTGTTCGGTGTTAGCCAAGGCTCCGTGTTGAAGACCGCACTTTGACCTTTAATGGTTTACTTTTATAAATTTTGACTTGGATGGAGAGTTGTCTCATTGGCACTCATATCACATCTTCTTATATCTATAGAATTATTTTTCAAACAAACTCTAAAGTTAAGGTTAAATACTAAGAAAATTTGGTGCTGAAAATCAAGACTGGTGCTGAAAATCAAGACTGTTGCTGAAAATCATTACTGGTGCTGAAATTCAAGGGTGGTGCTAAAAATTAAGGGGTGGAGGAACATCAGGTCCTTGAATATCCTTTGGAGATCCCTGTAATAAAATACAATGCTTTAATTAGTTAAAATAAAAGTGAGATGTCAAAAATTTTACTTCCTACATAAAAAAGATTGTAAAGAAATTAGCCAACCAATCCAACCTCCATTCAAATTCATATCCAATACAGGGGTGGATTCAGGCGGGGTTGTGGCGGGCGTGCGCCCCCCCTAAAATTTGCAAAGAATGGGTTTTTCTCAGCTTAATAAAGAATATTTTGATAATTTTACCTAAAAAAAATTTTGCCTCGTTCTGCTCCACTAAAATTTCAGTTTGCTCCCCCCCCACCCTAACCAAAAATCCTGGATCTGCCCCTGCAATACACAACAAATCTTTATTTAGGTTAAAAATTGTTGGTAAAATTAAATTTAACAATGAATATATGGAATTTGTAAAATCAAGATGAAAAAGTTCAGATCTTGCAGATAAAATAAAAAAAAAAAAAAAAAAAAGATAATATGGACTTAATTTTGGTAAAAGCTCTCAGTCAAATATTACCCAAGTACAATTAGTAAGACTTTGAAGATGTCAGTTATGCAAGTTAAAGGTAAAAGATGCACTAGTAAACATAATCATCAATATTTAATTAACGGAAACAAGTGACAAGTAACTCGTTCCATTGTCGAATCTTACCAATTTGTCAACTAGTGCCAACATGTTCAAAGTCATGTACCAATGTGAATTCGTACAAATTCAAAGTCATACTGATGGAAATAATTTAATTTATGCATTGTACCATGTCTGCTAAAATTATCAACAATTCTACCTTTCCACTGAAAATGAAGGGGGGAAAGGCACACAACCTGAACAATTTGTGGGTTGTCTTTAAAAATTATATTTTATTTGAGCCTCATGTATTGAATAACACAATTCAATTTGCAGTACCATTTTAATTATAATTAATAAGTTAAAGTTTTGTTGTTGTTTTGTTTTATATCACCAAAATGACCAATTTCAGTAGACTTTTGCATTAGATTCATTACTACAATGTACATTTGTGTATCTTGAAAGACATATTGCATTCAGATACTTTACATACATATTTATCAAACCTAGATTAATATTCATATCCCATTGTTATACATTAATCCTAGATGAATATTCATATCCCATTGTTATACATTGATCCTAGATTAATATTCATATCCCATTGTTATACATTAATCCTAGATGAATATTCATATCCCATTGTTATACATTGATCCTAGATTAATATTCATATCCCATTGTTATACATTGATCCCATTTTGAGGCTGAATGACAACCAACTTACATGTAAAAATACACAATTATCATCAGTCAAGGGTATAACTCTAAAGGGTTATTAGAGAAAATATCATACATGTGTTATTACAGATACTTCCATGAGTTGTCAACTCTTTATTCCTTCAATTTTCTTAATCTGTAGTAACATATGTTTGTTATTTATTAAATGAATAAATATTTTAATTTTTAGTGGGTACTTGGGAATTCTTGAAACGTTGTGCAGTAACTGAATACATAGCCTTGATAACTAATTTTCCAATTAAATTAATACATTTTTTATCAACCATGGTAAATCAATGAGACAAGGCTTTTAAGGGATAAACTTACAATGTAGCTGTAATAACAGGGCTTAGTTATTTCAGGCTTGTAGCTTATTAAATGAAACACTTGGGAATTACTTGGAAGCTTAAGCAGAACCTCATTACAAGCTCTGATCATTATTTCTTACAATAAATTAAAATACATTGTGATTAAGCATGATATATATCTGAGCAAAGGCTTTGGAGTGATGTAGAGAAGCTGTGATAACACCCTTAATTTATTACAGGCAGGGGCGGATCCAGGATTTTGGAAAGGGGGGGGGCGTAGTATTAAAGATCGCCGAGCGGAGTGAGGCGAAAATTTGTTTTGACCTTTTTTTGGCTAAAAAACATAAAATAAGAGTAAAATGCATTTTATAGTTAAAGTGTAAGGGTTGGACATTTTTGGTGCCGTATTCTCTCCATTAATTGTCTATTATAAAATGATTGGATGGATCCAAAGCTATGTACTAATTAATATATTTGATGTGGGATTTGTCAGTAAAAAATGGACATGGAAAATTCTCGTTTGTTGTATGGTTAGTTAGCATAACCTCACAGATTTCTTGTTGTAAACAAGATATACGGCTATTCAATGAAATTTACAATACGACCGACACGAAGAAAGACAAACAAGCAATTTTTATCCAAATGTTTGGTTGAAATGTTTCAACCAACAAAGGAAGTGAGGGGTTCCAAATCAACCAAAGGCTACGAATGAGTCGGAAATGACAATGAAGTTGTGAATGACGGTCGACACATGGAGACATATAGGCCACACCCAGCAGGCAGGTTGCAGTCGGACCTTGAAAAAAGTATTCAGTATATCAGTTCGGCGAAACAGACATTCCGGTCAGATATGGGATTCACATGCAACCCCCCAAAAAAAAATTACGCCCGTTTTTTATTCATCATGTTCATTTAATGCTAAATACTTTTGTTGAAAATATTTTTTTCTAATACCGTAGCAAAAATGTGGACAAGATTATTGTTTTCAATCCAGATACGGCCAGTTTAAGACAAAAATCTGGGTCAGGATTTTTTCTCTAAAATATCTCAGACTGCCCCCTCAAATCAAATGGTCCGTACCTTAGACTTTAAATCTATATCTAGAGCTTACTGACTTGGGATCACTATTCAGCAATGTTATTAATGGGCTGGGGCGTGTGGGGTTAAACATGTTTTCGTAGGTAAATAATATTGCTGTGGAACTTTTTTTTTCATGAGAGTGTAATAGAGTATTACTTTCTGTTGGGTGGAATTGTGAAATAGAAGTCAATACGTTCTTGCTCAATACTTTGTCGCTTTGAAGGCGTCATGCTTGTCATCCTCAGCCTAAGCAATGTGTTACTGTAATTTGAATTTCAAAATGACTGAGTGACGTTTTTTTCGACGTACTGGTCAACTCCACCGTAGTGAATCACATGACTTTGGCATAATCAATAATATATTACAGTAAATACGAGCGAAAAATATCTTTATAAGTAAAGAATTGTCGCATAAAAATTAAATACACGAGAAGTCTAGTCTGATTAATCCTTTTACAAAAAAAAAAAAAAAAAAGTGCAAGCAAAGGGGGGCGAACGCCCTCTACGCCACCTCTGGATTCGCCACTGACAGGCATATTATTTCTGTAATAATATAGGTGTACTATGCATGATTGGTAAACTATGAACTGTTATATCTTTCTATAGTTTATATTTTTAGTATACATAAAGACAATAATAATATCAATAGAACTTGTATACATTTTAACAAAACATGGATGCATGTCTATTGCCCCTTTGAAACAAGTAACATACATATGTTATCACAGTTTTTGGATTTTTTAGTCCACAATAACAAATGTATGTTATTTTTCTCTAATAACCCTATAGAGTTATACTCTTGACTGATCTTAGACCTTCTTGCAAATTGGCTGAAAAAGTTGAACTTTAACATCTATAGATCACTTGTGAAATTTATTTATTAACACTAAAGTACAAATGTATTTTCTATTAAATTTCAGTGTCAGTACTTTGGATATTATAGTATAATATGTTTTTAAGTATTGTCTCTATTTCATGTATTTTCAGAACCTGAAGATATCAAAGTTGCTGGTTATTTAAATCTTGCAGCAGATGCTGCTCACAATTTTACAGATGGATTGGCCATAGGTGCTTCCTTTCTTGCTGGTAGAAATTTAGGAATTATTACAACTGTAACTATATTCTTACACGAGATACCACATGAAATAGGAGATTTTGCTATCTTAGTAAAGTCTGGGTGCTCGAAGAAAAAGGTACAGTTTTGGTTCAAAATATATTAGTGGTTTGTGCATGTATTTGAAATGAAGCTTGCTGTATTGGCGTATGATCACATGTAATGGGAAAATTCTATATATATTTCTTCTATAATTTTGCAAATATTTTCATTCTTGATAATCGTGATAATATCTAAGATTTGAGTTCATTTTAAGTGACATTTAGGCCAAAAAAGTATATGTCTGTTTAAGGTTACCCAACCGACCCTACTTTTGAGCGACAACCCTAAGTCATATTCCCATCGTAAAGTGAAAAATTAACTGAACTTGTGTCAAAAGGGAAGTTAGAGTTGCCATTAAAACAAATCAATTGCCTGATACATCTAAATGTTCACAATCCTGAATATAACAGCTGTTTTAAGAAAATCATGACTCGTGTGATAAAATAAACACTTTGCCGCCATTTTTTCCCAAACAATAATCAAGGGAAATAATCCAATCATTAAAAATAGGGGTAAACTTGGCCAATGGACAACTCAGACCACGGTAAGACCAACACAGTACTCAAAATCATGTTGCAAAAAATAAAATGTAAAAATAAAATAAAATGGAAATACTGACCTACCTAATCTATTATTTTTTTAATGATTCAACCTTAAACAGACATATATTATTTTGGCCTATCTGCATGATAAAAAAATTTCCTTCAATTTTTTTTTAACTTTTCTGACTTTTCAAAACATGCATAACATGCATAAGCAATGCAATGAAAATTTGCTCAACATCCCTGCATATGACTGATATGAGTATACATTGTATATTGATAATATTTTTTAAATTGTACATTTCATCTAAGCTTCTGACAAAATATTTCTAATTCTTGTTATTTCAACTACACCTGAACATTAACATTAATGTCTTCTTGTATATAAAATGAACTGCATGTGAAAAAATACAGAACAAATGTTTTTTCTCTTCAAAAATTTATTCAGTCATGTTTGTATGCTTATTTTTAAGCTACAGAATAAAAAAAATTCGTAAGGGTTCCGCGGAACCCAGTGTCTCGCCTACTTTTTCTGTTAATCACAGGCTCAACAAAAATGAGGCAGTAAATCAATAAAAATATTCCACTTGATACTATCTTTTGATTGTAAGAAGCTTCTGTCCAAGATTGGTAAAAATCCAGGCTAGTTTATGAATCTTATAAATGTTTAAAAACTTTAACTGCAGACTGAATGTAATGTTAACTAGAAGAAAACAAAATTTCCTTCTAGATACTAGCATTTGATCATAAACAAGCTTCTGTCCAAGTTTGGTACAAATCCAAAATAGTATAAGATAGTTATTATAATTTTAAAAACTTGAACCACAGAGTGAATGTGTTGTTTCCTGGCAGAAAATCTAAGTCCATTTAAAAGTAAAATAAGGAAAAAATAGATTTATTTTTTTTACAAAATTTCCTTCTAGACACTAGCTTTTGATTATAAACAAGCTTCTGTCCAAGTTTGGTACAAATCCAAAATAGTATAAGATAGTTATTATAATTTTAAAAACGTTAACCACAGAGTGAATGTGTTGTTTCCTGGCAGAAAATCTAAGTCCATTTAAAAGTAAAATAAGGAAAAAATGGATTTATTTTTTTACAAAATTTACTTCTGGATACTATCTTATGATCATAAACAAGCTTCTGTCCAAGTTTGGTACAAACCCAGGATAGTTTAAGAAAGTTATTAAAATTTTAAAAACTTTAACCACAGAGTGAATGTAATATTTCCCGGCAGAAAAACTAAGTCCATTTATAAGTAAAATACGGAAAAAATGGATTTATTTTTTTACAAAATTTTCTTCTGGATACTATCTTATGATCATAAACAAGCTTCTGTCCAAGTTTGGTAGAAATCCAGGATAGTTTAAGAAAGTTATTAAAATTTCAAAAACTTTAACCACAGAGTGAATATTTGTGGACACTGCCGACAACAACAACGACAACGACGGAATGTAGGATCGCTATGTCTCGCTTTTTCGACTAAAGTCGAAGGCTCGACAATAAGCATACAAACATGACAAAGCTCAGAGCAACATTGTGTAAGGGATAAAAGTCTCAAAGTTGGTAATTCATAACAGAAATACAAACTCCACCACGTGTCCACCTGTGTCCACCTGTGTCCACCTTGATTCTTTAAATTTGATTTTATTGGTATCAGCAACAACACAACAAACCATAGCTTCTAGAGTCAACAATACATGAAGACAAGTGTCTATACAAACCATAGCTTCTAGAGTCAGCAATACATGAAGACAAGTGTCTATACAAACCATAGCTTCAAGAGTCAGCAATACATGAAGACAAGTGTCTATACAAACCATAGCTTTTAGAGTCAACAATACATGAAGACAAGTGTCTATACAAACCATAGCATCTAGAGTCAGCAATACATGAAGACAAGTGTCTATACAAACCATAGCTTTTAGAGTCAACAATACATGAAGACAAGTGTCTATACAAACCATAGCATCTAGAGTCAACAATACATGAAGACAAGTGTCTATACAAACCATAGCTTCTAGAGTCAGCAATACATGAAGACAAGTGTCTATACAAACCATAGCTTTTAGAGTCATCAATACATGAAGACAAGTGTCTATACAAACCATAGCATCTAGAGTCAGCAATACATGAAGACAAGTGTCTATACAAACCATAGCTTCTAGAGTCAACAAAACATGAAGACAAGTGTCTATACAAACCATAGCTTCTAGAGTCAACAAAACATGAAGACAAGTGTCTATACAAACCATAGTTTCTAGAGTCAACAATACATGTACATGAAGACAAGTGTCTATACAAACCATAGTTTCTAGAGTCAACAATACATGTACATGAAGACAAGTGTCTATACAATGTGTCAAGCTTGAAAAGCTTTGAAATAATTAAAAAGTGACTATGAAAGATCTGCAATCAACACCTAAATGACAAATAAAATTGTGATGTAAGTAATGACAACCACTGGTGAGGTTCCTGACTTGGCCCAATTCGCTTGAGAGAGCACATGAACATGTAGTTGAGTAAAATTAATTTTCGAGAACTCTATGCCCCACCTACCATCCCCCCCCCCAATTAAGAACTTTCAGTGGAATAACAAAAAGTACATAAAGTACAATGAAAATTACATGTAGTACATGAAAAGCACTTCATTCTGCAATAAAGTATAGCATAAAACCAAAAAAACAAGTTCTTTTAAAAGAGACTTTATCAGTCAGGGGTGCTACTTAAACAAGTGATTTCATCATCACTTATTTCAGTGATTTGATAAATTCAGTTATCACCTATTTAAGTGATTTTAGTGTTTTCTTTGATCTTCAAATGCTAATTTCATTGATTTTCCATATTTTCACAATCTTTTCTATAATTTTCCTACATAAATCAATTATCCCTTTTTCTTTGTATATTAATTTCACCAGTGCGCTTGGGCAGTAAGTTAGTGCGCTAAAGCTTTTAAAAGTACCCTTGGGAATTTTTCTGTAATCAAAAATTCATTAACTACTCTTACTATCAGACAAAGATCAACAATATTAGGTAACCTGATTGGTTTTCTTTAGAGTTAGAATGATCTACTTCAAGGTTATGACCTGATCTACAAACTATTCCAGTTTTTGCATATTTTAAAAAAACTGTAAAAGTGTCAGGCTTATCAAGCAAAAGACAATTTCTGCATATACATAGTTGTTTTTTCAATGGAATTGTTGTCTTTTTACCAATAAAAAAAACAAGCTTGTGGGAAAAATATCAAGAAAATGTTATAAACACTTATTAAAGTGATTACATTTTAACTTCTAAAATTACTTGTTTCAGTGATTTTAAAAAGTCTGTGAGAAAATTTTTAATATTTCACAGCCAAAATCACTCGAGGGAGTGATTCTGAAATCACTTGTTTAAGTAGTACCCCTGACTGTTTATAGACTTAACTCATTTTGTATAACATGTTTAAATTTTGTTTGATGTGGGAAAAATTTATCTACTAGTAAAAGGGGCCTCGGTGGCCGAGTGGTCTAAGTAGTTACTACTGTAATCACTAGCCAGTCAACACTGAGGTTGTGAGTTCGATCCCCGCTCGTGCAGGTGCACTCGACTCCAATCTTAATTGACTAGGATTGTCAGTTTTCCTATCGAAGGTCGGTGGTTTTCTCCTGGCACTCCGGCTTCCTCCACCAATAAAAACTGGCCGCCACGAAATAGCCCAAAAGCGGTGCTTAAAAGTGGCGTTAAAACACCAAAAATCAAATCAAATCTACTAGTAAACTTTAACTTTTTTTCTTCTTTACAGGCAATGCTATTACAATTTAGTACAGCGATTGGTGCCATGATGGGAACAGTTTGTAGTCTTCTAGCTGAGGGAGGAGGCGATGCAGCCGTAGCATGGATCCTTCCTTTTACAGCCGGAGGTTTTATATATATTGCAACAGTATCCGTCATTCCTGAGTTGTTAGAAGATACCAAACTAGGACAATCTATTAAGGAAATAGGAGCATTGTTAGTTGGTGTTTATATGATGTATCTTATTGGACTTTATGAATAAAATTTCATTAGATATGTTAAGGAATTTTAAATTACTTAGATATTGTTTTTTTTAATTTCGTTTTCATCTATTTTATATGTTTAAAAGACTATTTTCACAGAACTTTTGTTACAATTGGATTTTTGACTGCTCTATTACCTATAACAATATTTTAGGGTAATGAAAGTTAAGCTTGCCTGGATCTGTTTTGATTCAAAAGTATGAAAGTTGAATCAAAAGACTACTAGATGTAGTAATAGGTTCAATACTAGTCACAATTATAGTTGTTTTAAAGCTTTAGTGTTTATTATTTATGATAGCCTACATGTAACTGTCAAGATATATATGTATATGTTAGACATTTTAATTTAACTAATGGTATGAGGACTAAACTCTACATATACCCAGTTTTTGTAATGTTGCTAATGTCATGAATGTGCAAGTGAGAAATTCATACAATTAAAACAAACTAACATGCATTTTGTATGCAGCTAGTAAGATATACATCTCTGTAGTCACCAGTTAATGTATCTGACAGCTTTTATACTTATCTTTATTGAACCTGTTTGGGAATGAAAATTTTGTCTTAATTTGACAAATGATCAGTATCTACTGGTTAAATAACTACAAGCATTTATGTATGTCTTTATAAGATTGTAGAGTTTATTTACACATGTTTTACTGTATATTTCTTTTATAAAACTTTAATCTTACTTATTATGCTTACAACAATTAATTTTTGATTACTAATCATATCAAATATCTCAATTGATCTCAATTAGGGATTCTGGATGAAAAGTGAACGTCGAGTCTGTGGCCACATGTAAGCAAAATTGTCTCTTTTAAATGCTCTTTATGAAGCAGTATTCTTTAGATTTACAGTAAAAGTATTATATTGATTGCTATCAAATCTCCACAAAAAAATCAAAATGTCTATCATCTATTTTTCTTTCTTTGCATTTAACAATCATGATCAGTAACTCTATATACAAACTTCAATATATACACAAAATGTATCCCATTTTACCAAGTTAGGTATATAGCCTGTATAATTTCCCTGTGTGTTTTCTATTCTATCAAATTGGTTGTTAGTGTTTGGTGCCATATGCTAAGGTGACAGCAGTCTCTTGCAATTTCTGTTATTTTTTTACATTAATCAATTAAAAATAATAGTGCAATCCTATTTTTTCATGTCATTTTAAAATGTAAATTTTAGTGCTTTCACTAGAGCTTTGCGCTAAAACAAATTCTATCGGGGGACGAAGAAGCTATTCTTACAACAAATAAAAATTCAGTGGTGCATACAAATTAGTTTATGACCTTATGATATTTTCATATCAATGCAATGCAACTTTACATTGTAAAAGCATATTTAAAAAAAAACATTTGACACAATACATCTACTGAATTTATTAGAATTTCATATTTGTTATGGTCTAACTTACTCACCTGTTTGAAACATCTTGAAACTTGAGAGAACAGTTTAAAAAATTCATATGAAAAAAAAAAATGAGCATGAGAACTCATGAATTCTGAAAAATGTATGTACTCGTGAGTTCTGAATAATGAGAACTCTAAACTATTGTCAATAAAATGTAGATACTCGTATCTTTAGAAAATGTCATTCCTATGCCAAAAACATTCCAGTAGTCTTATTCTGTTACAGGTAAATATTAACATTTTTAATTGCTCTAACCCAATAATTACAAACCTTATTTCATTTTGTATGCTGTAATCAATCAGTAGTGATTACACTTTATATTTTGAAAATTGATTAGTTTGATATTATTTAGAAAAGCTGGAGAACTATGGTGAGATAAAATAACAGAAATGACACTCCCACAGAAAAGATTACTTGAGAACAATTAATATTTTGATCAAGAAAATTGGTCATACAAATTATTTCATTTAACAAGGAAATGCATCCGTTATGTTGATAAAAGTATATTTGTATTTAAATTTTGTATGTTTTGGATGTTAGTAATATGTACTGCACATTTTCTTGTAATGTTTTATAAATAGCAGTTAAAACAATGTATGTAATAATGTATGGATGGATATACAGTGTGAAATAGATTAAAGCATTTATTTGAAACAAATAGATTAAAGCATTTATTTGAAACTCTTGTCATGATCTGAGTTTTATAAAGAATGAATGTTGTAACATATTATCTTACTTGTTGTAGTTTGATGAAATATGTCTTTTTGAGAATGCAGTTGAGAACCATGACGGAAAATCCCAATCAATTCATAATAAGTTCTTTTTAACATTTAATCTTATTTAAATTACATATTTTTATTTATAAAAGAAAAACATTTTTTCATGTCGTCATAGAAGTTAAACATTGTAAATGGGAGTGCACAAAACAATTGATTTTGTCTTGCCCATTAAAATATGGTATGTAAGACGCATGTATTACTTCTTTTTTTGCAGGGGCTGTAAGAATTCGAAAGTACCCTCAGTTTCTCATCCCCACTGTAACATAAAATAAGAAATGTTTTTATTGAGGTAGTTTATGATAAGACCCTTTAGTTATTGGTATTTGACCTTGACCTCAATATGTAGTGGTAAGGTTAAAATTTCAATTTAAAGTCAGCTTGTTCATTAGTATGCAGGATAAGCCAACAAAATTTGACATTTTGATTGATTGTGAGGAGATTTTGTAGGTCACACATATCTCACATAGCCTTGACCTCAGTTTTACACTCTAGTGGTAATCGGTCAAGTTGAGGCCTGTTTATCAGCACTATACATGGTTAATAGTTAACAATAATTATTGGTATATTGATAACTTGTGAAGCATATGTGTCTGTTTGACATATTTCCCCAGTGATTCGGTTAATTTTCAGGATAATGTGTGTAAGAGCACTTGCAAACAATTAATCACTAAATATCTTCTATAGAATTAGATACTTTTTATTTATAGTACATGCCAACATTTTTTAATGATGATGAGTGTTCAATGGTGTATTAACCACAGTGTAGTAACATGTTGTATATTTAATTTCATTATCTATTTGTTCATCAACCGAAAAGGTCGTTTATTTTTGAGGCCCTTTATAGCTTGCTGTTCGGTGTGAGCCAAGGCTCCGTGTTGAAGGCCATACTTTGACCTATAATGGTTTACTTTTACAAATTGTGACTTGGATGGATAGTTGTCTCATTGGCACTCATACCACATCTTCTTATATCTACTTAGTGTTAATTTTTTGCAGGCTTTCAGTAGTCGTAATGAATAGTAACAACCCCTACAGCCAAAAGCAGTTTAAAACTAAATTTCGTAGTAAGGGTTAAGGGTTTTTTAATGGTCTATCAGCTTTAAAATAATGAAATGTTATTCTGAACGATATGTGTTTGCAAGGGACATTATTGTGACTGTTTTATGAAAAGTTATGAACTGATTGTTATAAGAAAAATGAGTGCTTGTCAAAATGATACAGAAATAAAAATTGGGAATGGCAAATTAAGGTATTTTGTTTCATTATTTTCACTTTAATGAAGAAATGAAGATGTTGTTATAGATCAATTAGACAGCAATGTAATGGAACAAAAACACCTAGACAGTTAAAAGATGTATATTAGGTTATCATCGAAAAAAGACAGTAAAAAATAGCACTGAGCCTAGATAAACTGTGCACAAATTTGAATTAGACCATCGGATATCTATCGACATCAAATTCCCTTATTAACAAAAACACGAAGACATATATCAAGAAAACAACTGATGAGGTGCATGACTTAGTACATGCATATGAGCATGTTAAAGACTTTTCATTAGATTCTTGAGATCTCAGTATCACCCTTTTATAGCTCACCTGGTCAGAAGGGCCAGTGTGAGCTTTTGCTATCACTTGGCATCCCTCAATTGTTGTCGTCGATTAACTTTTACAAAGATCATCTCCTCTAAAACTACTTGGCTAAATCTAACCAAAAATGGACACAAGCATCATTAGGGTATCTAGTTTAAAAATGTGTCATATGACCCCACCTGTCAACCAACATGGCTGACATGGCTAAAAGTAGAACATAGGAGTAAAATACAAGTTTTTCTTTTATCTTGAAAACTGCTATGAAAGGAGAAAATCTGACATGCCAAAAATGTTAAGAATGATGAGATCTCCATATCGTTTTTTCACATCAAAACTTTTCTTACAGGAATTATTACCCTTAAATGACAAGATTTTGCCAAATTTTTGCGTTTTTGTTTAATATCTTAAAAACAATCATAGTTAGATGGAAACTTGAATAAGCAAAAAAAGATCAGCAAGACAATATCTACAAATAGATTAACATGGCTGAAATCGTCCGACTATTTCTTGTTGAAGTTATTGCCCTTTATGAAGGTTTTTACCAATTTTTTGCTTTTAAGACTTGGATCTGAAAAACAGTAATATATAGATGGTAACTTATATAAGCAAAAATTATCAGCAAGACAAGATTTAAAAATAAGTGAAATAGTCCAAGTTATTCGATGACTCATTGTTGGAGTTTTGCTCTTAAATGACAATTTTTACCCAGTTTTAGTGTTTTTACCTATTATCTTGAAAATTATAGGAGATATACACACTTTAAACAGGGAAAAATGATCAGCAAGACAAGATATACAAATAAGTCAACACAGCCGAAATCGTTTGACAACTCCTTTTTTGAGTTATTGCCCTTTTAATAGCAATTTTAACCAATTCTTATACGACTGCAAATTTTTGCAGCCGTATAATGGTATGGCGATGTCATTGTCCGAAGACATTTGGTTTCCTGACAATAACTTGAGGACAAGTGTATGGATCTCTATGAAATTGTACCACAAGGTTCCATGCCACAAAAAGAAGGTTGGGATTGATTTTTTTTTAGGGGGGGAGTGGTATTGTCCTAACTGCCAAGGAATTGGGGGTCCAAAACCAAGTATTTTCTTGTTTCTGGACATTAACTTGCGTATAAGTGTATTGATCTCTATGAAATTGTATCATAAGGTTCCATACTTCAAAAGGAAGGTTGGGATTGATTTTGAGGGTTCTGGCCCAAACAGCTAAGGAATTAGGTGCCAAAAACAAGGATTTTCTGGACAATAACTTGAGTATAAGTCGATGCATCTCTATGAAATTTACCACAAGGTTCCATACCAAAAAAGGAAGTTTTGGATTATTGCCCTGCCCGTTAAGGAATAAGGGGCCAAAAACAATACTTTTCCAATACATTGTATAAATTGCTTATTTCTTGACCAATTTCAATGGGGTTTAATTCAAAATCTGGAATTCTTTAAGTTCTTTATTATGCTGAAATAACTGTAATTAGATTTTGAAAATTTTGCCCCGTTTTTAAGTTGGTCTACATTTAGGTCCAAAGGGTCCAAAATTAAATTTTGTTGGATTTGAACAAAAATTGAATTCTTGGGGTTCTTTGATATGCAGAATCTAACCGCGTATTTTTTTTTTATTTAATTTTTGGCCCGGTTTTCAAATTGGTCCACATTAAAGTGTCGAAGATAAATCTTATTGTGATTTTCACAAAAATTGAATTCTTGGGGTTCTTTGATATGAGGAATCTAAACATGTATATAAATTTTTGATTTTTGGCCCAGTCTTCAAGATGGTTCAAATCGGTGTCCCAAATTTAACCTCGACAAAAATTGAATATATTGGGTTCTTTGATATGCTGAATCTAACTGTATATTTGGATTTTGGGCCCGTTATCAAATTTGTGAACATTGATGTCCAATGGGTCCAAAATAAAATTTCATCAAAAATTGAATTCTTGGAGTTCTTTGATATGTTAAATCTAATTTATCAATAATAGGTAAATGTCCAATTTCAAAATTTTAAGTTCTTAGGCCGCATTCATCTTGTGTCAGAAACCTATGCTGTGTCAAATATTTAATCACAATCCAAATTCAGAGCTGTATGAAGCTTGAATGTTGTTTCCATACTTGCCCCAACTGTTCAGGGTTCGACCTCTGCAATCGCATCAAACTGCGTACAGCGGAGCATTTTATTTTTTGTTTTTGCTAAATATCTAAAAAAACTGTAAAAGATAGATGAAAACTTAAATATCGAAAAAACGATCAACAAGACAAAATCTACAAAGAGGCCTTATGGCAGAAATCGTCAGTCGACTTCTTACTGGAGTTATTGCCCTTAATGAATATTTTTACACAATTTTTTGCTTTTTGCCTAACTTCTTAAAAACTGTAATAGGTCGATAAAAACTGAAATAAGCAAAACTGATTAGCAAGACAAAATCGACAAATAAGTCAACATGGTCGAAATTGTCAGTCGACTTTTTATTGCAGTTATTGCTCTTTCATGATTATTTTTACCTGTTGATTGTGTTTTTTCCCATATTATCATGAAAACTGTAATAGATAGGTAGACACTTTAAACAGCAAAAATGACCAGTTAGAATAACATAGCTGAATTCGTCAGTCGAAACCTTATTTGAGTGCTTGCTCTTTAATCATGTTAATGACAATTTTTACCTATTTTTTGCTTTTTGCCCATTATCCTAAAACTATAAAAGATAGACACTTTGAATAGTAAAAATAATCAACAAGACAAGATCTACAAATAGCTTAAATTTTGTCAAAATCGTTGGTAGACCTATTGAATGGAGTGATTGTCCTTAAATGATAACTTTTTTCACTTTTCATCTTTTTGGTCAAAAACTAAAGATACAGAGAAACTGTAAACAGAAAAAAATGATAAGCAATACAAGATCAACAAAAATGAGATTTTCATCATGAGTTCTATTCTAGTCAACAATGTTGGAGAGGGTCCATTGTCTAACATAGACCTAGGTGAGCGACACAGGCTCTTTACAACCACAGTAATAGTATCCCGTTGTTTTCAAAACTATTCACCTCCCGCGCATATTTTAGTATATACTCCTCAGTCCATCCCTTTTAGGTTTTTGAATTTTTTGTCGAAGGAGGGGAATAAGTATCATGCCAGAAAGGTGCAAAAAAAAAAGTAATAACGATGTAGAATTTCCACTGCATGTACGATAGAAAATTTTAAGACAGCCTCCATTAATATCCCAAAATATCATTCAGCTGAAAACGTCCACATTTAGCCATTCCTTTTCTATGTAATGTTTTTGTTTCGTTCTTCTTCCTCATTTCGTAATTTATATTTTCCCCAAGGTTTCTGGTTTTATTCACTTATGATATTCGATTGCCTCCTTTGTATTTTCCCTTCCTTTTGAGTTATCTGTAAATCTGTAAACTGACGATTGTGTACATTCCCGATTGTGATATTTTGTCGGAATCGCATAGCGGGTGTTCCTTGTATAGAAGGAGACGCTTACCCTGTCGATGCATCCCGGCTAGCTCTTTCTAGACTTCATACGAATTCCTCGGGTTTTATTTGTTGACCTTGATTTGTATCATCTAAATGGACTTATGAAATTTAAACATCTGTCAGCTACTATTGCCTCTAATTTGGTTACTTGTCAGGTTTCAATGTTTTTTTGTAATGATTTTCTCTCATTGGTGTTTAATTCGTTTTCATTTACTTCCTACTCAAGGTAATTTGTCTTTTGACAATAACTTGTACTCTTATGTTGATTTTGGTGTTACTCTTATATTGAAAAAAAAAACAAAACCAAATTTCTTAAAATAAACCAATGATGAATTCAAAGACACTGAACACGAAAGGACCCGACTTGACGAAATGTGAAACGAATCCAACGAGAAAACAAACAACCGGATTTAGTACAAAGCAATAAATGAAAAACAATTATGACAGACAACAACCAATGACAACCCCTGAATAACAGGGTCCTTATACGGGACAATCACGTTGAGAATGTGGCGGGGTAAAACATGCTTGTGAGCGCTCAACCTTTCTTAAAAAAAGGACAGTGATGTAACAGCACATCATAAGAGCAAAAGTTAGAAATAAGCTGGAAATGGTTTGACTCATCAGATAGACACGAAGCACTAAATCAACAATCATAAAGGCAAAAGACACAACCGACATAAGAATACTTGCAGTTACTGAAAGCTAGTTCAAAGGCAATTACAACTAACAAATAAATCATGATCTCCTGGACTTAAGTTCTAAAGTATAATTTATACATTCATCGAAAGTGTAAATATTAGAAATAAACGAATTTAATTCAAATGACTCTTTTAATTCTCCTTTATTTCGTTTTTGTATGAATTAACATACGTATTATAATCTACTTTTAACTGCTGATGCCGCAAGTGAAATTCAAGGGATACAAATACTTGAACCAAAAGGATAGTCTTGGTTGTTTATAGTTAATTTCGTTTGTTAAGACGACTTGGTCATTGGCGTAATCCAGTTTGTTATACGATTTTCTTTCTGGATTGTAGACATTCAACCCACTATATGATCCCCAATGTCTAAAATTAATAAAAAAATCAGAATAAAACATGGCAAACAATCTAATATGTATGTGGTTTTACTATTCAACATATTTGGTGTTTAAATATGATACTGTTTTATTTGTGTCATGATTGTATTTTGAGTTTTCTTTTTCGTTGTAGATTGAGTTTTCTTTAACTTAAAATACAATCTATGACAAACGTGATGATTTCAACTATCCAATTGTCATCTTCTAATTTCTCAGCTGTAACGCAATATCTGCCCATAGTAAGGCATTTACATATATCAATTAATACGTTACGCTCGTTTATGTTTACATTATACGGAATCAAAAACTACTCCAACATGAGTCGGGAGAAGAACGCCTGAAATCGACACTTCATAAGTTTACGGTCACGATCACAATTTGGTTGACTGATACGATGTGCCTGTGTCTTAACTCCCCAGCGACACGTTATGCGGTTTAGATCTTATATTCGTCTGATCTGTAGATGCCCTTTTTCCGATTAAGACAGTTTGACTGAACGTGGATTCGCATGGCGGTTGATACATTCACAGCAAGATACGATTACCCTGTCGACACAACCATTCTCCTCCTTTTGGAGTTTGTGCGATTTCCTCAGATTTTCTTTTACGAACTTTGCTTTGTATCTCGTTAATTGATTTATTCGATTTGAGCATGGATAAACTACTGTTGTTTCGGCCTTTTAATCACCGTCTTGCCTTTACATTTTAACAATATGACTGTCAAAAATGACAAATCTAGACTTAATCAAATTTAATTTTGTGTTCTTCAATTTCGTACTTGATATGTCCTTTTAGCGTTTTTGATTCGAGCGTCACTAATGCGTCGTTTGAAAACGAATACGTGTCTGGTGTAAGTTTTTTGTAAGCCTGGTTTCTTTGATAAGTTTGTTAATTTTTTCTGGAGTTTCATACAAGAAACGTTGGTCCTGTATTTTTGAAGGCTGTACGTGTATGTTTTATGTAAATTTTATCGGTATTAAGCTTATAAGTCCGTAATCTTATAAATAATAGAGCTTCGGGATCACATAAATGGAAAATTGGAAATTAATTGAAAATTCCAAACTGTCGAGTATTTGTTAACGTTTTGTTTTTGTGCCTGCTTAAATAATAAACATACGTACCCTTCTTTGACGAAATCGCTGATGATTCTCATTGTCGTTTTAGACACATCGGCATCTCGTGGCGTATATGAGAAGTTTGGGTGTCCAATTGTTGGTAAGCCAAATACGTAAAATGCGTCCCAACCATGCTGGACCCCTAAACAAAAACAAATCTAATGATGAGAATCAATGTGTGTTAGAATTAATGTTTTTCATTGAAAAAAAAACATACACCAGTGTTTTGACTATGGGTTTAAATTCAAACGATGCTATCAAAATTTGGAATTTTGAATTAATAGTGACAGCATGGATATATGACTTTTTATTCAAAGATTTGATTAAAATATATGAACTACCGTATTGATATGAAGGTCTGGATTAATGGGTCCTTCATTTCTCTATTTTTGAATTTTTTAGGTAATTTTTCTCTATTCTTTAATTTTTAGGTAATTTCTCTCTATTCTTTAATTTTTTAGATAATTTTCTCTATTCTTTAACTTTTTAGGTAATTTTTCTTTATTCTTTATATTTTTACCCATATTCCCTATTCTTAATATTTTAGCACCCTATTATTCTCTATTCTTTATTGTTTGCTCTATTTTCTCTATTCCTTATTTTTGGGTCCTGAACTCTGCACTGTTTGTCCATTATTCTCATTTCTGTAAACCCCATCCTGGCCTCTGATATAATTACAGGAATGTTTAATATTACTATTGCAAACTAAATTAGTTTTAGTAAATATGACTATCAATATATGGTTAAGTTGAATTCCTGTTGACTAGACTAGATTTTTTTATTACCTATCCAATCCGGTCCGCTTTTATTCTGTGAAATATACTCAAAACTGAGTGTATAAACGTTCTTCTTTTGAAAAATCATATCTGCAAGTTTCATCATGGGCGCAATCATAACCACATCTGAATACATCACCATAGCCTGGAACAAAAGATAATCTTACTTTTGTTTATTTTGTTTATTGATCGATTGATGGCTTGATACTTAATGGATATTGATGTGATATAAATTAGGAACCATGCTTGTCACATCACCGACACAATGACCTTGAATTGAAGTGCATACAAACACTTGGTCGAGCTTTTGCTTGGAATAAACAAAACCAAAACGATAAGCAGAACAGCAAATATCGTATATAGTCAACTTTACCTTAAGTGTTTTGTTCGAATCAGTTTTAAATCGAAACCAAGGTCATGCATCATTCAACTGCCAAGTAGTTTAACTATTAATGATATTCCAAGATGGTCCTATCAGTTCTGTAATGCTGATTTTTTTTATTGGTACAAACAAATATGCACTATTCATCAAGTAAAAAAAAAATATGATAACGAACAAGAGTTCACAGGACACCATGTTTCTTTTCTCGCTATCACATTATCTTGTTCAGTGAACCATGGAAACACATAATAATGAACACGTGTAAATATTTTCAAGATGATGTTAAAATAATTTGACCGAAAACTACTTTAAATTTAAACTGTAACCTCAGGCTGTACTGATTTCACACTATCACATTTATATGTTCAATGAACCGTGACATTGGGTGACAAAACCGTAATTTAGCATGTAATTAAATGATATAAACTCTGCTACAGAGATTGGGGTATTCAATCTTGAGATGTTGGCCATTTATTGGGGTCATAAAACATAGGTTGATGTTTTATCTAATTATGTTACCTGTTGAAATCAATCAGGGTTGAAGTTTTCAGCTTGTATGTTTCATTAAAATTTACCTGTACAGGTAACTCAGGTTTCTTCTCAAATTGACATATCACCTTTTCTTTAAAATGTAGAATAGAATGTTGTTTTAGTCTTTGTTAATTCATATCATTTGTTGATTTTTCTGTCTTTAAATTTACATATTTCCTTTTTTTTATAGTGTTATTTTTTATTTTTTATTTGTTTTTTTTGCTTCTTATTCTTTTAATTTCTTCTTGGAAAGAATCTTGAGTAGAAATGACAAAAAATCAATGATAAGTAAAGTTATTGACTAGCATTTGAAAACAAAACAGAGAATCCTTTAAATAATTATTTTTACATTAAAAAAGTTATTGTACATGATGTACATGGTATTCAATTATTTGTTTGCATTACTAAATGAATTATTATTAATTATAACTTATAATCATGCAAATGATATGTTTAAAGGAACCACGAAGCAAGTAATTTAACAAGCCTGTTTCTTATCTAATTAAAGTTATCAATATCATGAATATCAATCCTTTTACAATAAATTTTGTTAACAAAGTTGTACAATCTATTTTCATGATTATTATTCTGGAAAACTAAAAATATCATTATATGGTATAGGAATAAACTATTTTTGTTTATCTTTTATATTTTTCCAAATCTCAAAACTGGAGTTGTGCATGAAGAATCACTATAGAGACTTAAATTTTTCAAATGGCTAACTAGTTATCATCAAATTTTGATATATGCTAATCATAATGAAAAATGTTCTTATCTCTATATAGATCTGAATAAAGTAAATCTTATGAAAGAAATTATTCAAAGAAAAAATTGTCTTGCTTTTTGAAATAATTGTAAACTTATCAAATATGTTATCATTAGTTTGGCTAATTTTGTCAGTTAACAGGCAAAATTTGTCTCAAAAAAAAATAAAGTACACTTCTATATAGATTGTGACATTTTTATGGTCTATTAATTAAATCACTTTTTGTTCTGTGTATTATATTGTCGAAAATGCAGGACTGGCATATGCATGATACATATTCTTGGTATACATTTGCAAAGAATATTTCACTCAACTCAGGCCCTTTAGATAAAAGTTAATAATTGCAGGGACTTGAATGAATTAGATTCTTTAAAGCCCTTGATTAAAAATGAATTTTAAGAAAAAAAATAAGAATATTTTTGAAAATAAAATAAAAACTTATGATGAAAACAGTAAACTCAAATGCTTTACTCAGTAAAGAATTAGCATGATTAGTGGTCATAATTTAGAAATAGAAAATGGTGGATAAAAATTCCTATAAAGGATAGAATTGTTTGTAAAATTAGCATAACAACTTAGAGATAATCTATTTGAAAATAGTTTACTTTCTCATAATTATGTCTCTGACCAGTTTATGAATAAAATCTTGAATCTTATGAATAAAATCTTAACCAAGAACAAACAGTAAAAGAAATGCTAAACCTCTATAACATGGAACATGTTTAAAATATTGGCTCCTTTATAAACAAAAAGTCATTAGAACTGAGGGTAAAACCTAATAATTTTTTTCCATGTGTTTTGATTTCTTATAAAATTGTTATTTCTTTGCATTATAATGATTGTTTTTGTTTTTTTTGTCAGAAACTTGATTAAATTGTAATATGTTTATATGACAACAAAAATATTATCAAATTTTTCTGTAATGAATATTTTGAATATACATCATGTACATGTATTTATTCAATAGAGAAATAATGAATTGCCTAAATTTTATTTAGAATAAGTCCTAAAGATCATCTTAAACATTTGTTTAACCATGTTAAATGCAGTAAGTATAAACAATTTTGATTTTAGAAAATTAATTTGAGAAACACCTTTTCAATGGAAAAAGGCAGGCGTTGTGAAAGTTTGCATTATATTAGAAGATGATATTCATTTATTATTCACTTGCCAAAAAATACATGTAAAAAATAACTTAAATTGATAGAATTATTTAAAAGGTATAACATCAAAACAAACAGTCATGAGAAAATTTTTACAAAAAAAAGTTAGGAAGCTATTTTTTCAACTAGTTTTATTATTTTATTTTAGAATTTTCTTGTCATAATCACAGTTATTAAATTTGACAAACACATATATTTTACCTGAGACACTTTACCTGTGAGTTATATAATTTTAACACTTCAATGCAGTCATGATTTCCCTTTATCCTTGACTAATTTTTGATTAATACCTTGTGAATTAATTAAGCAACAGGAGGTATAATGATGGACATTTAGGGCCATCATGGTGACCATATTTTTTATGGTCACCATTAATAAGATAATGTCACTGGTAGTACTGTAGGAACACACTGGTCGCAATAGTAATGAATATTTCTAACCGTAAGCTATTCAAACCCGTGAAAGAAAATTCCAAGATGAGGAAAACAGTATTTTTTTTAAAAGTATAATTCGCTTATAAACATTTGGATGCATGGAATACTAGCAATATTTTCTGTCTGTACAGAAAACAATACCTGATCCTAATTACTTTATACAGATTAAACTGCACCTGCCATATCTGATATCTACTACAAACCCATCTCATCCACAATTTTCGATAACAAGGGGATATAAGAGACTATACCATCGAGAATGTTAGAACCAAACCTTCGAATTTCTCTTGTCCTTCTTCTCATAAAGTTCATCGGGAATTACCATGACCAAATATATAAATATTCAGTGTCTACTTTACAAATGATACATGATGGCCTTGGGTTAAATATTCTAGTTCTAAAATCGGACGTTGGGTTTCATTTTATTTACTTTATAGTTTACACTTTATTTGTCTTTGTACTATAATGTAAAATTAGGAAGATTTGGTGTGATTGCATTAGATTGATTGATTGATTGTTGGTTGCTTAACATCCAGTGGCAAATATTTCATGCATATTCAGGACGAGAACAAATTAACAATAAATACAATAGGTAGGTTCTGTAATAGGGGCGTCAGGGATTAAGGTCGGAGAAATTTAGACTACCACGGGAAATGAGGGTATATTGGATAGGGACAGAAATTTAGCCTTGTAACAGGTCACCTACGGACACCTCAAAGAGTTGTTGCAAGGGTTCTTAACGTGCAAAGAGCGTGGCACTCTCTTTACACGAGGCATCGGATTTAACGTTCCCATTCTGACCGGACGTTGATTGCATTAGAGAGGCGAAAGATACAAAAGGGACATTCAAACTCATAAGTCGAAAATAAACTGGCAACGCCATGGCAAAAAACGAAAAAGACCAAAAAACAAACAACAGTATAAAAAACACAACATAGAAAACTAAAGACTGATCATGAGCAACACGCACCCCCAAAAACCGGAGTGATCTCATGTGCTCCGGAAGTGTAAGCAGATCCTACTTCACAAGTCGCTTTGATACCTTTCGCCTATCTTACGCACCCGTCGTGTTGCTCCAAATAAGACAACAATCTATAGAGACCAAATGCTCCTTTAGGTCGTATGACTATTGACGGGGCTTTCGGGTTTTGGGCGTTGCAATAGCTAATGGGCCTAGAGGTGCAATTCGGACGCATTAGGTTTTTTAAAGTGTTGCTTTATTTTGTTTACCCTTGTATTGATATTCAATTTCTTTGTATTTTATCGGGAAAGCGTATACTAGTATGACATTATGATTTACTATACTGTATGTACTATAAACTACAAAAAACTGTTATATCGATATTTTAACAAATAGTGTTCCAATGGGTACTTATTCTACACCCTACTTGCTAACTGGTTATTGTATTCATAAGTACAGATGTAAGAAAAGTATCTTGCTGAATTCTTTAGACTACCTTTCAGATATACGCTTGTTTTCGTGTAACTCAATTATTCAAATAGCAGTTGGTGCTTGTTTGGCATATATCACAGTGACCTTAAAATAGCACATCTCAATTGATACGTGACGCTAATGAGTGTTAACAAGTAGAAAATGAAATTTGGGTAAAACTACTATAATTTGGCGAAAAAAAACCCAAATAGTTCACTTCATTATGAAAATGTTTACTAAGTTTCAAGTTGATGTTGCCACTTCAAGTTACACTACATTAGCCAAACACTTTAACCTGATACTGGGCGGACGAACGTTCAAGACCAGAAAACATAACCCCCTAACTATCGTAAAAGGTGCATACAAAATCAAAACCTAAAATGAAAAAAAGACAACGGAAAATGTATTACCTACGCAAAAAATATTTTCCTCATTTGTGTTATGAATTTCAATTGGATGCTGTTACTAATAGGTATATACGTACTAAACAGCAGATGATCAACATTTTGTATAGATTGGTTATGTAGTTTTAGGAAATTTATGAGCAACTGGTTTCCCGTATAAGAACCTGTAGGATATATTCAGTATAAAAATAAAAGATGTGGCATAATTGCCAATGAGACAACTCTCCACCAGAGACCAAATGACAAAGAAGTTAACAACTGCAGGTCACCGTACGGCCTTCAACAATAAACCAAACCTATAGTCAGCTATAAAAGAATCAGTTGAAAAGGGCTTAACTCATCAGATGGATACACAGCAGATAAAAATAAGTAAAAAAATACAGACCGGACGTGGCAGGGTATTTATACATCCCTACAACAAAAAAGACACTAAGTACAGTTCTGAGAGTACTTGCAGTTAATGACAGTTAGTTCATAGCCAATAACAACTAATAAAAAAATCATGTATCTAAGACTAATTTGTCTAGTTTGCAACTTCATGCAAACTAAATAAAATTGTTTAATAACGTTTCTCAATCATTCTACTCACTTCAGGATATCTTGATAGATCTAGGGTTTTCCATTTTTTCAACTCTTTTTTAATGGCGTCTACGAAAATAAGATTTTATAATTTTAAAAGTGTATTATGTTTTCTAATATGAGTTATTATTTAAGTGATGTAATTTTATGTCTCAGTGAAAAATAAGCTTTGTATTCCAGTTTTAGTTTTCTCGTTGGTAAAAAGCGAATTTTGCAAAATCACAAACCGTCCGCCCGGGTATTCTGATGAATAAACATGCTCTTATCAGTCATAAAACTTTTAATAAATCGATGAGAAGACATCATATATCGAAGAAAATGTGAAGTTAGTCGTCAATGATAGTTTCCTTTCATTCTTCTTGAGAAAGCCCTGGTATAAAATTCTACCTCGTTCGAAAAAAGTAATAAGTCGTCTAGAAGAGATAATATAGAGTCCCGATACTAATGAAGACTGTCTGTGGAAAAAACTGGCACCAAACATAAATTATAGAATCGCATTAAATAAATACCTTTGAATTCCGGTCTTTCTGGAAAAAATTCCGATGCTAGCGCTTCGATTGTTATCTCTGTGTCATACATCGAATGGTTTTCAACTAATTCTACAAATATTTTTGTATCTGATGATTGTTTCTCGAATAACAGAGAAGATGTTATAGAACTAACCACTATATGACTTGGTCGTTGGACAGTATCTAACAATTGTTGAAACATGTTTTTCTTTGACTTAACATCGGTCAATTGTTTGTCACATAACAATATGTATAATTCATAACTTTTGTTGTAATCGAATATTGCGTTTGATGTGTATTTATGCAATCCGCATTAAACACGAAAACAGCTATCTATCTACCAATTACCAGTGCTGCCTAACACAAAAAAAAAATCCGCTGACTTCTGAAAATTTACAGTTACAAATTGTTACATTCTTATACTTTTTTTGTTGTCAATTTCATTGCCAAACATAAATATTATTTTGTGTTTTCAAATATTTCAAAATAGAGACGAGGTTTAGGGAGAAAATAAAATGAAAAGGTATTTCCAATAAACCTACGGGTAATGTTTCAATGATAAACATACCTGACATATCTAATGGCCAGGCTTCATCTCGTGCCATCATAATTAACACTGAATCAGCATGCAATTGTCCACAGGTAAACAAATATTCCGGACTGTCTGTTAAAAAATCCCCGTCAACAACTATCCAATTATCCTATCGAAAAAAATAAGAGTCAGCATGGTTACAATATCTGCTAAAACGAGCGTTTGTCCTCTTTTTTACATGCATTTTTAAATCTGTGACAAACAATTGTATTTATTTAATTGGCATTTATTGACATATTGCATAAGTGGTTTTAAGTGAGAAAGTCCCAATCAAGTACCTGATAATCAGAACCAATGACGATAAAATAACTTTATGATATTTTGATATTTTAGTAGATTTTAGAAAATCGAAGCAAATAAGTGTTTTTCTTTAATAATTTCAAATTCATTATGCCTGCATAAATTCCTTATATTCGTTCCAGTAGTTAAGAGGATAGTTATGTATGAGGGAGAACAAAAAATGCCCAGTCGTAACAACATTTCAGGACCGCGATATGTGCAGAGCTACCTTACAAAATTTACGTGATCAATTATACTACAGCAGATGCGTATTTTGACAATCAATGTCTCTTAAGAAGTCCGAGACCAAAACATTAGAAATTAAAAAAATCTAATGCAAACGTTAAAGAGCTAGTAATACCAAAAAGAACCAAAAGTAAAGCCAAAACTTGCCAGAAATCATAGTTTTTCATGATGGAGGTTTTTACTAATTGTATATCTTCGAAATTTACGATCCGCCAGCAGAGGAATTGATCGTGTGATACTAATAACTTTAAGGGTACCCATTTTACTGCACCCTTTAGATTTTAGACGGTTCTTTACTGCGTTTGGCCATAAACCTTGATTCATTACTGTAAAGGAACAAGTCTGCTATAAAAGGGACACAATGGGTACCCATAGGATTACCTACAACCTGTCGATAAACTGTATTGCCAAAACGTACATAAATGTTGTCAAGGAGAAAATTTTGGGCTTTACTTATTATTATCGCGTTTCTAGGAAAGACACATAAACAATCAGTCATGTTTCTGCTAAGACCTGTGCGGAAAACAAACGTTAGTCTGGATTGTTACTGGTAAAATGATAAGTATATTAACACTAATATAGACGATAACGTAAAATAAACGTGCATTTAGTTAAAAAAAATATAAAAAAAAATATTTTAAGCGAGCTTTATTTAAATAGTTATAAAAGCAAGATGTTTTTAGTTCTTTTAATGTTATATAACAAGCGAAAATGAATCATATATTTTTTCTCTATAAGTTTAGTTGTTCATCCTTCTACTTTACTGTTTTATAAAGACGTTTATCTTATAGTGATTATACATTTTCAATTTTTTGTTTTTGTTTTTCAATGAAATCGATATTGCTTTAAAAAAATCTCAACAAAGATACTGGGTTTATGATTTAATTTGTCAGACACGCGTTTTGCATTTTATCTACATATTACTCAAAATTATCGCTAGAATCAAAGCAAACGTATTTCGAATGATTATATGAACAGTAAAAATTACCGCATCCATGATATTTTATGTCCGCATAAGATCGCTGACTACTGGGTTGTTGATTCTGCGCGTAAGAGCAAGTGTATTGACCTTGTGGTTGAAAAACCCAAGCTGTTCGCTCATAATAGAACAAGGATACGAGGAGACGATATTCATATATTATATAAATATCGCTTTAGACTATTTGTTCACATGCACTTCCAAAGTGAAATGTTTGATACAAATAAATCAATGTTGTTGTACGGGATACTAGTTTTTTTCTTTTAATTGATCTTATTTTTTTATTTGCATCACATTAACAGGATGCATTTAACACTTTATAACATGTCAAAAAATTAAGATAGTAAAATAAAAATAATGATAGAATAAAGAGAAAATGTAAAGGACCAATTCGTAAAATAATTCAAACGTTAGAGACGGAAGATGTATGGAGGTATATACAGTATAGTTGCATACAATCTAAGCAGTTTAATACAAGCACATGGTCGATATTAATGATGGTGGACTGATTATCCCCTGGGCATCATCGGTTCAGTAGTCAGTGATTCGAAATGTACTGGAAGATTTATAAAAAAAATATCAAATTCTCTATCGAGAAATTTAAAAATTATTGAAATAAACTTCCGCAGGCAAAGTTAACTATCAATGAATTTAGTTGCTTTGTCAGTTGGTCGCTGGTGGATAGTTATTTCAATGACAATCATTCGTTATCTTTTTATTTTTATATCTACTATGTTAGGTAACGTTTTGTCACATAGCTCCCGGAAACACCAAATTGATAAAAAAAAAAATTTCATTTAAAATCAAACTATTTAAACTCAATGAAAAATATTGTTAGTCAACCTTTTACCTTCAAAGATCTATTTGTTAAAAAATATTCATATCCATCACCTCCTTCCAACAATTTATTAATAGCCTTCTGATGTTCATCATCGACAACAAGACTCGTCCCAAGTCGGCAGTTTTCTGGGATTGCTGACATTCGACTTGTTCTTACACAAGGAGATAACGCCAAAGGGGAAACTGGTGAGCCACTGTGGATGATTGCGTTTCTGAATAAACCTATTAGAACGGATAAAACATTTCTGAATAGAAATACAAAATATTGTGTAATGTCATTCTGCTTATCTTTGGACAAATGAATTATCATAAAATGAAATAAAATCATCCAGCTGTTTTTGTATATTAGTCTGTCAGAAAAGACAGAAAAAAATGTTATCCCAATTTCTCACAAAATCGCTTTAGACTTATTAATTTAATAGATTTAAAGAAATAAAAATAGAAAAAGGTCAACATAACACACTTTGTTATCTTCACAAACTAAAAACAAAATAGAAATGTTTGGCAACATGATGTCTTTACACAAATGTTCATGTAAGTTAAATATATGTGATACAATTCAAATAAGGGAATCAAAAACCTGATTTATACCACAAAAATGAAAAAAAACAAATGTGGCAGTCAGCGAACAACGAAAACCATTGGATTGCATATTCATGGCTTTAGACAGGCAAATAAATATTGTGGCGGGGTTTGACGTGTTTGTGAGCGCTCAACCCTCCCCATTTCATTGAACAGTGATGTAACAACACAAAATAACAAGAAGTAAAACTTTTAAGATTTTGTTTGTCTGAAGTGCTTCTCTGGATTCAATTGATCAGGAACGCTCAAACCAAAAGTTTTTAAAAGAATGATGCATTTGAACACGTGATAAGCTATGTGACCAAAAGAGACCTATAAAATAGCCAAATCCATCTAAGATCTTCTTTGCGCAAGGAGAGTTGAAAGTTTATTTTGTTCTAACGAAATTCATCACGTAATGATTTGTTAGTTATTCACAGATTACGTTGTTAAAATCTAAAATACCACTATAAGTTAGGAAACTATACACACCTTGAAAAGGGGTCAAAGTAACATCAACGTCCAAAAAATAGAAAATTAACATTAAGAACTAAAAATCGTCTCTTTTGAAGTAAATTGTAAAGTCATACATTTTAGCAAGGAGTTTTCAGTGTGAATATGAAATATCCAAACCAAGACAAGGACAATAATCCCTAATAGTATTTATTAAACTTTATGTAAATTTCCGCGGTATAATTTCAAAATTCGTAAATTAAGATGGCCAACGTGAAAACGATCCCAAAAGACCAAATGACAGAGATATAAACAATCACAGGCCATCAAAAATGACCTTAACAAAAACACAAAAATAATATAGATGCTCATTGGCAACCGGTTTTTTTTATTTTTTTTATTTTGAAAAAAAATATTTTTCTCTGTGTATGCATAAATTATAGAAGTGGAACATTAATAGGATAACTTACCCTACCGAGGGAACTATAATCATTGGTAATTTATTGTCATGTCTATAAATGATTAAATATTGAATACGAGTCGAAAATTCTAAATTACAGTATATCGAACCTAACTTGATGCAGTATCGGTGGATTTCAAAATATATTTCGCGTCAAGAAAGAGAACTTCGTTTTAATATACCTTATAAATTTAGCCTAGCTTAACTTTCCCTTTACTCATAAATAACTTTTAAATGATAAAAGAGTCATACTTTTCAGTCACAAACCTGTTTTGAGTATTTTTTAATTCCACAAAAAGATGTTAGCATGAAAATAATTAATGCAATGAATTGTGCATGAAATAGAACTGATTTGGAATAATTGATGTTGTTAAAAGATAAAAGGACTTTATTTCTTTTAACTACAATATAATTTGAATGCATTATCAGATATAAATTTGTAATATTTATCTTGTAGAAAAGATCAGTGTATTTTTTTTATGATACCTTTAGTCAAACTTGAGAGTAAATGAAGAGCAGCATCCATAGCCCCAGCACTATGTCCATGTATGGTAACTTTAGATGGATCACCATTGAAATACTTTATATTTCTGTTTACCCATTTCAAAGCCAATACTTGGTCCATTAGACCATTGTTACCTTTTATTCCATTACTTGGATCTGCATAAAATCCTGTAATAATTACATTAAGTATTGTAGTTATTAACTATATTATCATTATTCATGACACAATATCATTTATCGAGCTTGACAAAACAAAAGGCAAAGGTTATTCCTCTAAATTTACTGAGTGGATTTCAACACGTAGCAACAGTTCGTTTCTCACACCAAAACAAGACGGTCCCTAGCAGCGAAATTTTTCGCTAGATGTCCATTGTTGGTCATTAAAAATTCCTTTAAATGTGTTTTTAAAACAACTATCAACAAAAAATACTGAATTTAAAAACTGCAAAACTGATCGATTAAAATGTTCATTAATAACGTCCGTATACTAAAAACTGAAATTTTTGCTGAATTTGTCCATGATTACTATACCTCACATTAATATTTTCTTTTCAGTGTACGTAAGTAGCAAGTCAATCTCCTTCAAATTGCATGGTCCAAATATTAAATAATAACATCTTTATATAAAAATAAAACAAGAAACTCACATAAATTAGGGTATGCAGCTTGAAAAAATTAAAAGCTCCATGAAAATCACACTTTAAAAAAAAAAGTCAGCTATGGTAGATGAATTAAACAACAGCATATGGGCATTTTATGTAATATCATAGAAACTGAAGTCTTAAAATTCGTTCATTTTTTTCTCATTAGAGAAACGAAATCAAACTTGTCATATTTAAATTCTTGTTATCTCAGATGATAATATAAAAATAAAGAGATGTGGTATGATTGCCAATGAGACTGCTATCCACCAGAGTTCAAATGATGAAGATAAAAGCAATAATAGGTCACTGTACGACCTTCAATTGTTAGAAAAAACTATACCGTATAGTCAGCTATAAAAGGCACCAACACAAAAAAAGTGAATTCAAACGAGAAAACTAACGGTCTATCTCATACATTGATGTACGAAAAACATATATGACATATATGAAACAATAACAGCCATTAAATATCAGACTTTTAACATTGGAAATGCACAGCTAGAATGTGGTAAGGTAAAACATGTTCGTGAGCGCTCAACCCTTCCCTTAACCTGGAACAGTAGTGTTATAGAACAATAATTTAATTTTGGATGTAACGCGTCTTCCGATTGGCTGACGTTGTTTTGTTTATCAGCTCATAGACATAATTTTGTCATCTGACCTTGTCGTCATCAACGTTTTTTCATGATTTACTTCGGTTTAAAATGGAATTAAGAATTAAATTATAAGAAATGACTGTAATATTTTTCTGTCTATTCGAAATAACATAAAAAATGTGGTGCACACTTTAAAATAACCCGCTACGCGGGTTATTCAGTGTGCACCACATTTTTGATGTTATTTCGAATAGACAGAAAAAAATATTACAGTCATTCCTTAAATAATAGAAAAAAACTGCAAAAAATAAGTTTGGTTTAGATGAGAATAATAACTAATTCCTACCCAGATCATTTAGTCTATAATTGAAGGTAATAACAATTATCTCTCCATGTGCCGCTAGTATATCTCCATCAAACATGGCTCCCATTCCAACTGTGTTGGAGCCTCCATGAATAAAAAATAGAACTGGCAGTGCCACTTTATCGACCTGTGAATATGCGAAGTCGAGAAGCTTTCACTTTTTATATTACATTTGAAATTTCTGGATATTTCATTCTTAAACTATGATTCATGTATATTTATGGGTAAACATTTTCGTGGATTGAAAAACAAATGTATTTTCGTGGATACGTGATTTCGGTGATTTGCCATAGATTGCATACAAGCCGATGAAAAATATTTACTTCGTTTGACATTTAGGTTCATGGTTCGTCTTTACCCACAAGATTCACTGAATAATACTGAGACCACAGTTGATGATAACAAATTGCATTTTGTTTAAAGTTTTGATTGCATACATGAAAATGTTATTTTTTAAATCAAGTATTTGATATTTAGCTTACAATACTGTTCAAAATAAAATGTTGTTAAAACTTGTTACAAAAAAGATGGTAGTACATACTTTTGGCACATAAATGTTCATATAAAGGCAGTTTTCATTGAAGCTCATAAACCCTGGTTTATGAAAATTTACATAGTTTGCATACTGCTGCGGACATGCTGGTGGGAGCTCAGTCGTTATTAAAATTAAAGGCTTCCATATCATTGGGTCCTTCGGCCTCTGCAATGATTCGAAACAAATAGCATATTAACTTGTTAATGTTCCGTCGACAAAAAATAATATAGTAATAAGATAGGTAAATAAACCATTAAAACAAGTTTTATATTCTTATAGAGAAGCATACAAGTAAAAAAAATGTAATACATTTACTTTTAAATTCAAATACTGATATGTTCCTTGAGAAAAGCAAATATTCAAATACTATAAAGGGATTTATTTCCGAAGAGATTTAATTTTGCGACTAAAATCCTGTTCGCAATTTATTACATGTCAATTTTATACGAGGGATCATTTTCGATTTGTCTTACTTTGTCAAATATAAAAACCTCGCGAAAATTTCCCATGTTAAAGTAAATTGTCACTTTTTCTCTGAATCAAATTTAGTTGTTATATTTCTTTTGTTTTTTATAATATAATGTATGGTCATTATTTGAAATGAAATCACACAAACAGGTAAAGATTCGTATGACTATCTCATTATTCTGATTAAAAATGTTTACATATGTTTGTGACTAATGACAGTAAGAACACAATTAATATTACTCATGGCCATTTCAATAAAAGTCAATTAGCTATTTCATCTATATGGATAACGTTTTAGAGCACAAACATCTATAGGCATATGCAGAAACTTTAAATAAACTTGTTTAATGATAACTGCACCTGGCCATTGGGCATATGATACCCTTACGGGTGAGTGAACGTAAATCGTATTTCTTGGATATCCTTATTTTTAACATTTGGCAGTGATACTCGGAAAATAAAATATAAATAAAGAAAATCGTCGTGGTACTATTGCTCTTAATCATAAATTATAAAGTTAAATTCTAATGTTATGTAGTCAAGCATTTACATACAGTTCGGCAACACTGCTCCGTTGATTATGGTTTTTATTCATTGAAGATTTACCGATAATTTCAAAGTACGAAAATTAATCTATATGCCTGTGGTATTGTTTAGATAGAAGGCTTACTTTTGTAGATTTTGTTTCTCTAAAAGCAAATCACCAAAAACGGGCGGGAGGTAAAAAACCGAAAGACCAATAGAAAACCGATAACACTATGGCCAAAAGAAAAATTACGAAAAGACAAGCAACAACAAGAAAACATTGCGAACAGTAAACGGAAGATTGCGCAACAACAAATATCGGGGTTAAACTCAAGTTCCCTTGAAGGGTAGGCAGTTTCTGCTCCATATGTGGCATCTGTTATGTTGTTTATGTTGTCGAGGAAAAAAGGAAGTGATTGTGGTTTCAACTAGTGGAATATATTCGAAGTCATCTGAGACACAATTTTGACAGCTGGGAGATATATACTACATATGTAGGCACAGATGGAATATTGGTACATAGAAATGGAAAGTCCACAAGGGGAAACAGAAATCCTTTCTTTTTGTCGTAAAGCATAGTTCTCAACTGACCCTCCCAATACCAATTTCGAGATGTGAGTCAAGATATGATTTTTATTGGAATATGGCGGGAATTTCAAGGAACAAATTTATTCATTGTTTGGTTTACTAAATTTATAAAATTATTAAAATGCATATAGAATTCAAGAAATACATTTTCGAACCTATTACATTTATTACTTTAATTATGACATTAAAACGTAAGCAAACTAAAAATGAAAATGTTGAACAAATGGGTTTTACAATCCCTAGTTAACTGGATAGTAAAACTTTCGAAGTTCTCTTTCTATAACCCACATAATATGTTCAACATATACTTCTTCCTTATCTAACGCATTTAAACAGACAAATATCTCTATTCTATTAGTGCCAGATAACATTTTGACTACGTTACATGATTTTTATCACTTAACCAAAGTCAGCTATTGCGTTTGCTATTTATTATTGTTCTTATCATAAAATCACATGTACAATAGTCTATATTACAGCTTTCTCGAGTACGTTTGCTAACATCGGTTATTTTACAAAGATATAAAACTTTGAAAGTATCCCCTTATCATTGATAATGATATTTTATCACAAATATTTCTTGCCTCAAATTGCAATTATTTTACTTTCATTTATTGCATACCCTAAGTAAACATAATCAAGACATGTCATACCTTAAATCGTAAATGACCTATAGGTGGAGATGCATATGGAATACCAAGATATTCTTCAACTTGTCTATCTGGAACACGTGTAGATATTTTTCCACGTACATTCCCGAATACCGTCTCCCTGACTGGTAAACACTGTCCCGTACAGAAAGCAACAGTCAAAAGAATAAATATTGAAGACATTTCTATTCGGTGTGAATTGATTCTGGTCATTATATACTAGTACTAGTAGTTAATTGAGTAGGTTTTCATTTCAATTTTATATAATACCGAAGGATGCTAAATTTGAATTTTGATATTAAAATAGGGGTGTAATAGTAAGATTAAACAATACACGATATGTTTTGTTATTATTATAAACGTTTTAAAATTTACTGTAATATTACATGACATTTTGCAACAGGCACATTAGCGTTGAAAAACTTGTTACATAATACTTGACATGTGAAGATTTTAAGTTAGATAGCTATTGTCTATACAATTAAAGAATTATTGCAATTTTTTCAAAGACAATTAAATGTATATCGTGTTCAAAATTTGTAATATGGTTATCATAATGGTTTGTTAAATGTGGTAATGTGTGAAAACATTCTCAACTAGTTCATTTTGTAAATTCTACCATTTCGTCTTTGCTTACTTAATAATTTTGTATCGAATGTTCCCCCTGAAGATCACTCAAGAAATGAATATACAACGCCACAAACACTAAATTTCTTACTTTAATTATTCTTCCGGGTTATCACCGATTTTGATATTGTTAACATTACTCAATCTTGATTTCTCTTTAATGTGTTCTTCTGCGGATTGTCTTCCTTTTGTTTTGTTTTTTCTTATATCTTAAACAACATGAGTTGGGAAGGGAATGTTGCTAAATCACGAAATGATCTCTGTAAACGAAGGGGAAGGGGACGGGGTTTTATTATATTTATTTACCTCGTATAGATATTTATAATGAAGATATGGTTTAGCGAAAATTATCATTTTGCATCATCCTAAAAATTAAAAATCTATAACTAATGAACTTATGGTTTTGCAAGCCCAGGATTCACAGAAAGTTATAAGTACATTTCTTCATAAATAATTAATTAATTACTATTTTTAGAGATAAGAAAATAAGAACCAAATGTAAAACGCTAAAAATCCTAGTGTTTCAGTTTAGTAAAACTTTAACCCTAAATTAAGATTCACTACATTTTTGAAACTAAAAAGAATACATTGTAATTGTATATAACTTTACATCCAAAGTTACACTTTTTGCGTCAGGAATTTTCATTTTGTTTTAAATTATAAGTTTTGTATTCATACTTAATAAATACCAACTCACAAGACTGACTTTATTGAAAAAAAAAGATTTTGTTCTTTTTTATTAGAAAAAAAATACATTTCTGATGTTAAATGATTGATAATAATTTTCAAGGAAAAGTAGTTGTCAACATTTGAAAAGTCTAGGCTCCGAAATTTATACTTAAAAGGAACATTGCTCTGAGATAAAAAGTTATTTTTGAAATGCGCTTTTAATGAATGCAAATAGAAATGAAAGTTTGAATGGAATAATAAAGATTTTTTGTTATCTTTATCTATACAACATAAATCTATGTGTTATTAATTATCATTTCGTGTTGCTCAGTCTTTTGTTATCTATGTTGTGCTTTATGTAATGTTGTTTGTCTGTCGGTCTGTTTGTCTGTATGTCTTTTTTCTTTTTTTTTGCCATGACGTTGTCAGGTTATTTTCGACTTATGAGTTTGAATGTCCCTTTGATATCTTTTTCCTCTCTCTTATTAAAAGTCAGGAGCCTGTAATTCAGTGGTTGTCGTTTGTTGCTGTATATCATTTTAGTTTTTTGTTCAATGTTTTGTGCATAAATCAGGCCGTTAGTTTTTCTCGTTTGAATTGTTTTACATTTGTTATTTCGGGTCCTTTTATAGCTGACTTTACGGTATGGGTTTTGCTCATTGTTGAAGGCCGTACAGTGACCTTTGGTTGTAAACTTCTTTGTCATTTGGTCTCTTTTGGACAGTTGTCTTATTGGCAATCATACCACATCTTACAAATTTTATATTAGTTAAAATCGACTAAACTAGCTAACGTTGTTTGAAAGGACACTTATGTAACTTAGGTATCCAATACATTGATAGAAGGTCCAGTTGATTGAAATTCAGAATGAACATATAATTATTTCAGATTTCCTCCTTGGTAAGTGTTGTGGGAATATGTGTTGAGTTTCCAAGTGAATTTTCAATATCTAATTCCATTATCAAGCATGTAATTCGATTTACACACACAAACGATGTTGATTGGGCCTTTATCTGCAGGGACAACACCATAATTGTCATGGCTGTAGGACAGGTGCTTAACAACATTTAATTTTTTAAAGATTGATGTATCATGTGTATTCATAGACCCATTCAGTTTTTTATTCTAATTTGTATTAATCATCACAACCTTAACCCATTCAGAAATAGTGTATACGTCTCTTTTTCGCGTTAAGGTGGTATATAAAAACAATAGTAGTATACTGCTGTTCAATAGTCATAAATCGATTTAACTGAAACAAATCCGGGTCACAAACCAAAACTGAGGGAAACACATCAACTATAAGAGGAAACAAAACGGAACAACAGAAACACTGCACTGCTACAAAAACAAACGCCAACATACATAAAAACAGACTATGTGATAACGATTGCAATATTCCTGACTTGGTACAGGACATTTTAAAAAAAATGGTGGGTTGAACTTTGTTCTATGGCTAGCCTAACCTCCCACTTATACAGCAATGTTAAAAATACCGCTAAAATGACAACATTACGTGACAGGAATAAAGTACAAATAAATGCAAGAACATTCAGGACAGAGAAATACATACATAAATAATATAAAAGTCCATTTCAACATGTAAACCAAAGAATAACAACGAACAACTTAAAATTATTTTACGACAGAACACAAATACAGCACAATAGAATAATGAACTGTGCGTCATACGAATGTATCAACACCACAAAAAGTGACGTCACAGGTAAATTTCTAAAAATTACAATATGAAATTGGGATTAAGTTTGTAATGGTGTTATTTGATGTATTTTCTAACCATAACAAGAATATTGATATAGAATTGTGTTAGTAATGGTGTAATTATTTGTATTTTATAACTATGATTTTTCTTCTAAATCAAACTGATTGAAAAACAAATAAATCCTGTGCATATAGTTGCTTTTAACCTAAAAATCTTATAAATGAACTAGGTGATTAATATCTTTACTTTAACATACATAAAGAAAAAAAAAAAGAATTAAAACCACAAACGATAAGACATAAAACAACATCCAACCAGTATTACAAATGGAACATCATAACTAAATACATGAATGTTGGATGTAAAATACCGAGACACGTCTAATAGCAATACGAATCTACACTCAGCAAAACAGTTGGTATGGCAGTATGAATTGGAAATGATAGAAATTGTACATACTTTGCCAAAATGTAGTTTATCTTGTGATATGTTCAAAAATATAGTAAAAATGATAGGTCACCTAGCTTTTTCTCAAGCTACAGGTTGTGAAAAATGACACATTTTGTATGGATTATACAGGAAAAAACATCATTATGTAAATAGAAGCTAAACTAGATGAAAAAATTGGAAAATAAAATACAAGAAGATAGCATTTAGAAAATGCTTTTAGAATATTAAAAGAAAAGAGAGGGTCACCGTACGTTTTTTACTGCTAAGTATTTACAACTGTATTTCTTATGATAAAAGACTTTTCTATTAGATCTAGGAAGACCCTTTTCAATTCTAATAATTAAGGTCTCCCCAGTGCAAACGGGTTTATTTTCCTTAAATGTTATGATCATTTTTTATGTAACTGTTTGAATCTATAAGAAATGCCCCCAAAAATATGACTTCTCAAAACGTAATGACAATAATTCATAGTGACAAATTTTACTTTGTCAGCTTTAAGCATATAATTCCTTGTAAAATGTATTGACATGTACTAATAAGGTTACTGCGGTTTCATTGAAAATTTAAACTGAACGTGTACTTTCCACATGTTAAGCTTGCATCATATTACGCTATCCTTGTAATCATTTCAGGATAACTTGAATAATTAAAGGTTTCATCAAAAAATAAAATCAACCCCTTTATAAAATCATGCATTCAAAGCATTTTTTTTCAAACTGGCTGCACATTTTGTTATCATACATCGTTTTTTCAGGTTAAGGAAATACATGTACGTATGAAAATTCGGTCCTAATTGTGTTTGAACTTTTCATGCAAATAAAAGACAAAAATCGTACAGGATAGTCATTTTTGGGGCCAAAAACTCATCAAAGATACCAGGCTTATTATTGGGTATGAGTGTTCTGTCTCCTCAAGACTCATCAGTGGTGATCTAACAATGGGAAGAACAAGTCGAATAAAAAGTTGCAAAACAAAAATCGAAAATTTTAAAATGTGAAGGGTATCATAGTATCTATCTCATTGGAACCATAATTAGATGGCATTTTCAAATCTCAGTGATATATAACATAGATTTGTCTAAATTAATGAACAAAACGATGTTAAACAAAAAATTTTAAAGGCGTACAGAATTTTTGGGGACGGATGAAAAATGTAATACAGGATATATAGATTTAAAATTACAGAAAGCATTTCATATACACTAGTTATTATGGATTTTGCCAAGACCGCTCTCCATATTGGACACAATTACACAGCACACTGATATTACCATTTTTCAATAAAAATGGGTAACTACTTGAGTTTTACATATCTATTAAACACTGAATTTATTCAAGTAACCGTTAAGCGTATAGATCTGATTCCTTGTCCATTTTGGTTTTTATCAGCTCTTCAACATTTGTATTAGACTTTGGACTTTCAAATATTTTGGCCTCGGGCATCACTGAAGAGACATTATTTGTCGAAATATGCATCTCGTGCAGTAAATTGTTACCGTTAATGTTATTAAAAAATCAATATAACTAAAACAACACCCAAACTATCCAAATGGTTGCCATGTAGGAAATGCAGATTCCACCCTGACGGAAGTGTATGTAAGAAAATAATTTACGGTACTAGTATTGTGTTTGATTCATAAGCATATGCACATCACTGTTTACAGCCAGATAGACCCAAAGTCAATACACCATTCATTGTAAAGAAATACAACACTCACCGTGAATACTGCATACAAAACTGCACTACAGACTTACAATGATTTTTTAGTGAAATTTTTTTATCCCATTATTTTAAGTAATTATCCATTTGGACATTTTGTAACGTCAAACTCCTGCCAAATGCTAAATTAGTGTTGTTAAGGAATTGACAGTGCACAAAAAGTGCAAACATTACAGTTTAAGTGAATAAAAGAAACAAACTGTGTGGTTCTATTGATAAAATAATGGTATCAGAACACTCCTGGTGTGTTCCCAGAGGAATGTGTATATTTATGTTGCATTTATAGAGGTTCAAAGGGGATATTCAGTTTTTAGGTGATTTTTCAAAACAATTTTTCATGGGAATTGTTATCAAAAAATGAAAATAGAATCTTTATGGGTATCCCATTTGGTTTGGCTTTGATATATGTGATGAAAGGCAATATTTTCTGCAAAATCGTGTCCTAGGTTTTTGATAATTTGTTTCTGAATGAATTTATATTTCTCCAAAGATGAAAGATGAATTCGCAATAAGGTTTGGCAACCACCAGTTAAATCAATATATCTTCTAATTGGAGGCACATATCAAAAATCTGAGATATCGTTTTGTAGCATGAGTATGGTCAATTAAAGGGATGAAAACAAATGTTTGAATTGAATGTGATATTTTCATCCAAGTTGGGAAAGTAAATTTTTTACAGTCATATATTTTCAATTGATCATACCAACAAAAATTTATCTATAATTAAGAAAGAGTAATATTTCAGCTTTTGATAAGGGACTTTCCGTTTTGAATATTTCGGAGTTGTTGTTACTTTTTGCTGATCAATCCATAATTTCCAAATTTAGTTACAAGGCGTTGGGAGAAGGAGGCAGGAAAAACTATGTTAATGGATTTTTTTTATTTTTAATTCAGCTTTGCTGGATCTATGTGATCACTGGGAATTTGGGGATGGTGCAGGATTCTAAGTTGAAGACATATTAAGAAATTAATTATGTGTTTCTATGAATTGCTGAAACTTTATACACCATTTTAATCATCAACTGCCAATTTTTAATATGTTATTTGTCCTTAAATTAAGAAAAGGTTGTGCGAACATTTTCGATATTCACTTGCATATAGTTCCTTTGTAAATCGTAATTTATATTAAATTGCCATTTATTAATTAATGTGAAAAAGAAATAATTATCAAATTTAAGCAGTTGATAAAAATTATGAAAGTGTTTTATCAGTATCTTATGTTCGTGTAAGCTATTGAATAAAATTTGGTTTAATATGTGTATTGATATCAGAGTTGATTCCCACACTTGTTTTAAATGCTATTGTTCCCATTCTTTCATTAGGAAAACAAGAGTATTGATACAATTCCAGTATAATTATCAACTGTCATGATTTTCAAACAATTACACTCAAAGGTATAAGTATAAATTGGAATCAACTCAATTCTAATGCAGTCTCAATTGACCACAGTTAATATATCATGACAGTTGATAATGGTATTGAGGTCAAGAATTTGTGTATTCAATTAATTACACATCTAACTAAATACACAAAATCTTGACGTGAATAGTGTACCTATCTTTTATTTTGAGCAACACTACATACAATTGTTCTGTTAATGTTGTGTGAAAGCTGACTGATTAATGAGTTGTGTTATTTTTTCAAAGAAAAGACTTAAAATAAAATATGTATAAAAAACGCAACCAGATTTTATTTCACTTGTAAAATCAGTGTCATAATCATCTGACATAAGTTAATAATTAAGGTCTTTTTAAGTTACAATTATCACTAATTTGGTTGAAACAATAAACACAATTGCATAACTCTAACCTGAGCATTTTCTGCAATATAATTTATTTGTATTTTCCCCATTATATTGCTATTTCACAGCATTAGGTATTTGCACCTGTATATATGAAATGTATTTTTTCTTAATGAAGAATGAACACCAATTTAGAAAAAAATAATTTATTAATTTTTGTTGTTGTTGAGAAAGGGAATTTTCAATGCCTTTGTTTGGAAAATAATTAAGCCAATTATTATCTAAATGGCATATAAAAATATGCTACACGTTTGAAGATTTCCCTTAACATTCTTGTCAAAATCATTGTATTGCAAATGTTTCTAAAAAAAGATGATGTAAAAAAAATCTGACACTGTCTTCAAATGAAATACCAAAAGAATTTGCATCAATATTGCAAAATTCTCCATCCTAGAGGGCAATAGAATAGAAATTTGACAGTGAGATTATGGAAATGAAATAAGAAAAGAAATATTGAAAGTATGGTTAAAAAAAAAATGTCAGACTAGTTACAAAATGTATGATAGGAGTTTGGGAAGCAAAATCACTAATCTCAAATTTGATTTCAATGGGATTGTCATTATAAGATGCTTTTTGAGAATGATATAAAACATAAAGAAGATTCCATTTAAAGGATCACTTTTAATTCCTCATCAAATCGTTATGGCTTTTATATACGTGGACACATTACATATAACCTTTATATGTTTTATAGCTATAGGTACATTTGAAATTAAATGGAAACAAATATTTGTACCAAAAGTCAAGCCTTGGTTGTTTGAAGTTGATTTCGTTTGTAACAACTGTTTTGCCATTGACATAATCCAGTTTGTTGATAGACTTTTTCTCCGGATTGTACTTTCTCAACTTCAAATTACAGGATCGCCAGTTCCTAGAATTGATAGGAATTGAAGGATAAAGGGATATTTGAAATTAATATCTATTTTTTTATTTTCTAGTATTTGGGAGTGTTTTGCTAATAATATTTTCATGTCTTTTTTGTAGAAATAATATTTAAAGCCCTTTTTAACCTATTTCAGCATCTAGTTATTCTTTTAACGTACAAGACCTATCACAAATACATATGATGCATTTGTGGTAAGGGCAATGGAACATGACTCAAATTTGATTATCTCCAAACTAAAACATAATATGTTTAAACGCTCATTACAAATACATTATATGTTTGTCTGATACGTGGTATGTCTAATACGTAATTACAGTAAAAACAAAATAACTCAAGTCCGACCATATATAACATAGGAATTGAACATAAACAGTTTAATGTTTGCCAATTATGTCGAACGAACGGTTTGCCATTCTTAAGCTTTTGAAGCCATTGCATATACCAAGCGGGCATCGGATGTTCAATCTTTATTTCTTTTTATAACGTGGGTAGTTGTATGTTTATCAGTTTTCCAACTTACTGGTATGACATTTTTCTACTGTGATGTTCCTTTATATTCCAAAACTATAGCGCATATTTACATTTGTGCAGTCAGCATTTGCTTTTTTGTTTGTTTCTTGTTTCTTTTTTCGTTGGCTGCTTTTATTTGTGTTAGTTTGCTTAATTTTGTAATGTTCATTTTATAATGTTCCATCTTATATTGGCCTGTATTCGTCGTTGCAGAACAAGTACTTACCCTCATATATACATATTGAAGAGTCTACAGTGGGTTACGATCCAATAGAGGTCATAACTATAGCATATATCATTGTTTGTTGATTGCACTTGGAAAAAAGCCTTTTGCTTTATATATAAATATTTAGGTAGAAAATATTTATAAATGCTACCCCAATATATATCATACCCTTTTTTGACAAAATTGCTGATAAGTTGCATCGTCACTTTAGAAACCTCTGTATCACGTGCTGTATATGAGAACTTTGGGTGTCCTACTGTCGGTACACCAAATACATAAAATATATCCCATCCATGCTGAACTCCTAATAACAGAATAAACAGAAATACAATTTATACTCGATCTTACTAAATTTGAATGATACTTTGCTTTCCAAGTATCAATTAGAGCTAACATGTGCATTACTTATCATTCAGAATTTAAAAAATACTCATCTTTGGAGTTTATATGATTTTTATTGGTTTTTCACATCAACTGAAATTTGTTTTAATTCTAAAGAAAGGGAACATAATTTATTTCCTGCAACGCAAGACTAACTTGTAAAAGGGGTATGGAATAATACTGAAAGTAAAATAATTTACACTTTTTACCAGTAAAAAGATTGTATTACCTATCCATTCAGGTCCGGGTACGTTTTGAGAAACATAATCAAAACTGAGTGTATAAACGTTCTTTTGCCATTCAGAAATCATGTCTGCAAGCTTCATCATTGGCACGAAGACTCCTAAATCTGCCCTGACTTGCAAGGCCTGAAATTAGAATATAAATATTCATCCTTTAGCTTTATTTTATCATGAAAGTATTATATTGACAGGAACTACAACGATTTATTAGCACTCATTTATAACCCTGGGGGCGCTGTAGAAAACTGTATAATAGAACGCTATCGTTAATTTCCTTTTGTGACTATCTGCAATGCCGCTCTCATAAATTGACCAGAGATACTTCTCAACAATCCCGTGGTTACCTGTCGGAAACCATCTTTGCTTATTCCAATCTTTTCGGTTGACTTTTAGTCGTAAACAACTTAAAAAACAAATCCTGAATTATTCATACTACAACTTTTTAAAATAGTGAGTAACGGTATTTTATTTTGTTAGATTACGTTAATACCGTCAATATAATACTTCCATGGTGTTATTAAAAGAAAAGAACGTTTGTTTCATATCGGGATCATTTCCATGATATTGACACAGGTGGTAGACTTCAAATTAGAATCTATGCTAATGTATTTCCAACAGCTTTTGTTTTTAATTTGATTTTTATCTTCTTTATTATTCATGAGATATGAACATCGATATGATACTGTTGCTTCTAATTTATTTATGAAACTAAATACATTGCTTTTTAATTATAACTTTCTGAATTGGTTTTGCACTTTTCTCGTGTGCAAACGTCAACACACCATGCATTTGTATGAATCGTTTTATCCGTGCTTTATAAGGTTTGAATTTGGTCATCGTTGAAGACCTTCCAGTAACTAACAAAATAAAGAACACAAAAAAGTCATATTTGTTTTTTTTCAGTTTTTGTAATGGTAACTTCTTACATAGAATAGAATTGAGAAGCAAATTGTACTTATAGTTTAGGTTTTAAGTCGAATATGAAAACTTTCGTTAAAACATTGTCATAATTTAATGACACTAGAAAAAATGACAGTAGTTAAGCAATATACCACCTCCTCGGATGCGGGGGATGCGGGGAGGGTGGGAATGGGATAAACACACAAACACACAGTTCTCATTAAAGGGGCATTAGCTACGAGGTATAAAATACAATTAACATACGATTTTTTTTCAATCATTAATGAAAATGAAATACGGAAATAGTAATTCACTTTAAGCAGCCAGTTTGGTTCAATTTTGTTAAAATAAGCTAAGAAACATCGCTGATGAATTATTCACTTGCAAGTGAATAATTCGACCTCATTGAATCCGTATTCATGTGACCTTCCATTCAACCCCTTAGCTAGAGATGGGTCCAAATAAACTAGGCGTGTTCAGCTATTTAAAGGAAAATAATATCAACATTGAATGTGAAACAAGGGTAAACAATTTGGTTTACTGATTCGATCATTCTTATACAGGTAAAAAACGATGATTAACATATTTTTTAAACTATTAATATATGAAATCAAACAGACCTAGAAAAATCCAATTGAAAGTGTTCTCTAACTATTTATATCTATATTTATGTTTATATTGGGTTATATGACCGTAGGCAGTATCATCTTTTATCGAGTCTATGCATCGTAAATTGTTTATTTTAGGCTTTTTACAATTTTGATTTACGTTTAAGTATGTAATAAATCAAATATGAGAATTTGAGTCAAATCGGTGATTATGAATTTGACAGTTAATGCCTCTTTCAAAGGGTTAACTAGGTAAGGGGATATGATATTGTAATACATATGTGTTTGTAATTGTAAGCTTTTAGCAACCAAGAGTTGCAAACCCTTTGATTAAGTGGTTGTCGTTGGTTGCTGTCTGTATTATTTGTTTTTCATTTATTGTTTTGTTTTAAATCAGGCGTTTGTTTACCAATCTCCAATTACCAATCCACTTTTGCGTAATGACTAATCACTTGATATAAATTATCAACGTAATTTACAGGAGTAACACGACGAATATCTCACAGGATCTGCTCACCCTTCCAGAGTACGTTAGATCACCCTCGTTTTTTTGGGTGACGGTCATTTTGGTCAAAATTTAGTTTTCTATGTAGTTTTGTAGACTAATCATTTTGTAGTTTTTCGTTTTTTTGCCCGTCAAGTTTCTCTGCGACTTAAGAGTTTTGAACGTTCCCTTGGCATTTTCTGCGTCTTTTAAAATCGATGTGCTCGTTTTTACTAAAACAAAAAGTTCCTACAATATTTATTGACGTTACAATTTACTTTTCCAGTGAAAACAAGGACACTGTTTTTTTACCTTGGTCTTCCAACGTGTAAAATCTGCCCATTTTAATTTGACAACTTACTTGAGGATAACTTGATAGATTCATTGTCTCCCAGATCTTGATTTCTTTTTTGACGTTATCTAGATAATGTTTCATCCAAAAAAAAATATCAACATAGAATTTGTTTAAAATCATATAGAAATTAAATTGTTGTTGATTTAAACGGTTTTTGGCTATTCTTTTATGGTCGTGTTTATCTCGTTATTCCCTCAATGTATTCATTCATCGTTAGCTATCCATGCTTTATTCGGTTTTGCATCCTCGTTTTGGCCTCGAGGATCACTGAAGAGACATTGATTGTCGAAAAGCGAATTTAGTGCATTTAAATGGGTACCGATAATGTTATTCCATCAAATTCGAGTTATTACCGAAGTTTCATGTCTTGAACAACACGATAGGTGCCACTACTTCGGTATAAAATGGTTACTGTTCTGCAGAACCCATCTTTTCTCCGACTTTAGTGGAACTGGTGTTGCTCAACGTTTAACGGTCCAGTCATTGTTCAGAGGGTATTTTCGGAAAAAAGCCTGTTTCTACATTTATTAATCTTTTTTCATGACAAACAAAAGAAATGTCACTGATTTTTTTAAATATCGTGTTTTCTCAATATGACTCAATTATTTTTCAATTACAAATTTCTAAATGTGTCTATAAAGTCATGGCTGATGACAACACTTCGCCACTTGACATACAACTTTTGGCATAAATATTTTCAATTAACTTTCTAAATCATTATCTTAAGTACCTGTAAAATCTGGTCTTTCTGCAAACAAATTCGTCGCATACCATCCTATTGTCTGGTCTAAATCTAGTTCTTTGTATGCTAAAATATTTGAGAAAATACGTATGACGTCAATTCGTACTTAAAATGTTAATTTAAGTTGCCGTGTTTTTTGCAGCTTTCTTCAGATCTTGATTTATGTAAAAATATTACACCATTTTTCTAAGCTGCTACTATGAATTGAAAGTGATTAAAACGGTTGGATGTACATAAGAAAAGTATATCAAAGGCCGATCGTATTTTGGTTGTATGTTCCATGTCAACGCCTGAAAATAACACTAAACCTCGTCCAGTGTCTTCTCTAGTATATATGTTCGGAACATGCCTGTAACAAGTCAGAAATATGACCGTTGTTTTCCAGTCGATCTGTTTGTTGATAAGGTCAAGCGTTTTTTTTTTTTAGGTTTATGTACTTCCCTTCTTTTTGAATTTACCTTTGAGTTCGGTATTATATATGAATTTTTCCTATATCTTATTGATTGTTTTGTCTTTCAGATTTGGATTAGTGTAACCGAAAAATCAAAGTTATTTTGAGAAAAAACTAAAGCAAGTTTAATATGCCAAGTGCTTTAGCACTGACTTAGGTATATTGTCTCAAAATTGCACTTTAACAGTTGATACATGGAAAAATCTAAGTACATTCAGCAATTAAACTTTTATTGAAGCAGTGATGTAGAATAATTTTAGATAGTACTAGTACTTTTGTCAAACACATGACCGTCTCCTTTACGACCAATCGATCGTAGTATTGTTATATCGTCGTTGTATTTTAAACTCAAATGACCCAACCAGTTGATATTGACTTAAAGGTAGCCGAGAGACAAATACCAATGTGCTGTTGTTTGATGCTTTACCAATGATTATTTCATTCAATAAGTTTAACACAAAGAAAACTATTACTGGAACTTTAACTGTTTATCCTTCAAAATAAGCTGAGTTCACCGTGTGGTTTTAGATTTTAGTTTTCTGTATATTATGTGTGGACTATTGTGTTTCTTTTATTTAGTTTCAATTAATCATGGATTTGTATGCCTTAAAGAATAATTTTTTTTATATAAACGAATTCCTCCGTATATAGTTATTATGGATTTTGTATGTATGTGTGTTTGTAAGTATCTAAAATCACCGGTAACTGGGTAGTTGATACCCTTGAGAACAAACAGTCTATTAGTTAGAATAATCGGTAGAAAAAGGAGGATATTCAATTTTTGGCAGGTCTTTATACTTAACTTTCTATTGACACATTTTGCAAGAAACTTCTAATGAAAATATACATGTAGGCATTTCAGTGTTTTTTTAAATACATACTTGATATATCTAATGGGTGCCCTTCATCCCGTGACATCATTAATAATACTGAACCAGCGTGGAATTTTCCGCAAGTAAACAGTTTTTCTGGACTGTCTTTTAGAAATTCCCCATCAACTACAACCCAATTCTCCTATTGAATTAAAAGTAACTATAATATTCAAATGATACACTTCGTAGTTTATTCATGTGAGTCTATGCTTTATCGTCGTCTCGTGGTTTACTGTAGCTTTCCACAGACGACACATATCAAAGTATAAAATATTAACTTCCATTTCCATCATAAATGTTATTAATTAAAAAATAGTAATTTTACTATAAAATACATGTATAACATTCAATGCTCCAGCTCGTACAAATAAATTTTCCGACAATGTACGTTTGTAGATGTCTATTCCATCCCACCCATCACTATTCGTAAAGTTTACTACTGGCTGTACTTTCTGTTTCTAACGCTCGTATAAAAAATTCCGACAATGCACATATATGTGTGGTTCATGTCAGTATTTTTAAAGATTACTTTCGTATTTTTGTAAAATGTTATAAATTAATCAAAAGCCATTTTATGTCATCATTTTGATGAGGTTAAAGTAAGATAAATAAGACTCTTGCGTATAATATCAATATTTAAGGCATACTAAAATTAGACATGTTAGCCATTGTAGTGTTAAAGAGTCTGATGGTTGATTTTGAGATTTTTTTTCTTCTATCCATCCATAATTTAACAAAAAATCGATATGACCTCATAGATGACATTATATTAAAAATGAACAATGCTGTGAGTCGATGAATGAAAATGGCGATGTCCAAGTTAAAAGGGACAAATAAACATTTCCAAGTATAAAATAAAAATTGGCATTCAATTGATACCTGACAGATATTTTAGTTTCTCTAATTCTTACTCGATTAATCCTTTTCCTGACCTGTTGATTATTTTTATTTAATCAACGTGTGGTTCGTTTGATCTAAGTTCTTCAGTGGTCAAAATTTGATTATGACGTCAAATTTTCTTGCTTTCCTCTGTAATTTCTATTGTGACGTCATGAAAAAAGGCGACTATGCCTGATGACGTCACATAGAAAGAACACATCTTTTTGTAGGTCGTTCGAAATGAAAGATTAAGATTGTCTGCTTATCGTCTAAAAATTATTAGAGAAACAGATTCCACCACCAAATCTTGTGCAATACGATATTTATCCACTCTCGACAGTTAAATTTTAAATATTTAAAACGCTCGGCGAGCCTCGCGTTTAAAATTTTAAAAATTTTACTGTGTTGAGTGGATGAATATCGTATCACACTCGATGCAGTGGTAGAATCTATATATCACATATGTATAGAAATGTGAACTGTCATTTGTTTAACAAAATTGATCAATCTTGATTGTCACAATGTGTGCTCAGTAGCAAACCTATCCCTTATCCGAATAACTTTATTTGGACAGAGGCTGAAGCGCTAAAAGACAGCAACTGCCCAAAACTAAACTTACCTGGATCCGTTACGTCACTTATATATATATTTCTTTGGCTGCTAAGATGTATCAAGTTAACTTGAAATTAGTAAAAACGTATAATTAACAAGTTATATTTATTTGTTTTGTAAAGTTTAGGACAGTCACTGCCCCCATATGAAGATATTAAATTTCAATTTTGAAAATTTCACAAGAAAGGTAAATACATTTATAATGTGTAAATATACATCTACAGTGAGATAAACAATAGAAGGTAACATTTTTGTAGTGTTTAAATAATTAAAAAGATAGTTTAGAGTTATGCGCAGTTAGGACTTTCAACATACTTCAAAACATATAAAGACAAAGAAGTTTATAGAATTCTAACGTAACATGTTGCTCATTTCAAATTTTATCTGTAGGTTCTCTTAAATGGGAATTTCATGACCAGTTCATTTCTAACCTTTTTTTGCTCTGTTGTGATCAGACTGGTACCCGGTCGACAGTTTCCTGGAATTTTTGATAATCTACTGGTTTGTATACACGTTGATAAAAACCAATGCGAAATTGGTGCGCCACTGTGGATTATTGCATTTCGAAATAAACCTTTTAAAATGGATAAAAGCACATATGAATAAACACTTATTAATAGCAATACAATTTTTTTTATCACTTTGTGTAATTCAATAAAAGACTCCGTGTAAAACATTGAGATGGATATAATCTTGTTGTTTAAAAAGTTACAATAAAGGACTAAACAGAGGCATATGATATATGTAAATTAAACCACTATGCAAACAAAACAAGCATGTCTGTTCCCTTGGTTATTTATCACGATCGCTGGAATAATAAAATATAACATAATTTATCCAATGCTTAGATCTAATAATATAGTTTAGTACATGTTCATACAAATCAAGTAAAACACTGAGGGAATCTCTTGAACCCCGAAAAGAGCGAGACAGTTTGGACGTCTTTTGCTATGCCTGCTATGTTCACCACGCCTATCCAGTCTCAGTCAAAAAGCACTATTGGAAATACGACACAATCTGTCATTTACAGATCAGACGACTTTTCTGGTATATTAATACTTAATACCACAAAACATGAATATCGTTAGTTCAAACATAGACATACACATCCTATTGGTGAACCAATCAATGAGGGAGACCGTAAATCGTTTGCAGTGTGGATATTATTCGTTTTTATTAATAACCATGCTGGAGCAGATTTGTGGTATGAGCACATCTCTGTTACAGTAGTCCGTAAAATGTTGGCATTCACGCACCTAACATGTCAAATGCGATATATATGTAAACTGAGTTGCACAGTTTTACTCATTTGAATATCGACTGCCTGTTGGAATATCAATACACTAAATTCAACAAGTATGTTAGCTATAAAAAAATCCAGCATTTTGATGTTATGTCTTCTGCCTTTTTTTTTATGAAACCAGCGTGTTTCGTTACAACGTAATATTTTCCTGACATATAGGAAAAAAAATAGTACCTACGACTCACAATTGATTAGAAAGTGCCCTGTTTAATGAGATGCAGTCGATCCTTAAATTAGGCATTGGGCAAAGTAGTGTTGATTGTAAAAAAAACAAAAGTTTTGATACCAGTATTATTTCTCAATTGTAATGATTATGTTGAACATATTGAAGTAGATCTTTAGAATTTTTTAGAATCCACATCTGATTGACATCGCACATTGTGTATACCTCATCACCATATTTTTCAATGGCATTTCTTAAGGTAGACGGATTGGCAGCACGAATTTTAGAATGATGTTTAGTTGAACATCAGTAGCAGCCTGTCTTATTCCGTTAATCTTTATAATGATTTTGGTGAAGTTTTGTACATTTTTTTTTTATCAAATTGAAAGATTGAAAATTTATTGTCCTATTATTGTTAATACCAAATAATTAAAAGACGAATTTGTGAATTTCTTCCCCTTCTTGAATGATGTAGAAGAGAGGCGAAAAATACAAACGGGACATTCAAACTCATGTCGAGTCCAAAACAAACTGACAAAGACATGGTAAAAAACTAAAAACGATCGAAAGACAAACAACAGTATACAAAACACAACATATAAACTTAAAAACTGAGCGACACGAACCCCACAAAAACCGGGCGTGGCCTCATTTGCTCTGGAAGGGTAAACAGTTCTCCATATGTTGCACCCGTCGTGTTCTTCATGTTAGTACAATCCCCGTGATAAGGTGTATAAATGGATTTCTAGATTTCCTGTGAATCCCAACTTCTCTTTTCATATAATGATTTTTGCATATAAAACAATTTTGTAACAACCATATATTTGTCTTAAAGAGAAGATTAATGCATCCATAACATCAGGTTCATTCAAATTGTAAGAAACCCGTGTGCTGAAGGTACATCATAGTTTTTGAAAGAGATTCTGAATGCATAACAGAACCGTTTTGACCCTTCTGATAAAGGGTCCACTTTAAGTTTGTATAATTCGTGCTGAACTCATCTAGAGTCCTAGACTGCATCAATCTGTATCATTGAGTTCTTTTTCGTATGGAATGCTGAGAAAATTTAAAAATGTGCAGGAAGTATAAATTAATAAACGGTACTCATCTCTATAATATCTGGATTAAAGACACCAAAAACACAGACAATAAGAAGTAAAACTGTACAGCTGAATTTGCATAAAAAAAATGCTCTAAGTTACTGCTCAAGGGCTGTAGATTCCTGGATTATTTTAGACTGTCGTATAAGTGGACAATTTTTAGCCTTAAAATCGGTAGATAATTCTCTTGTATCTTGACCTTTGCTAATCAAGATCATTGTGTTAGTACTTCTGATTATGATCTTTCCTTTCAATACACGATTATATGTACGCCTTAATGAATTTTGAATTTGTCTTTACATAAACAGATTATTTATCGATGTAAGATAAATATCTCAAAGTCGTGATATAAAACAGAAAAATGAAAGTGAAAGTAATCGGAGTGTACTCCAATTGGAATGACGCCTAGTCTGTCGATAATGTAGGCAAATAAAACACAAATAGGAGTGAAAACAATCAGCGACAATGTAGGCACCTAAAACACAAATAGAAGTGAAAACATTCAGAATTAACTGCATTTAGAATGACGCCCAGTATATCGACAATATAGACATCTCCTACTATGCATACATCTGAAAGTGAGTAGATATAAGAAGATGTGGTATGAGTGCCAACGAGACAACTCTCCATCCAAGTCAAAATTTATCAAAGTAAACCATTATAAAAGTACGATCTTCAACACGTAGCCTTGGCTCACACCGAACAGCAAGCTATAAAGGGCCCCAAAAAATTACTAGTGTAAAACCATTCAAACGGGAAAATCAACGGTCTAATCTATATAAAAACGAGAAGGAGAAACACTTATGAACCACATCAACAAACGACAAATACTAAACATCAGATTCCTGACTTAGGACAGGTGCAAACATTTGCAGCTGGTTTAAACGTTTTAGTGGTACCAAACCTTCACCCTTATCTGAAACAATAGTGTAACATCACAACATAGAAAGACACACTATAAAATATCAATTGAAATGGCTTAACTCAATCAAAAGACATATTAACACCAGTGAACATACACTGAACAAATAAATTTGATCTATGAAACAATGTAAATA